AAGTTTAACTGTGATGTAGGTTACAAAGGACCTCTATGTCAGAGCTGCGATACATATGGTGATATATGGGAAGCTAAATATTCTGAAATTTTAAATCCTGGTCATTGCTATTAATGTTAAGAAAACATAATCTAAATTATTATTTATAATTTGATTATCTTCATTTTAATATTTAGTTATATTTTAACTATCTTAAGAAGAATTATTAATTAACTTGAAGTTAAACTCACTGGTTACTTCCTTAATAAATTGAATATTATTTACTTAGGTTCAACTTGTAATCATTTCTTTTTTTTATTTAAATCATAGTTTTTCATTTTTTAAAAAAAAGTAAGTTAGCTAGATAGATCATAAATTTTATCTAAGATTCTAACTGACCATTTATAAATATTATCTTTAATATGCACTTTTACATTCAAAATGCCAAGCTCATTTACTCTTCCTATACAGATATCAGGAAATCCTACTAGCTTGACTAGTAAGTCTATCGATTGTGTTTTTTCACATTTTCCATAATTATAACCTTTATGGTTATTTTAATCTCTATGGTCTTTTTGTCTGCCAATAGGAATATTTTTATTATATATTCTAATTGGAGTTGTTTATTTGGTATTTAAATCAAATATCTTTTTAAAATACCTACTTACTACAGTTATATTTATTTACTTTTACTTCTTTCCAATGATTATTACTCTAGCAATCAGGTCAGTTAACTGTATAACTATAGGAAATAAAAATTATTTAGATTTAGACTTGAATGTTGAATGCTTTGATAAAGATGAGCACAAGCCTTTTATATTTTATTATAGTATTCCAGTAATATTACTATGGGGCTTATTTATTCCTATATTACTTTACTTTAAAATTTCTCAGACTAAATAATAAAATAAATCTATAATTATACAAATTAAATATTCTTACTTATTTGCAGGTTACAAAGAGAGATATTATTTCTGGGAATTTTGGAAATTATTTTGCAAAATGAAGTTGATTTTAGTATCGGTCCTATTTAAACAAAATATTTATTTAAAGGTAATATAACTTTTCTACTTTTAGAAAAAATTAAAAATAAATTTTTATTTTTTGGTAAAAATTAAGTGATTTTTTTTTTCCTTGCATTTTTATAATATTTAATAACTTAAAATAAACTTTTACATTATATAATTGATATTTCTAATCTTTTATTTAAATAATATTTTTAATATGATAGGTAGGTACTATGAATACACTTTTGCTTTTCTAATTTTATTTACTTTTAAAATCTCAACCTTATGTTAGAAAATACTTTAATGATTTATAGCAAATATCTACATTTCTTTATACTTTATCTTTAAATTTGTGCTTTTTATAGATAATTAATGACCAAAATAGATCATATTATTAAAATGCTTGGATAATTTTAGTTTTCTTTATCAATCTTATTTTTATAGTTATTCTAATATTAGGTTTATTAAGATTTAATATACCAAAAGAAAGAAGGGATAGAAATTGCTTTTAAAATATAATATTTAAAATTTATTATAAATATCCTGAATTATTTGATATTAAAATATAAAATTAACAAAAGATAAGCCTGCTTTTAAAGGTAAGAGAACTAAAAAATAAAATTAGATAGATGATAAGATATCAACAAAATTTTGATTTTTAAGAATCTCTTCAAAAACACTTTAACTAGAATAACTTTCAAAATATAAATCTATCCCCTCAATCTATCAAATTAACTTAAACAATCTCTTCTGAACCTGATGAAAAGTAAAAAATGTTTAAAGGTAATAATTCAATGAAAAATATGAGAAATAAATGGTCTTACTATACTAGAAACCCTAAATCCAACTAAATATGTAATAATTAAACTATTTAATTTAATTTCACATAAAAAATTTTAAAAAAATAATAATAGAGCTCAAAGATATGACTCCTTCTAACATGTCATCTTCTCAAAACACCTATTTTACTGGTGATTATATTCTTGAAGCTAATTCTCCAATACATAATCAAGATATATTCAAAACTTAAAATTGAATTAAAGTTTAAATTATTCTGTTTAATGATTAGTTAGTCAATCATTCGCTAATATAATTGTTTAAGTTTTTTTTTTCGTTATTGTATATCAGTAAATATATTATAAAAACTCTAATAATAAAAAAGAAACTTTTTCAAAATGTAATTTCAATTAAATTTTAAAAATTGTTATATATAGAAAAAAGTGCCGTTTGTCTCAGGAAAAAAGTAAAAAAAATATTTTATTTCTCCGGTCCCAAAAACTTTTGGAACTTTATTTTTACTCATCCTGTAGATACCTTTTTTTAGCGAGTCAATTTTTTATAAGTATTTAGAGTCATAATTTTGAATAATTTATTTTCAATTCAACCAAATTTGTTAGTTAACCTTGGAATCAAGAATAAAAAATTTTAAATATTTTTTTATCATTTAAAATTAAAAAAATAATATTACAAGAGTTAAAATATTCATATCCATCCTTTTATTTTAAATACTTTGTTAAAACTTTTATATTTAAAAATAATATTTAATAGTATTATAGATAGATATTATGAATCTTGTATGCTGGTCTATTTTTATCTATTAGTTAAGTCTAAACTATTTACTTGAGAAAAATTTAATAATTTATAACAAAAATCAATAGTTCTATGAACTTTTTCTTTGAATTTATGCTTCATTTAAAAGTGTGACTCTAAAATAATTTAGCATTTTAAAAGCTTTTAATGTTATTTGTCATTTTTGCTAATTTTTTATATATTTATTTTATTTATAGGGCTATCTAGATTATTAATTCCAGCTTAAAAGGAAGATAGAAATTTTATTTAAAATATTATTTTTTAAATTCCAAAAAGATATCCTTAATTTTTAATAAAACAAAAAAAAGGTAAAATCTTTGATAAAGCTAAGAAAAGTTAAACTTAGAATTAAATAATTTATGAAATATTTAATAGGCTACGACTTTTACTCTTCTTAATCTCTATAATAGTTCTTTAATATAAAAAAAACATAGAATTTATCTAATTTGCATAAGGCAAATCAAATTAATTAAATTTTATATTCAGAATTATCAGATGAAAAATATTTAATTTTAAAAAATAACAACACAAAAAAAAATTTAGTAATAATTTACTATACTAGAAATGTGAAATCTAACTAAATATCTAATTTATTTTTTTAATCCTAATAAAAATAATTTAAATAAAAAACAAATAGCTTTAAAAACATCAAATCAAAATTTAAATGCAATTAATTATGAGAAGGATAATATTATGGAAACTTAAAATTCTTTAAAAAAATAGTAAAATTTTAGTAGAAGTATTTTATTTCAAATTTAGCTTTCTAAACATTAAAATTGGTTGTTTGCTATGAAGATAATTCTTTTTTAATGATATAATTTAATTAATATAATAAACATTATTCATTTTCATTTGTATTTAAATATTTGCTTGCTATTATTTTAAAATATGGAGAATAAAACAGACATACTTAAAATGATTTTAAAATAAAAAGAGATTAACACTGCCAAAATTAATTTTTAAATATAATATTTTGACTAAAAAATCCCCTCCACCTCATTAATAAAACATATAAAATATTCAATTAATTCAGTTTTTAAAAAGATTAAATAACCATATTTATGAATAAAGCTATTTGACACAATTTAACCCTTTAAATAATTTTAACATCAAAAGTATTATATTTATGATACAATGTATTTAAATTTATTCATTAAAAAATAATAAAAATTTATTGAAATTCAAAAACTAATACACTCTTTCAACATAAAACAAAAATAAAGAGTATAATATAAATATTTTTTATTTTTAATAAATTCATTTTATTGATATAATTTCTTGCATTTATCTTTTTAAATTTTAAATTATTTAAAAAAAATACTGGAGGGCTTTACTACTCATAGGATAGATTATAATCAAATTATATTCATTCAATTATTTTAGAATATATTATTGATCTAAAGATTAACAGTTATTTAATTAGATTTATTAAATGATTATTTAAAAAACCTCATTGTCTAATCAGTTTAAAAAAATAGGTAAGCTCAAAAATGATCAAAACCTTCATTCAAAGATGAACGAAATTTTTGTAATTAATTACTAATAATCTATTTATGATTTTTTATGTGAAGAAATTTATTGTTTAAATAACTATAAAAAACGTAAAGAAAATTTAAAAAATGTTGCTCTTATATTTTCTCTCAACTTTGATTATCTAAACATTAATAGTTATTTAATAAGGTTTTTAGATTAAGTGATCATTTAAAAAATCTCAATTTCTAATCACTTTAAAAAATAATAAACTTAAAAATGATCAAAATCTTTATTCAAAAATGAGCCAAATTTTTTGTTATTGATTTAATAAACGTAAAGGAAATTTAAAAAATGCTGCTATTATATTTTCTCTCAACTTTAATTATCTAAACATATTGTCTAATCACTTTAAAAAATATGTAAACTCAAAAATGATCAAAATCTTCATTCAAAAATGAATGATATTTTTTGTTATTGATTACTAATAATAGATGTATGATTGTGAAGAAATTTATTATTTAATATCTATAAAAAATGTAAAGGAAATTTAAAAAATGCTACGTCATCCTATATTCTCTCAACTTTGATTATATAACATTAATAGTTATTTAATTAGATTTTTAAAATAAGTAATCATTTCAAAAACCTCCTTTTCTAATCACTTTAAAATATATGTAAACTCAAAATTGATCAAAATATTCACTCAAAAATTAGTAATATTTTTTTTTATTGATTACTAATAATAGATGTATGATTTTTATGTGTGAAGAAATTTATTATTTAAATAACTATAAAAAAACGTAAAGGAAATTTAAAAAATGCTGCATCATCCTATTTTCTTTCAACATTTACTATTTAAACACAGAAAGTTGCTTAATTAGATTTTTAAATTAAAACATCATTTAAAAACCTTATTGTCTAATCAGATTAAAAAAACAGGTAAACTCAAAAATGAATTCATTAAAATTTACTTTTTACATTTTTGTTCTAGTTAAATTTTGCATTTCTTTATAATGCGAATAAAATGAAATATATTCCTTGGTTACTTAATCATGCTTATAATGCTCTAATGAGTGCTAGACGTGCTTTAATACAAAACAATCTTCTTGCATAACATGTAAGTAGAATTTATTTAAAAGCTCTAATGATGATTCAGCTTGCGTTCAAAAATGCTAAATCAATGAGTTTTAAAATGAAAACAACGAATGTGTAAAATGCTAAGTGTTTGGATGTGTTTCATGTGATGAAAGCTAAAAATGTCTTGAATGTGATTAAAATTTAAAGCTTGATTAAATTAATAATTAGTGTATACTAATGGATAATGTTTGCTCATATTTTAATGGTTTTATTTAGGGAACATCAAATCTTGAAAAATGTTAAAAAGAATGCTAACCAACATTTTATTAAAATATGGAGGCTTAAACTTGTGAAGATACCATAAGTTGCATATAAATTCAAGAAAGCAAGAGATTCTCTTTTGAAAAAAGAGTAATAGAAGTCTAATAAATAAATTAAAATTAATATTTAGTAGAAGCATATGGTTGCACTTTTGCTTTATTAGACTAAAATTGGAACATAATAAATGTGTAAGTCTTGTAAAATTTAGAAAATTACAATGATTTATATGTTGTAGATGGAGTTGAAATTTAGAGAAATAGTTTTATAGTTGGAGATTAAGGGGGATGTTCTGCAGGAAGCAGGATAGTAGTTGTTAATTTTAAAACACTAGAAGTAGTTTTTTAATTGAATAATACAAACTATGATTACTCAGTTAGCTATGTGGATTCAAAAAACTAAATTGCTTTTTTAAATTTAAATAACGGCAATACTATTATATGGTATGATGGTATAAAAAGATAGATAAACCAACAAAATTTAGGATATTTTAGAAATATGTTTTTTTATTAAATTTAAAACAATACACTTACAAGTTATCTCATGTAGACAGGTCTTGGTGTATTTCAAGTAATTTTTTTAAATTTAAAAAAAATGTTTTTATTAGAAATTTTAAAATAATAGTTAGCAGTTTTGGACTCAAATAGATCTTTAAAATTTAATAATATTAATTAAAAAAATTTGGATAATTAAAACTTTTTAAATCTTTATTAACAAAATGATTATTATATTTTATTTTCTTTTTAAACAAATTATATTTTTAAAATATCAAAAATAATTATAAAATAAGATCTTATAAGCATGGTCTAAATAATAAAATAGTTTGAATCAATTTTTACCATCTATTAATTAGTTTATTATTCAGAATTGCTTAATTCTCTTATTTTATAGAATTAAGAGCATTTCAACTTAGAAATATTGATGCTAAATAAATAATCAGAATAAGTAATATAATCAATGAATATAACATCAACAAAACTAAACTCATTATAACTATTTGAAGATAAAGATACAAATTCTACTGTAGCTTTTATATTTTCTGATACTATTTAAATAATAAATATAACAAATTTTTTAATTTTTTAAAATGAAAGATAATAATAAAATATTTTATATTAATTCTAGCCTTTGAATTATACTTTTATTACCAAGATATCACTTATTAGTAGTGTACAAATTATGAAAGATCAAAATACTATGGATTTTTATGTATCACAAGTCTTATCTTATTATTCTGCTAATTAATAATTTATAAGATTTAGATATAATCTAACTGATTTTACATATTAAATCAAATACTTATCACCATATTAATTTTAAACCCTTTATATATTTAAAATGTACGATATAAAGTAAAATCAATTAGCTGTAACAATGTCCAATGTTAGTAATAATTAATCATAGATTTATATTTTTGATGGTGAGTAAGGATTTGTAAATTAAACTATTGGATTTGTTATGATTTAAGAATCAGCTTAAGGATATCAAAGAGCCCCTCAAATTAACACTCAAATTTTAAAAATAAAGCAAAATGGAAACATTACATTTGGAGCTTATACATTTGTTTAGTAAATAAACAATAGATATATTATACTTTAATCATACATAGGTTACATAATATACCAGTAGATAGTTGACATAATTCAACAAAAATAAATTTTGTCATATAACTATAGTTATATTTATGATTTATATAATTTAGTTTATATTTAAAAAAGAAATATTTTAATAGTTAAAAATGTTCCTTAAATTTATAATTTAGATAACTCAGAATAGATCATAAATGATAAGGATAATTTTAATTTTTCCAATCTTGTAATAATCAATGATGATTATCTAATTTATCAATCTTATAATGATTAATAAGAAGCAATCTTGATTAAATTAGATTTATCTACAATTTAAAAAACTCAAATATTTAATTTTTAGTAAAGTACATACACTTTATTTTGGACTATAGACATTAATTTAATCTATCCCCTCATTATTAATAATGATATTATTTATTTATGCGATTAAATTTACTAATAATTTTGTAGACCTTTCTCTTTAAATCAATAGAATTTTATTATGGACCCAACTGAGTTTTAACTACTCCCTCTTGCTAATCCTACAGCTGTATATTAAAAAACAAAAGAAATATTTATGTTTTACTATGGAACTATATTAGTATACTCATATGATTTACAAAGCTTAACTGAATTAAATCTTGGGATATAGTATCCATCTACGTCAACGTACTTTTTAAGTATTTTTTAAAATGATAGATTTGTATTTTACTATGATTAAGAAAACTTTTATAAATTTGACATGGAGCTTAGATAATTTTAAATTATAGAAGCTGCTACTTATTCACTTTATTAGATACTAAAATAAATTAACTTTTACACTTTGAGCAATACCTATGTAAAAAAATCTGGAAATATAATTGATATTGATAATATGATTATCATCAAAACATAATAAGAAGATAATAATTTAATTGGTTAAATACAAATGGATGATACATAATTTCATATATTTTAATCATAAAATGGAGTTTATTGGCACAAAAATTTGTTTAATATACCTTTTTAAGTTCTTAATCTTACTACAAGTTAAGTTATTTTAGATTTTTATTTCTTAAATGGAAAAAATCTTATAGCCTTATACGACAGTAGTTGCTAATGTGTCTAAATTTGTGATATAATAAAAAATAAAGAGTTAGTTAGAGTAAATCAAGACAAGATTGAAAGCGATTTAATTGTACCAATAAAGATATTAGATTGGGATCAAAATAGTTTTATATATGTGCAAGGACCAAATATGAATTTATTCAATCCAAACATAAATTAATAAAATAAACTAATCTCTAAGTTAGAATCGAATATTATAGATTATTAATATTGTATGCAGCAATAAATCATAGTTGCTCAAACTTAAAACAAAAAATTATTCATCATTCAAGTAATTAATTTTAATTTATAAAATACTTTTTAATTTATAATTTAAACTAATAGATACTAACAGGGGTTTAATTACAAGTAAATACAAGTTTTAAATATATGGGAAAATAGAAAATTTTTCAACTTAAATTTAATTTGGTATGCACTGAAAATCTATTAATTATTTACTCTCCTGTTGTGAGAACTTTAGACTTAATTTCTGGTTAAGACATAAAATAATTTCAAAAAGTAATTGAATAATTTATGTTAAATATTTATTAGAATTATTTTTTAAATTTCTATTAATATTAATTAATTTTTATAATAGTTTTAGTCATAGTTCTCATAAAATATAAACTACCTCTAAAATATCCCAATAATAAGCATCTAAAACAACCTATTTATATGCTTCTTAGAATAAGGACTGAATTACTTTCAAAAAAATGACTTTTCTAAATATTTGACTTTATTTGATTACAGATAAAATAATACAAATATTTATTATGATATTAAATAAGAAATATTAATTGGAGTTACAGGTGTGACAAAATAAATAAATATTATAACTATTCCTGGAGATCAAATTTTATTTACATACTATACAATAAATTCCTTTTTGTAAGGAGCTACCTATTATTTTTAGGAGTAAGCTAACTTAATTTTAGTTGATTCAACTCCTATTATATATTTATGCAACTACCTATAAAGAAATGTCACAACTTTCAATACATTTATCAAAGATACTTAGGGAATTTAGATGGAATAAAACAAATAGGTAATCTTCTTATATTCATACAAATTCATTTCCGCTCTAAAATTTCCAGAAATGTAGCTCATTGAAACTTTATCTTTATAATAATATGATTAGACAAATATTTTAAACATATTTATTAATTCACAAATTTCAATATTGGTAGTGTAAACAAATACTGCATTTATTAGCTTTGATCTTACAGAAGTACTCTATGCAAGCGAAACTAACTTATTGTAGTATTAAAAAATCTAAAATGTTTACTTAAATGATGAATATTAAGTGTATTATAGCTTATCTAATCTCTCTTTGAATTTATTCAAAAATTCATAAATTGTTGATAGTTTGGTTTTTGAGCCATTTTAATAAAATGTTTATCCATATTTCACAGAACCAATACTAGTATCTGAAAATTAATTCATATACATTACATATAATTAATTAAGGTTGATTTAAGTTAACTTAGAAACAAATTCTTTAACATAAATATTTGAAATTACATTGTAAAATACACCTGACAACTACTTTTTTGATTGTATATAGAATTAAGTATTTTTGCTTTACTGGTAAGATTTCAGATTAAATGCTATTAATTTATAAAACTAAAATTAAGGTGAGGTTTTTATAAAAAATTTATAGGAGTTTGACACATCTTAATCCTTAATTTGCAGTTAATTTATAGTTACAGCATCTATTAATATCATTTAAATTTACAACATTTAAAAAAATATAATTAATATTATTGAATTACTTAATTTAGGCTAAATAAAATAAATTTTTAAATTACAGATTAGTTAATTTGAAAATGATATATCTAAAACTCCGTTTGAAAACTATGGTAGAATTAATAAAATGGATTAAATATAAAAAGGATAGTTTATAAAAAATATATTTGTTCTTTAACAAAATAGCGATGGCTATATTATTTCTATTCTTGATTTAGTAAGCAATCAAGTTATTTCGTAATAATATCTAAAGGAATATAAAATCATCAACATAGTAAGTGATCCTTTTAAATAGATGATATATATTGTTAGCAATTAAGCAAATACGAATATTTTTAGTTATACACTAGAATTTATTACTTCAATATAAAATCCTTGCTTAAAGTAAGCATTTATATCTTACGATGTTAATTATGTTTATTCTATATGCCCTAATGATATAATTGTCTATAATAGAATAAGTTTTCAGCAGTAATTTTATACTATAAATAAAGGTATCTCAGAAGCAAATAATATAATAAATATGAACTATAATAATTTTATTATTATTGTTTAAAAAAAAAAATTGTCTGTATTATAATTGAAATATAATGACAATTATAAAATGATTTATGAGTATCATTAAGATAATTTATTTATATAAAGTTTTTAACTTATTAAAGACTTAAATAATTAAGTTTATGCTTCTTTGATAGTGTCTAGCTATGATAATGTTTCTAAAATATTAATGCCTCTCTCATAAAATAATTTGTGTTCTATTTAAATTCAACAGCAAAATAGACCATTTGAAAATGTCTACACAAAAACAATATTAGATTAGTAGACTTTATATTTGAATACTACTTAGTAGAAACTCTCTTTAATAGAAATAGAATATTAAGATGGATAATTACTATAATAAATTGATGCTTAGGTATAATTTGAAAGCATTGAACCATCACATTAAATTGGCTTAAAGTTATTTTCTAAAAATATGTGCAAAATATTTTGGTAAGATAATATTAGCTTTTCTTAATTAATAAAAAATTTATTTTTAAAATAAATGTCTCTCATAATTTAAACATAAATTGATATCAATTAAAATATGACGATGAACAATTTCTAAATGCTTAACATGTCATTAACTTTAAATAAATCAATTAATTTGTCAAACTTTAACAAAATTTATTTGCAATAATTATAAATCATAACCCAAAGTGATATCTAAATTACTATTTCTAACTGCAATTTAGTGGTAATAGATTAGTTATTCTTGAAAGAAATATAGATGTAAGAGTAGTTTTTATTTGTTTTTAGTAATAACACCAATGTAATTATAAATGATGTTTATATTTCTGATTTATCTTCTAATAAAATTTTCTAGATTACCTTTAGCAAATAAGTGACAATATAAAATATAAATATATAAAATTGCACTCATTTAGTTAATACATTTGATATAAAATAGATTTAAAATCTTACAATTACAAATACTTTCTTAAATAAAAATTAATTTTCTTATGTTTACTATATACAAAGTACAATAACCACATCTATTTAGAGTATTTTAGTTCAGAACTCTACTGATGTTGTGATAGTTTAAATTGAAGAGTAAGATATTAATACAATTTAATACCTTAGTGGTAATTTTATACTAAATAATGTAACACTTCTTAATTGTGTAGATACAAACTTCTCTATTCAGGTTCAGACAGTTAAATTATCTAATATTGCTTTAGATTATATTGAAGTTTCATAAACTATTTTTAGTATTTAAGCTGAATAAATAAGTTTGGAATATTTTAATATCACAAACACTAAACCATTTTCAAAAGCAGCTGAAAGTAAATTAATAGATATAAAAAGTTTCACAAATTCCTATATTAACAATATATATTCATTAGATATTGAAATATCAATGATTAATATAAATTAATAAAACAGAGGTGGATATGCTCATATTTCTTAATCAAAATTCATAAATATCACAATATCAAATAACAATCCTTTGATATTTTTAAATGGAATCTTTAATATAATTTTGGATAATTTTATAATTAAAAATGTGGTAAATACATAAAATTAATATACTTCTATCTTTGTAATTTAAGATTGTGAAACTGTAACTATCACTGATAGCTAATTTACAAAAAATGTTAATAGTAATGGTCCTGGAGGAGTTATTTATGCAGCTGAAAATAAAGTAATTAATATATTAAATTCAATATTTTAGTTAAATCAATGTTTGGCACTGAATGGAGGAGCTATATTTATATTAAATACAATTAAAACTGGTATATTAAATTTAAATTAAGTAGAGCTAATATCAAATAAAGCAATTTATTCTTCTGGTGGAGCCATTTATTTATAAAATAATAATTTAATAATGTAAAATTCTGTGGTATCATCTAACTTAGCTTAGATTGGTGGTGGCATATACTATACACAAATAGTTCCATAATTAATTATTGATTTATAAAATAGTAATAAGAATAATAACACTTTTAAAGATAATGTTGGAAGAATCTTTGGATAAAATTTTGGTTCTACTTTAAGGAAAGTGTATATTGATTTAGATAATATAGAAGCATCAAATTAAATTTTGAAATCTATTTAAGATGAAAACATACTAATCAAATTATTTAAAAGTGGAAATTAAATAAATTTAAAAAAAATATAGTTATTGGATGAAGAAAAAAACCCATTAAAGTTACCAGATTTTAATTCAGCTGAATTTAGTTAATTGAGTAATGATGTGTAATTATTACTAGAATAAATTAGTGTTTCGGTAACTTGGGAATAAGAAAATTAGTAAATATAATGCGTTGGTTAGCTTTAAACAAAGTAGTTTACAAATGGAGGCTTTAGCTTAGATGTTTAAATATTTTATAAGCCAATGTCCAATATGACCCTAAAAATAGTAAGTAATATGTTTCCATAAATTAAAGATTCAAATGGAAATATTATAGTTATAGGAGGGTAAGCAGAATTAAATGTTTAAGTTTTTATGGAATAATGCTCAGTTGGAGAAATACTTATATAATATGGTAATTCTATTGCTTGTGAATCTTGTCCAGACGGAAAATACTCACTGAGTTAAAATGATACTTAATGTAAATTATGTCCTGATTCAGCTATAAGGTGTATAGGTTCAAATATTTATTTATAGAATGGATATTGGAGAGAAAATGATAAAACAGACAATATTTTATATTGTAGTTTTAATCCATTATCCTGTAAACCATAAATTTCTACTTCTAAAGTAAAATAATTTTTTTCTTAAATAAATATTAATTAAATGTAAATTAATTAAAAAGAATTTATAATCTATTCAAAACTTGAAATAGTTTAAAAATATTTTTATATCCTTTAAACCAACTAATTCTATAAAATTGAATTTTTACATATATAACTCTTAAATTTAAAAGTTTAACTGTGATGTAGGTTATAAAGGACCTCTATGTCAGAGCTGCGATACATATGGTGATATATGGGAAGCTAAATATTCTGAAATTTTAAATCCTGGTCATTGCTATAAATGTTAAGAAAACATAATCTAAATTTTTATTTATAATTTTATTATCTTCATTTTAATATTTAGTTATATTTTAACTATGTTAAGAAGAATTATTAATTAACTTGAATTTAAACTCACTGGTTACTTCCTTAATAAATTGAATATTATTTACTTAGGTTCAACTTGTAATCATTTCTTTTTTTTTATTTTAATCATAGTTTTTCATTTTTAAAAAAAAAGTAAGTTAACTAGATAGATCATAAATTTTATCTAAGATTCTAACTGACCATTTATAAATATTATCTTTAATATGTACTTTTACATTCAAAATGCCAAGCTCATTTACTCTTCCTATACAGATATCAGGAAATCCTACTAGCTTGACTAGTAAGTCTATCGATTGTGTTTTTTCGCATTTTCCATAATTATAACCTTTATGGTTATTTTAATCTCTATGGTCTTTTTGTCTGCCAATAGGAATATTTTTATTATATATTCTAATTGGAGTTGTTTATTTGGTATTTAAATCAAATATCTTTTTAAAATACCTACTTACTACAGTTATATTTATTTACTTTTACTTCTTTCCAATGATTATTACTCTAGCAATCAGGTCAGTTAACTGTATAACTATAGGAAATAAAAATTATTTAGATTTAGACTTGAATGTTGAATGCTTTGATAAAGATGAGCACAAGCCTTTTATATTTTATTATAGTATTCCAGTAATATTACTATGGGGCTTATTTATTCCTATATTACTTTACTTTAAAATTTCTCAGACTAAATAATAAAATAAATCTATAATTATACAAATTAAATATTCTTACTTATTTGCAGGTTACAAAGAGAGATATTATTTCTGGGAATTTTGGAAATTATTTTGCAAAATGAAGTTGATTTTAGTATCGGTCCTATTTAAACAAAATATTTATTTAAAGGTAATATAACTTTTCTACTTTTAGAAAAAATTAAAAATAAATTTTTATTTTTTGGTAAAAATTAAGTGATTTTTTTTTTCCTTGCATTTTTATAATATTTAATAACTTAAAATAAACTTTTACATTATATAATTGATATTTCTAATCTTTTATTTAAATAATATTTTTAATATGATAGGTAGGTACTATGAATACACTTTTGCTTTTCTAATTTTATTTACTTTTAAAATCTCAACCTTATGTTAGAAAATACTTTAATGATTTATAGCAAATATCTACATTTCTTTATACTTTATCTTTAAATTTGTGCTTTTTATAGATAATTAATGACCAAAATAGATCATATTATTAAAATGCTTGGATAATTTTAGTTTTCTTTATCAATCTTATTTTTATAGTTATTCTAATATTAGGTTTATTAAGATTTAATATACCAAAAGAAAGAAGGGATAGAAATTGCTTTTAAAATATAATATTTAAAATTTATTATAAATATCCTGAATTATTTGATATTAAAATATAAAATTAACAAAAGATAAGCCTGCTTTTAAAGGTAAGAGAACTAAAAAATAAAATTAGATAGATGATAAGATATCAACAAAATTTTGATTTTTAAGAATCTCTTCAAAAACACTTTAACTAGAATAATTTATAAAATATAAATCTATCCCCACAATCTATCAAATTAACTTAAACAATCTTTTCTGAACCTGATGAAAAGTAAAAAATGTTTAAAGGTAATAATTCAATAAAAAATATGAGAAATAAATGGTCTTACTATACTAGAAACCCTAAATCCAACTAAATATGTAATAATTAAACTATTTAATTTAACTTCACATAAAAAATTTTAAAAAAATAATAATAGACCTCAAAGATATGACTCATTCTAACGTATCATCTTCTCAAAACACCTATTTTACTGGTGATTATATTATTGAAGCTAGGTCTCCAATACATAATCAAGATATATTCAAAACTTAAAATTGAATTAAAGTTTAAATTATTCCGTTTAATGATTACTTAGTCAATCATTCGCTAATATAATTGTTTAAGTTTTTTTTTTCGTTATTATTTTCAGTTATTATATATCAATAAATATATTATAAAAACTCTAATAATAAAAAATAAACTTTTTCAAAATGTAATTTCAATTAAATTTTAAAGATTATATTTAAAATTTAAGTCAATTTTCTGATATTTTAAATAAAAAAAATAGGGAGTGAGTCATCAAAATATATTTTTTTTTAATTATGAAATATAATAATAAGTATCTCTAGATTTTCTAAATAAATTTGATAGATTTTACAGAATGTTCAAGCTAAAATACTTGAAATTAAATTAATGATTGTATTGTATTGTTTCAAAATAAGTATTTTATGCTTTATTAAATTTTCTTTTTTAAAAAAAAGAAAAGCTTCTAAATTTTATTTTTTGAGCAAAGGTATCTATTTTAATTTTTAATAATTATTTTGAATGCACTCACTATTTCAAATCTAATAAAAAAATAACTAATCATAAATATTACTAATAATTTTTAATATATAAATAAATTTATTTTTCAAAATAAAAAGATATCTATTCGATTATATATTGATCAAAGCTGATCAATTTTAAATAGCAAATTGCTATTTTTAGGTGATAAATTTATTTTAAACAAATTTAGTTAAATATTTTTTTGAGTAATTATTTTGTTTAAAGCTTAAATAGCTATTAAAAAAGTAATATAAATAATATAATTCATTAAAAGAAGAAATAAGCAATTTAAAATAATGATGCTTATAAAATCAACTAAATTAAATTAAGTTAATAATTTAGTAGTTCTCCATGGCTTATGTGGATAACCTTCTAATTTTATTGAATTTGCAAATCAAAAATAAATAATTAGCCAAGTTAACTCTCATTTACTCGATTGGCATACTCAAAAGTTTAACATAAATACTTAATCATTGTATCTTAGAGATTATATTAAGAATATTACTAATGGATAGATATGCCTTCTGGGGCATAGTTTAGGAGCTAAGATAATTATGAACACACTAACCTAACACAAATAATAATTAGAGGATAAAGTCAAAGGAGCAATTATTGTTGATATGCAACCTTTTACATAGTAGAGAGAAGGAAAAGAAACAAGTCTATTTTCTCTACATTTATTTATGATTTCTTTATTACAATAAAAAATTGTATGATAAGCCATATTTTATATTTTTGTACAGAAAAACTAGGTATAATGAAACTATATTTGGGTAGAGTTCAAAACTTAAATTTAGCTGATAAAAATGAAGAACAAGTTTTAAATGAAATAGAAAGTGTAGTACCTTCTAAAAGAATAGCAAGAATTTTACTTTAAAATTATAATATAGAAGCTTAATAATGGAGAGTGGATATAGATGATATTCTACATAACTACGATGACTTTGTAATTTATTTTTTTTTTAATTAAACTAATTTATATATATTTTGCTAATAGCTATACCATGATATCTAAGGAAGTTGGTAGGGCAGAGTTATCATTTTAGCTGGAAAAAGATCTGTTATTGTAAGTAGAAGTTAATTTGATCCCTACAAATCTATATTTTCACAAATAGATTTATAAAGAGATATTAAATTTATTAAAAAAGCAAATCATTGGGTTTATAATGATAAACCCACTTTATTTGCTAACGAAGTTTCTAATTTTTTAAAAGAAATATTTGATGAAAAACATAGTTGAAATAATTAATTTATGTCGATAAATTAAATTTCTAATTAGTATTTTTTTACTATATCATTATTAATGGCATTAAATATTTTTTAAATTTAAAATATTTTAGTTTTAGTCAATTTAACTCTAAATTTATTCAAATAAATATTTGTGAATACTCTTTGAGTATTCCAACTTAAAAATAATTAATTGTATATTTTTAATTTAAATATCAAAATATTTGTTTTAAATTTATTAATATACTTAAAAATAATTAGTAAAATTAAATTTTTTAATTAACATTTTGTAATAGTTTTAACTAATTTGTTTCATAAAAATTTATTTCTTTAAATTTATTTTGTGAAATTGTAAAAAAGATAAAATATTTAATTAAAAAACATTCATTCTCTACATGACATACATTTTCCAATAAGATTGATTTTTTTAACTTTGCAATAATACTTTGAAATTTGAAAGAGCTTTCCACAAGTTGTGCATGCTAAATCAATTTATGAAATAGAGCATTAAAGTTGACATTAATCACAAAAAATTTCTACTTTATTCTTTCTGTTATAAATAACTGTCGATCTTAAGGATTAAAAGCATTTTTTACAAAGAGAACACTATGTGCTAACTTTTCTTTCATCTTAATTTTGCTATTTATTTTACTCTTCTTTACTTTGCTATTGTTATGAAATAGATATTGTATCTTCTACTTTTATTTCTTTAGATTATTCTTGCTTAGGTTCATTTATTTCCAATCCAAATAAATCGTCAAAAAATTAAAAATTTGGTGGAATTTACCCCATAGTTTTAGGATGGATTAAATTAAACTTTTAGCAATATAAGTTACATTCATGAGTATAGAAAAATCTAAGCATTCCTTCGTACCCTAGATCTCCTTAACCATATAATTTAGATCTATTTTTAGTGTGGATTTATGGGTCAGTTAAAATACCATTTTCTCCTCCTTAAATATCTACCACTAATAATTAACCATGTGAATACTGCCATGTAAAATGACTAAATGCTTAAGTTATCTTATTAAAGTCAGAAGAAGTTGTAAGATTAGTCCAACCTGCATTATTATTATATTTTTAATAGTCTCCTTCAATTAAATTCTCTACAAAATAGTATTTTATCTCTTTATTAGGGTGTCCAATAATTTCGTAAATTGTACTGTTGACAAAGTTAAGTAAAATTGAGTTCTATTTTTTAATAAAGTATTTTAAAACATTAATATAATAATTATTAATTATAAAAGTTAAAATTTTATATTTAAGTTATTAAGGGGTTTGATTAGGTTATTAAATTGTATTTGACACTTTTTTTTATTTTGAGAAAAAATTTTCATAATATAATTCTAAGTGTATACAAAAATTATTAAAATAAAGACCTGCTCTGAAATAAATAAAACTAATTTTGTTAAATATTTACTTGATTAACGTCTACTTCAGTCTTTAAGAGGAGTCTTGAGTTAAATTCTTCTGCAAAATAATGGCAAGCAATTAAACTCATAGAATCTCTCTTCATTAATTCTAAATTAGAGTTATGTTTCATCTCTTTATGCAATTTAGCTACTAACTTTAAGTTGAGTACTTAATCATATGCATAAAAAGCGTATCTCATTGCTCCCTCAGCAAAATATTTCTTCATAACTTTTATTTTTGAAGTAAGTTATTATATTTTAATTTAAGGATCATTCCAATTAACATCTTATCTTTTATCTACATAAGGTGTAAGGCATGTACATGACAAAGTAAAAGAGTCTTTTGAGTTAAAACCATTTTCCCAATCCATACCATCCATCATTAAACTAGGAATATAATTTAAATTTTTATAATCTTGCTTTTTAGGATTTTTTTCTGGTAGAATAACTTAGCTTGCTGGGTTTTCTGTTTGATGTAAATCAGTTTGATATTTTTTCATTTCCCATTCCTATTAAATTATTAAAAAATAAAATTTAAACTATTTTATTTTTTTTTTAAATAATAATAATTTCACTTATGGTCTTAGAAATAAAATTTATTATTAACAATAAATGATATAGATATTAAAAGTTTAAAAAAATTAATTACTTTCCTTAATTTTTAAAGTTCCTTTTATTCAAGAATAATTTTATGGTCTTAATTATCTTGGTCATCCTACTTATCATCAGATTATTTTTCTTCTTCACTATTTGCTTCATCCTCGTCTTTTTCACTATCTTCGTTTTCTTCTTCTATAATTTATTTCTACTTGTTAGATTTATTAGAATATTACTCTAATTTTGTTTTGCTTTAAGAGCTTTGCATTAGCTCTAATTCAGTTTTTGATAAACACTTTGTATTTAGTAATCCTTTCTATGCTCTTAAAATTCTGAAGGCTTTTTAATAGACTTCATCTCCAACAGACTTTTGAGTAGTGGAAGTAATGGTAGTTGCTACAGTTTATGAAATCTAATTTCCAAATTATAATGTATTTTAACCTAATTTTAATCTTATCATTGGTTTTCCTCTAGCATCTTCATAGATCTTTGAAAATATTTCATACATTTTATTTGTTTAAGATTATATATCTATTACATTTAGATCTATACCTTTCTTTCCAATGATATAAATATATTCTTCGATATCTATTCCATTAGGACAGCCTTATGGATAATGATCATTAGAATTATGATAAGTATCACCGTGACAAGGTGCATCAGTGATGATGATCATAGTTTTTGCCTAGCTTTTCCATTCTATTTTATTTTTTTAGTTTATTATCCTAATCCTTAAAACTAAAATAAAATTACCAAACAAGTTTATAGCAGTTTCTAAAGCTCCTGCCAAATCTTCTGGTTCGTCTCCTCCTCCTGTTGCTTTAAGAGAGCTGATAAATTTTTCTAAATTCTCATAATCCTAATTTATAAAAGGATACATTTCTATCCTTTAAGTATCACAATGATCTCTATAAGCAACAATCCCTACTCTCAATTCACTGCCTTAAAATTATTACTTAACATTTTAAATGATCTTTAATATATTTTATTTGCAAGCGCTAATCCAGCTCTACATTGAACCAGTGCAATCTAAAACAATCATCAAGTCGCAAGAAGTTAAATTAGATACTTTCTTCTTTTGATTTATTTTTTACTCATAAGGTAGAATAACTTAAAAGTCTTCATATATTTCTGACAAGTTATCTTAGAACATCTACAATTATATTTTCATTTATTTGCCTATTTTATATTATACGCTATTGCCTAAAATTCTATCACTCACTTGTTTAATTACAAATCTGATATCAATTATTTAAAAATAATAAATAATTCTTTTGATTAAAATCGTCATTTAATAATTGTTCACCTATCAAAAAATATCAATATTCTTATGTCAAATTAATGACCATTTTACATAATCCTAAAATATCCTTAAGTCATCAGATAAAATTTTAAATAATATCAGTCAAAATTTGATTAATAGATAAAGATAAATTGTTTTGTTTTTTTTAGTAAAAAATTATAATAAACTAGTGTAAAAAATAAATTTTAAATTTTAAAATAATTAAAAAAAATATTTTTATTTTATGCAAATTAATTAACTAGTTTTGCCTCTAAAATATAATTTTATGAATTAATTATAAAATAAAAACTAATTTAGAATCAAAAAATTTCTATTTTAGATGAAATAATTAATTGCCATAAATTGTTAAATATATTAATAAAATAAACTTATTTTTTACAATGTATTTTTTTTTATCAAAGATCTTAAATCAAAAATTTAATATTAAAATATAAATTTGTTTTTTATTCTTAACTTCAATAAAACCATAAGGAATTACTTTCTAAAAATAGATTGATAAATATAAAAATAAACATTTATATCAAGAATTTCAATTTAAAATAGAATTAAAAAATTACAAAAAAAAACTATTATAAGATAAGTTATAATTTAAAATAAAATTAATTTTTTTTTAAATAAGTATTTCCAGGTTTTTTTATCAAGCTATTTTTCATTATTTAAAAATGTTAAAAAAGAATTTTATTATCTTAAATTAAAATAAAAAATTCTGTTAAAAGTACAGGCAAGTTAAACTATTAAAGTCTGAATTATGCTACTGATGAAGTTAAATTTATGCTTTTAAGAATAGCTTAGAGGATAACCTCTTAAAGAATATTATTAATATCATGATTAACATGAGGCTTTTGTAATTCTTATTACAAAAAAAGAATTTTATAATAATCAATTTTGAGTAAAATTTAAAAGTAAATCAAATATACATAATATCATTAAGTAAAATTAATGACTTACACTCAAACAAAAGAGACTTGAAAATCATATAATTTAATAAATCAGAACTAAATATCTAAAATCAAATTATCTTATAAATCCTATTCATTCTTATTTTATTATTACTTTTAAAATCATTAAAATTCAGCTGAAAAATATTTAAAATATTTTTTAAAAATGATAAATAATATTTGCTGCTTGCAAATTGTCTGTATTTTTTTAGATTTTTTAATATAATTTAATAAAATAAATTACTATCCATAAATAATTAATGAAGAATTCAAGTATAAAATTGCTTTAAAAACTTAAATTAAATAATTAAAATAAACTCAATATAAATGTTTTGATACTTTTATAATTTTTTAGAAAACAAACAAACACAATTAATATTTTTTAAATCCTTTCAAACATAAAATTTCTATATTTAAATTTTTAGCTAATAATAAAGAAAGAAATGTAACTCAAAAAAATATATGGATATCAATTAGTTTTTTGTTAATATAAATTTCAACTCAACATAAGTCATAAATAAATAATTGATTATAAATTCAAAATGCTTAAAAAAATTAATTGTTTCTATAATGTATGAATGATTTAATAATAAAGTAATAACAAAATAGAAATAAGTAAGTAAACAGGGTAAAAAAACAAGCAATCAAATAAACCAACTAACTAATTATTCATACTTATCATTACAAAATTATTGAATTTCATTTTTTTTTATATGTGATTATTTATAACTATTCTTCTGATTATAAAGCTTCTTTGAGTAAATTGATCATTTATTTATGATCATATACGTTATCAGTTTTGGAATAAGCTAACCAACAAATTGATTCTCTTTCTAAATAACTCTTAAAAATCTTGCTCAAATCTTTACTACAAATCAATCTTTTCAATATGTGGTTCCATCTATTATTTTTTTTCTTCATTTATTTTAAGAAATTTTTCTTAATATTACAAAAACTCTTGTTAGTTCCTAAAATGCTACTAAACCTTTGGGTAGCTTTTTCGTTGCTTAAGCTTTTCAAATATTTTGAAAAACTTTTAATAATATTTTTTATTATATTTTACTTTTGTTGAAATTTTTAAGATGTGTTAAGAAATAATTAATGTTGATGTTTATATTTTTATTGAATTACTTGATCCATTTAAGTTAATATGGTGTCTTATTTGATATTAGAATTATTAAAGTTAGGAACATTGACCTCGCTCATTTCTTCATCTGGATAATCATGCTTATAAGTCGATTCATTCAATTCTTTATATTACTCAACAATACTAAGAAATATAGAAATGATCTGTAAAGACATGTTGCAATCCTTTCAATGGTAATTATTTGAAGTGAAATGTAAAGATTTTTTTAATTTCTTTAGCATTTTTAAATAATTATTATAAAAAAAATGTTTGCAAATAGAATCTAAAAAATTCAAATACATATAAAATGCAATCAATTTTTTCTACTTTTTATAAAATTTGATTGAAATAGATAGAATGATAAGTCAAAATTTTAAATTTAACTAATTAAATTTTAAGAGTGTAAGCAAGCATATAGTGAGAAGATAACTATTTATTATTTATTTATTTGATGGTGGATAATATTAATTATTAATAAATTAGAAAAGCATTTAAAGATTAAGATTAGCTCTAGCTTATGCAAAAATTGTGTATTTTATGGTTTTTAATACCTCACTTACTAAGCTTGTCATCAAATTTTTCAAAATAATTCAAACAAATATTTTCTTATATTTTGATTTTTATAAATTGAAGTAAATATGAGGATTTATTGTCAATGCAATATTAATTAATTGAAGTTATAAACAATTAATTTTATTTAATTAATCTTCAACTTATTTGAAATCTGTGAATAATTGATTTTTATATTTTAAATTTATAGACATAAATTAAAGTTTTATTTATTTTTCGAGAATCTATTGAAGATAAATTAATTATAATTCAATAATATAGAAGCTATTTTATAAAGCTAAGAATATAATAAATTTTTTTAATTGTAAAAAAAATTTAAATAGGTAGATGTTGAGGAATGGATAAGTATTTTTTAGCTATTATTGCTAAATAAGGATACTTATTTTAGTTTTTTTGCCAATAAATTTAAGTATCTTCATTAATCGAGAGTCTTGATTCTTAAGCATAAACAATTAGTTCTAAATTCAATCTTTCTTCGATTTATGTTATAGTATTATCATGACAAAATATTTTTATTTCAAAGTGGCATAACAGCTTGGCTTATTGTCAATATCTAATCAGTCAGTCTAGGTTATTTCATTTGATCATTACAAAATCTATTTTATTTAAATTGAGTTTATTAACAAATATAAAAAGGGAAGAGAAAGATTTTAATGAAGAATATATTTATCACAAACACTTTAAATTTTAAATCTAATTCATAGATTTATGTCTTCAAATGTTCAGTTATCAAACTCAATGACAAATTCTATCTTTAATTAAGTTGTAACAAGATACAAAATCTAAGATTAACAAAATTTAAAAAAATAATATCAATTAAAAAAGGTCAACTCAGAAAATAATATTCTTCTTTATAGTCAATAGCATATTTTCAAAATCATTCAATACAGCCTAACCAATCTAACTTTATCAAAAAATTAATGAATTGATGAGTAAAATAACTCGTGATTATCAAGTAAAATGAGATTATGTATATGCCATATGTCCGATTATCAATTGAATTGTATAAAGTTAATGCCTATATGTAATGAAAATGGTCTTTAAGTAATAATATGGGAAGAATGTTTTGAAAAACTTGATGATAAGTATTTAATTTATCTATATTGATATCATTTTTTAATAATATAAACATAATAATACAATCAAAGTATGAGTGAAATTGAAATGGATATCTAATATGAGTTTGAGCTTTTAACAGCTACACTGGAATAATATGGCGCTTGCGATTTCTATGATCATAGGGATGCTCTAAAACTTTAATATCATGGATAAGATTTTTTAGATTCTCCTATGATCAAGATCCTTTATAAGGTATTTATTATAATAGCTATGATAATGATGATTGATTGACTATCACATATCTAAAAAAACAATAAAATCCTTTAGTACCACATTTCAGAGGTGTGGTTTTGGTCACCTTCACTATTTAGTGGTTATTTGAATTTTTATTTTGACATTATTATCATTATTATTCATAAATCGATTAATTATAGCAATAATAACATTAAAAGCTTTCTATTCTTAAAGAGAAACAAAGATTTGAACTCTTAAACCTGAATAGCTTCACAAACAAGAATTAAAGACATTTATGACAGAAGCTATAGAATAAAAAAATGAAACAATAAAGAAAAAAATTACTTCAGGTTTAAACTTTATGGGTACTTAAATCTTTAGAGCATTTTATCAAGAACATCAAATCTTTTCAAATGAGAAAACAAAAAAACAAAACAACAATCTAATTAATTAAAAAACTATCTTTTATTTATAAATTTTCTTTATATCTTCAAAAAATAATAGAATTGAGGTAAAATATTTGTAATTATTTTCAAAAAATATACAATATGAATTAATACAAAATTAAAATTCAATTTTATAAATTAAATTGCTTGTACAATAAGACTTAATTTAACTTTAATAATACAAAGCAGTATTAATAATATTATGAGAATTTACGTTTATTCAATCATCAGCATATAAATCATATAAAACAACTTAAGGTATGGTTTGTAAGCTTGGTATTATTAATTTAGTAAATGCTATGGGTAAAATTATGGATTATATATATTGTTTTAGTATTTATTAATTTTGTAAATCTAATTAAGAAACAATAAATTATGTGGGTACTGTGAATGCAAAGCCTTTTTCAAGCCTTTTAAAAGTAGCTCTAATTATTTCATTTTTTGGATATAATCTAAACATTCTTAAATTTTATATTAATATTTACTCTTCTTCTTAAAATAAATTTATAAATTAACAAGAACAAAGTTAGTTATAACCCTAATAAATCACTTTAACTTTTTATTTCAGTAATTGGCATATTTTCTTTTGTAATATTGAATAGCCACATATTTCCTCATCTGTTTATTAATGGTGCTAGTTTTATTGAGCTATATATAACATTTGGTTAAATATGTTAAATTAACACCGTATTCTCAGAGTGTCTGTGCAATTAAAAATATACTTTTAATACAATTTTTGTTGCTATTAAATTCTATTCACCACTATTTCAAAATCACTATTAAAGCTAATATTATAATATTTATATGCAGTGAGTCTTTTGTATATTTTCTAAAACCAATTCATTAGAAAAAGTAAACTAAATAAAGTTGCTATTTTTAATTACCAACAATAATACTATTCAGAATTCTACTTTGTGAAGATAAGACAAAATAGCAACAAAAATAGCCTTAACATTTCTCCAAAATAGCTAAGATTTCTTAAAATGAAAGATTGATAATAAAAGTTTTTTTATTTTATTGCATCTGTGTATGAACACAAAAAATTAGTAAATAATCCATCAAATAAGATTAATGCAAAGTTAAGAATAGGAAATTTCATATAGGGTTAAGCTTTACAATAGATTATTAAAGATGCTACCAGAATAAATATCTAAAAGTAAAATAGATTAAAATCTACCAAAAAAGTTGAGTTTAATATACTTTTCATTGATAAAAAGTAGGCATTAATGGCTAAAAAGTATTAGATTGACCTTTTTAAACATATTTACTCATCCCTAAATCCTAAAATGTACAGAATAGAGCCTAAAAATATGATTAAGGTTTAAAGACACACTCCCAAATTATTTGCTTAAGATTTACTTTCTAAATTATAAAACAAATTCAATGTAATAATAGGAAAGATAAATAGGTATATTTTGGCAAACTTTTCTATCGTTACTTAGCTTTGAATGCTTTTGAGCCATATTAAATCTAAAAAAAGTATCTCAATAATGTTTAAAGGCATAGTATTTGTTTAAAAGTAAAAATAGCCTATTTTTTCGAAGCAAAATATGATCAAAAATATATTTCTAAATGAATAAATTTCTAACGTTTGAGCGAAATAGGCTAAGTAAATGTTTGCTAACAAAAATAATAAGCTAATAACTATAAAAAAATTTTGGTTCCACATTTTGCCTACTTTATATTTTACTATCTTTTTGCCTTATAAATATTGTTTTTTTAGTGATTTTATTTTTTATGATATGATAAAAGCATCTTAATCAAATTTTTGATCAATTTGTTGTGTATGTATTATCAAAAAAAAGTTAAGAGTAAATAAGATAGAGGCTTATTAATGCTTATTATAGGCAAATTTAAAAATATTCAATTTTACTATTAGATTTAGATATAAATCTTGTATGATTAATAATGAAAGTAATTATTCAATAAATTATGGTTTTTTAATTTTCAAATTTATCTTACCTCATGAATATTAAGAAGTTTTTGAATCATATTAATTATTAAAAATAATGCGATATTAATAAAAAAAAAATCTTCAAAATCAAATATTTATTTATTGTCTTTAGATAAAGTTTTTTTATGATAATGATAACTCTAAGTTGTTAAAAATACAAATGATAGTAAAAATCAACAATTTTTAATTAATTAATTTATCAGAATTTATTTTTAACAACAATATAACAATATGGCAAAAACTGACTAATTCTAAATTGTTTTTAATGGAAAAATATTAGTTATTAAGATAAATCAGTAGGCATTATAAGTAAAATGTTTGTAACATATTTCATTTCACATAGGAAAATTAATAAATTTTAACTTATAAAATTTTATAATTTGCAAATTTTAAACTCCAAATAATCGATGAATAGTCTATCTAATTTTTTATTCATTTTTTTAAATACTATTTTCTTTTTAAATTAGTATTTGATCAGTGATTTTATATCTATCTATTTTATGCTTACTTAAAATAATTTTAAGTTCATAAATACTACAAATGTAAGTTTTATTAGTTTATTATTAAAGAAATATATTTATAATAATGAATTTACTATAATATACATTTTTGTTTTACTTTTCTGTCAACAGATACAATACACTACACTCTTTTTTTTATGATATTAATGGATTAATATGATTGATATTTCAATTATTAAATATTTAATAAAATATTTACTTTTATACGAATTAGATCTTTAGCTATGCGATTGGTTGTTGAACATTAAATACAATCTTAACTTTATTAATAAATATGATTGATAAAAAATAAATATAATTGATCAAAAAAAGTTCAAAGATATAGATTGTAACATATAAAATCATTTTGACTCTTATATTTTATGATTTGGTTTAATCAGTCTATTATACTTTTGATATATTTAATCATTTAGAATTATATTAGCAATAAAATCAGTTGACATTCATTTTGTTTTTATCAAAGAACTCTGAAAAAGTGAAAGATTAAAATCATAATTAAATAATATCAAATTTTTTATTGTTTGCTGTAAATTTAATTACAAAACAATAAATGATATGATTCAAATGCTTGAATACAATTATCATGATTTAGTAATTCAATTTATATTTTAATTTTTTTAGATGAAATACAAAAAATATACAAAATCAATTACCTTTAACTACAAATTTAGTTACCAAGATTGATATTATTTGCTGCTAATGAAATTATTTAAAAAATAAATAACACCATTTTTATTTATAATAATTTTACAAATGGTTTGTTTGATACTTGGTTTTTTAGTTTATATAATTTCAAAATAAATATTTTTATTATCAAATTTATTTCATGCTTAAAGTCTAGCCAACTATTTTTCTTATTTAATAGAGATTATCTATATCTTTAAAAATTCATCTAAATTTTTAAAGTATTTTAATAAAAAATGTGAAATCATTTTATACTCCTGTTTGAGAACACGAATTTTAAAATTCTCCAATAAGTATTTTGTAAATTCCCTTTTTTTAGTTAAGTGAAAAAAAAAAATTGTTAAAATTTAAAAATTGTAACTTAAATAATATTTTTTTAATATTAATTAGTACATAAAAATCTAATTGCTAATAGTAAGCAAATTAAAAATATTTAAATTTTATTTTTGTTTTTAAAATATTTTTAGAGGATGGTTTCTTTAAGGTTTTTATAAGTTCTAAAAAGTTAAACCTCTATTTTAAATCAAGATTATCAAATTCGTAGAATAAATCAATCTATTGTAACTTTTCAGAAATTCAGTAGAAGTTAAAATCAGTTCTTGCAAATTTTGTCACTGAGAGAAATCAATTTAGATTTTTTATTAAATTGCAGTTTCTAGCAACATTTTTACAGAATTTTAAATTTATTTGTTTGATTATTATAAGCTTAAAAATATAAAGTAAATTAAATTTTTAGATTATTTATTTTTTTAATATAGCTGTAAAACTAATCAAGCGAATGTAATTTTACCAGTTTTAAGCTGAAAGAAAATTAATCAAAATTAGAAATTTTCTTAATTTCACTTTATAAATAAATTAATATTTCATATATTCTTCATCATAACAAAAATTTAAATATTGAATTTCTTTTTAAAGTAATTGTTAACAAATTTTACGAAAATAAAAACTATTTAAAAATAAATATTTCAAAGCAATTTATTTGTTTGTTTGCTTTTTTTGTTTTTTTGCTTATTTTTTAGAAGGATTCTTCAATTTAAGATATAATTATTATTGATTGGAAAGGGGGCAAATAAATAATAATAGAAAAATTTAATATTGTAAGAAGAATGAAAATATTTAAAATAAGCAGAATAATTTGATAATAGTCTATGCCATTTACACATAACAAAATATGTGCATGAATATAAAATGAAATTGTAATAGTCTAAGTTAAATAGTAATAATATTCATAAAATATGGAATTTATTACACTTTTATAATAATTTCTCAAGTAAATTTAATAATATTTTACAGAAACTAAAAAATTTATAAATTTAAAAGAGTCTTGATGATAAAATTTTTAGTTCATAAACAAACATCAAAAATTATTAAGAAAAATAACCATTTTTATATAATTTTAAATGTTAGTCTCTTTATTTTTACAAATGAAAATTATTAAGAAATTAATTTAAATTTTATTAATTTCTGATGGCAATCTCAATTCAGGCTTTTGAATAGAACTAAATATTTATATACTAACATATGGTTAACACATAAAGGTGTGCAATTACTTTTAAGTATTGTATTTAATCTGCATATGATTTCATAATTTGAGTTGTAATAAGTCTTCAATTTGAAGCATAAATATTGAATGATTTGTAAATTGTTAAGAAATAAAATATAACCAAAACAAATTCAAACAAGATTATTTGTATAAATTAATATTTGTAGTTTTATAAGTTAATAATTAATGTGTAATCATTTCTTTTTATATGTTTTTATATTTACTTACACTTCTTATTGTAAGGCCTCTTTTATTAAATTAATCATCTACTGATGAGATATAATATCATCTGTTTTTGATGAAAAGAGCCAATCATTTGATTCTTTTTCTAAATAGCTATAGAAAATTTTGCTTAGATTTTTACTAGATATCATTCTTTTTAAAATGTAATTCCACCTATTATTTTTTTTCTTCATCTCACGAAGGAAGTTTTTCTTAATATTGGTAATATTTTTGTGAGATCCTAAAATACCACTAAACCTTTACATAGCTTTTTCGTTGCTCAAGCTTTTTAAGTATTTTGAAAATCCTTTAATTATATTTTTGATGACATTTTATTTTTGTTAAAATTAATAGTCCATATCAAAATTTTATTAAATGGGATTTTAAGCAAACATCAAGCCATAACTTTGTTGAGAGTTTAGCAAAGTATTTTATTGAATATCTGAAAAATTTGAGAATGAGTTGGTAATTTCTTATTATATAGGAAAGAAAATGTCATTTTATTTGAACTCAGTATCATTAGGAAATTGTGAAACAATATCAAGAAATAAAGAGATAAGTTGTTGTGACATTTACTTGCAGTTTGTAAATTGTTAAAGAATTTTAATCAATCAAGAGAGAATAGGTTGGTTGTTGTTAATCTTAAATTTATTTATTTATAAATATATTAATTATTATATGATTATAATATTCGATCTTATGATTCAATTTTATAATACTTAATCCACTAATGTTTACATTCTTAAAATAGGAATTAATATTATCAATATTTTAAACTAAATTTGGTTTGATTTTTTATAAAATTAAGGGTTTTTATAGATGTTTTTGCTTCTTTATAGATAAGATTCTATAATAAACATTTTTTATATATTATTATAAAATAACTGTTAAATCAATTTAATTATTGTAAAATAGCTGTTTCTTTTTTTATTTTTACAAATTATAAACATTTATTCGAATTCTAGCTAGCTAGCTAACAAATAAACAGATTGATGAAAAAGTTTATATAAATTCAACTTCTTGAATAAAAACAATAAAATCTGAACTAAATTTATTCAAATATAGTTTTAAAGATTTTAATAATTATAATACAGAGCATATTTTGTATCAAAAATATCCATACTTTTATATTTTAAAATATTATTTTTATTTGGTACATTTATTTATTTTGTTTTATCTCTGTATTCAGGATTCTTACATAAAAAAAGCTGAGCAATATTTTGTTTAAAAATTACACTTATCTCAATTAAAGCTAATCAGAATTTTAAATTTAATATGAAAAAAAATAATAAGAAAGCTTAAAAGCTATAGATAAAAGACTTACTTTTTATCTGTTTTATCCTATATTTTTCATTTTAAATTGATTTAAATCATTTTAATTACCCAAATTTTACTCAACATTACTAGTTGATATAATTTTTTTAACACCATTTAAAATTCTTTTTCATGATTAAAGTAAATTTTGAATCATATAAAATTTATATACTAACATAAAGATAGAAAGACAATCAAGCAAATAAAATCTTTTATTACAATTTCAATAAAATTAATGTTAAACTGCACAAAATCAAAATCTTGCTCTAACAGAATTCTATTAAGCAAAATTTTTAACACCATAAATTTAAACTATACGTAGACTCATTTTGATTTTGTGTTAAGCTGATTGCTGATTTAGTGTTTTCTATAATTAAATATTTAATCATATAAAATGCATGAAGTAAACTTAATAATTAGCAGATTCTAATTTTTTAATTTAAAAATTTATTAACCCGCTTCTAATTTCATGTGCATTAGATGATTGTGGACTTTTATTACTAAGGTATGCTTTATCAATCTTGTTTTAAGAAATTTATAAACAATTTATTATTAAATCACAAAATTACGCCAAAAACTGTTTAAAATTGATTATTAGTTATTATTCTTTTTTAATAACTTTTAATGAGTTATTGTTAATTCATTAAACTATACAATTTGTTAGTTTTTGTTGCTATAAAAATAATATTTTATATTTAAATTAAAATACTAATTCCTATATTATATTTTAAACTAGTTATTTGATATAAAAATACAAAATTTTCTTATAAAATAAATCTATTATAAATGTAATAACTTTGATTAATTATTTTATGGAATATTTTTTGATCCTGAATAAAAATCTTAATCTTGATATTTAATTTTTGTAGTAATTTAATAAAAAAAGTACTTGTATTAATGCTTTTATAAAATTGTAAATTGTTTTCATAAAATTTTTTAAAATGTCAAAAATTTTTAGAAGTTTATTTGAAGATTTTCTCATTTTGAAGTATTCAATTCGAAGATAAAAAATATCGAATAAATCTAGAAATTCAATAGAAAAAATAAGAAGTTTTCTCATTTCTTATTAGTTACTATCTAAATATTGATTGATAGAAAAGATATTAAAAATCGTCTAAAAACTTTATACTAAAAACATATTCATTTAATAAATAGATTTTATTATTTTCTAAATTAAATGTTTTAAATTTCATAGTAAAGCGAGCTAGGAGACGTCTGCTCTGGTCAAAATTTTGGAAAGATGGTCGTAATTGCATTTTACGCTGACTGGAATGAGCATTCGTTGAATTATATTGACCAATTAGAAAGTTTAATTGACATTAGTCCTTTTCCAGATGTAGTTTTTGCTAAATGTGATGCAGAAAAAGTACCTCAAGTTGCAGATAAATTCCAAGTAACTTGTATTCCTACAGTCATAGTCACTGAAACAAGAAGGCAATTGATTTAAAAGTTTGAAAATGTTGCTCCTGCTTTACTTATTGAAGAATTAACAACAGCAAATGAATAATTCAAAATAAATTTCGAAGATGAAAGAAAGAAAATGTATGCTAAAATAGATGGTTTGCTTAGTAAACCTGGAATTATTGCTTTTATTACTGGTACACCAAATGAACCTGAGTGTGGATTTACTCGTTAGCTCGTGGAAGTGTTCCAAAATCTATAAGTTAGATTCGATTACTACAACACTGAAGCAGACATGGCTATGCTTTAATTTATTCGCCATTATTCGAAGTGGCCAACATTCCCTCAAGTTTTCTTTAATGGAAAATTAATAGGCGGTTTAGATGTTGTAAGAGAACACATTGCAAAGGGTACACTTGAAATTCCTCCTGAAAGTAGAATTTCTAATCCAGAAACTAGATTGGAAAACATACTAAACGAAAATAAGGCTATACTCTTTTTAGAAGGCAAGCCAAATGAAGAAAATCATAATCAAGAAAGTAAAAAAGCAGTTGAACTTCTTTAATAAACAGGGATTAAATTTACTACTTTTGATTTAACAATCGATTCTCATTTAAAAGAATACCTTTAAAATAAATATTCTAAATAGCTCCCTGTTTTCTTTGCTAATTCTAACTTTGTTGGTAATCTTACTACACTTTAAGAGCTCTCAGCAAAAGGTGATCTCTTGCAAACAGTGCCTGGAAATTTATGGGTTCTTAATGGAGAATAAAAAATAAACTACCTATTGAAAAGATGTGAAATCCTTGTTTTTATTAACGGAATTCCCAAAGACACAAAAACCAAAGAGTCTCAACAGATAATTCATTTGTTAGAAAGCAAGTAAAAGCGTTATGATTTTTACAATGTTGATGCTGATGCTGAAGTTGAAGAAGCATTGAAGAAAATAACTGGAAAGGAAACAATTCCTTTGATTTACGAACACTAAAAGCTTATTGGAGATTTAGAAAGCGCTGAAAAGCACTTTTCTTGATTATAAAAACGAAATTCTGTAAAAAAATAGGTTTTGAATTTCAATTAGAATAAATAAATTAATTGTTTAGTATTAAGTTTTTATATTGAAAGTAAACAAGTGAATGTTAATTAATGTTTTAGATTTTAATATTAAGAAATGATTTTTTTGTAATAAAAAAAATACATTTTTAGAATTTTTAAAAATTTGAAATTCAAACTTATTACCATTATTTCGAAATAACTAAATTTCTTTTATTTTTTTATTTATGGTAGTGTAAATTAGGAATAATATTGAGATGTTGCTTTTCGAACTTAAAAATATTATTGATTTTCATATTATAAAATTATTATTTTACTTTTTTTAATATAGTAGAGTTTATGATGATATAAAATATTCATTTTTATTTCGTTTAAAGAAAATATGGTTTAAAAATGAAGGAGTGAGGTGTTCTAACATCTGAAAAAATTGCATGCAATTTTGAGAAAGCAAAAAAAATACTATACTATCAAGAGTTAATAATGAATCTTTACATATACAGTGGAAATTTTGTTTATATTAAAGGTATAAAATTCGTTTATAAATATATTTAAATGATACTATCTGGAAACTTATAATTAATTGATAATGTTTGAATTGAAATAGTCTAATTTAAAAATATAAATTTTGTATCTGTTTAAATTTAACTTAGATTTTTTATATAGAATATTTTATTATTATAAAAACTGAATATATACTGCTTTTTCTTAATTAATTACAAAATTTTTTGAATTTACTATAATTTGTGTAATCTTTTATTTAAATTTACGTTCTTCATATTTAACGAACAAACAAATTTATATTATTTATTTATGTCTTTTCTTTTCTATTTTCTATTATAAAGATTTTTGATGTTTTATTAAACGATATAAAAGCATCTATCTATTGATTTGGGATGGTATTAAGAAAATTAAATTGAAATTGTTTTAAATTTTTTGTTTATTATGAAATTCTATCGTTTAGTTATTGTTTGTAATTTAAAAAATATGAATTATTATCAATAAGTATATACCCTATTTTAATAAAAATAATCATCTTAACATTTTTTTTTGAATTTTGAATTTCAGATTTCATCAGAATCAGAAGAGTTTGTTTTGTGTTTAATTTTCGTTGATAATAAATGATGTGGTAGGAAAATTTAGTTGAGACTTAATTGAGGATTTTTTTATCCTTATTTATTAGTTTTCTAATTTAATATTTAAGCGTTTGAGTTTTTCAACATTGAATTTTTAATTAACTTTAGGGGTAAGAATTGTATTACTGTAATTCAATACAATTTATTTAAAAAGTATGGATTTTACTTTTGAATTCGCATTCTTATATATTAATTCATTTATAAATCTTTTTTATGTCAAATATTGTTTGTTAGTTTTTGGATATTTTTAGGTTTTTGATGTCTTTTTTACTTAAATGTGTATTTTTTAATTATTATGTTATTTAAAAAAAGAGTTTTGTTTCTCAAAAAAGTCAATCTACAAACTTTTTAAAAGTTTTTGTGTATCTTAAAAATTATTTTATGCTAATTTAAATTAAAGGTTCTTAAAATATAAAATGAAGAAAGAAAATATTGAGAGAGATAGAGAGCGTATTCTCATTCCTTGTAAATTAATAATAAAGAAAATACAAAAAGCACATGAATCTGCATATTTATTAAATGTTATAGTTATACAATTACACAACTAATTTAGAGGTATTTAACAAACACATGGGTTTATTTATTAAATTTTGTTACACTTAAAAGTGTAAGTTTATGAAATAAAGGCAAATGTTTGGGTATTTTACAATTTATGTTGAAAAGTAATATAGAAATAATGATAATGATAATGAATGCATGACCATAAATAATATCTTTAAAATGATTTATACCTATAATCTTTAATGCATTTGCTAAAAATAATTAAATAACAAAAAATATTCATTGCATATTATAAATTAGGATTGTGAATTGATTCCTAAATGAAGTTTTTCGGGTTATATTTTTAGTTAAACAATTTATAAAAAAAAGTTGTTTTAAAAAAAAATTTAGAGATTTATTTGATCATTAAAATATTTTGAAATTATTTTTTTTTATGCAAAATATAACATTTAAAAGCTATTTTAGAAGATCTGCTTTTTAAATCAGCAGGTTTTTATATTTCTTTTATAAACTCTATTTTGTATTTATTAGCTTTGCGACTTTTTTGTGGAGATAATAATTTAATAACTTATTGCTTTTTCTTCTTCTCTGCTTTAAACTCAGGTCGGTATTATAGTTTCTATAGTTTCATAAAAAATCCTTGTTATTTTACTTTCTAAATATAATTTTACGATATTGAATTTTGCCAATTCAAAAAAATTCTTAAAAACTTGATTTTGTTGATGATCAAGGAAAACCTAATATTTTTGAAAAAAATTAATTCATTTTTATTTTTATTTTTTTAGTTTAATTTTAATTTTAATATTTTAGGGACTAAATTTGCAATATTTGATTTTATTAAAAAATAACTAAAGCATACTATGAGAATATGAGAAGAAGCCCACACAAACAAATAATCTAAATATGATATTTGTTTAATTAATTTAAATTTGATGATGAAAGCCAATTTTTTCATAAGCGAAGCCTTTGCAAGGTCTGTTTAAGAGTAAAAGCTATACAAAATAGTGTTTTAATGTAAAAAATTTTTTATCAAAATTGTAAATATTTAATTGCTTAATAGGATATAAATTATAACATGTTAAATACAACTAATTTTGAAAAAACATTGAATTACTCATTAATCATTACAATTATAGATCATGCATATGAGATATTAAAAAAATTAAAATATCATTTGGAAAAAATAATCACTTGCTATTAACATAAGCAATTGGTTAGAAATTTATTTTACTTTCTTGATGGTTAAACAATTTTTCACTTAAATATATGTAAAAAAAGCAAATTAATTAATTTTATTTAAACCTTTTGCTAGCCAGCAATTTTTTGATTAATTCTAAATAGAATACATACTTGATTTAGAGATATTAATTGCTTATGATAATATTAATATTTGAATCAAAAATTAGTAGTCTATTACATTAATTAGTGTAGAAATTATTTAAATTCTGATTGAAGAAATTCAATTTATGTATAGAAAAAATAAAAAGCCATTAAATACATTTGATTTGTTGTTCTAATAATTTATAATAAAAATGATAATATAAAGTGCTATTGAAATAGCACTTAAACATAAAAAAAATACAAGTAGTTTGATACATATTTAGTTATAGTGAAAAAGGTATTTAATTTAAGTATTTTAATATAGATTTTTGATAAGCTTAAGAAAGTAGGATTAATCACTTCTTTTTATAGGTTTTTATGTCAATTTAAACTCCATGCTAAAGAGCCTCCTTTAGCAACTTAATCATAGCTTAATGAGAAAAGATATCATTAGTGCGTGAAGTGGAAAGCCAAAGCCGGGCTTCGTTTTCTAAGTAGCTACAAAATATTTTACTAAGATTTTTACTACTTATTATTCTCTTCAGAATGTAGTTCCATCTATCATTTTTCTTCTTCATCACACGAAAGAAGTTTTTTTTTATATTTGATATGTTTTTTTAAGAGCCCAAAATATCGCTTAATCTTTAGTAGGCTTCTTCATTATTAATTTTTCTGAAATAATTTTAAAATCCTTTGATTATATTCTTGATAATATTCTATTTTTATTAGATTTAGTTGGCCATATCAAACTCTTATTAAATTTAGTCTTTTATATTTCTATAGCCGATTCTTTCTTCAATATTATCGCATACGTTTTATTGTATTTCAGATTGAGAGCAGCAGCTGAATTTGTCTTAATTTTCAATATTTTCGACCCTGTTTGATTGTTTTTTAATTTCATGTTACTAGGACTCAGCAATACTTAAAAATAACGAGATAAGTTAGTAGGACATTTTTTAAAAGTTAGTTAGAATTAATAAAAAATTAAATAAGTATTTCTATATAGATAGTCTTTTTATCTTTGTATTCTTCTTATAATTTAGTAATTAATTTATTAATAATTTATTCTTTGCAATTATGATTATTGCTCCTATTTAAAGCCAATAGTTATTTTTTACTTCTATTTTTAATATGTTTCAAGTAAGTAAGCAATATCAAAGAATTTGCTTACAATTCAACTTGTAATAATTATAATAATTATAATTATATTCTTTTTTAGAATTGCTCTCACTCTCTCTCTCCTCACTCCCAACTTTGATTTTTAATTACTATTTTTACTATGATAATTGCTTGAATTTGAATATTAAATAATAATTTAACAAATTTTGATTAATTTATGATGGATGACATATTATTTTACAACAGAATCTATTTAATGCTTACTAGTCCACTATATCATCAGCTATAAAAAGGTGATTAATTGATCTATTTATGTTACAAAAAATAAATAAATTTTCAAGTAAAGCATTCTCTCATTATTTAAATGTTCTGTGACAAAATTTCTAAATACTTAGAAGCTAATTTCTTTTTTGTTATCCAATTTACATTTTTTTGTATTTAATTAACATTCACCTTTCTCACCATTTAAATTTAGTTATTTCATTGATATACGAACCAAAAAAATATACATACATCAAATTAATTCTTTTTTAGTAAGTTTGATTTGCTATTAAGTTAATTGCACTTTGCTTGTTTTTCAATGTGATATATATATATCTCTCGCCTTTTTTCCTTGAAAATTATAAATATATAATTTAGCATAAAGAAATACCTACTAGAAGGTATTTGAATTTTAATAGAATAGCTAAAAATATAACACTTTTTAACTAAATTATTTCATATTCTAAATACATCTATAACCACTTAGACTTTACACAAACGACAAAAATGCAGCTTTATATTCAATAAAATAAATTTTTTAGATCAAATTTGTTTTTTTAGATAAAAAATATTATAAATGAAATCAACAAATAAATTTAAAAGTATTCAACAAACAATAGTATCACTTTTTTTGTTTGTTTTTCTTTAAAAATCTAAAATCTAAAATATAAAATATTATTTCTTAAATGAATCATAAATAAGTTATTTTATATATAATTTCAGTTTAATTGATTTTTTGCATCATAATTACTAATTTTTTTATATGAGTGATGTATAAATAAGTGTTATCAAAATAAAAAGGAAAAAAGATATTTTAAAATTATATCTAATGTTTTTTGTAACCAATTTTGACTCTAAATATTAATTCAGCCTTAACATTCTATTTCCTAAGAAAAAAGTGAAATTTAAAAAAAAATTTTAATTTAGGCTTTGCTTTCTCCTAACATTTATTTAAAGAACTTTCCATTTTTTAAATAAATTGTATATCATTTTTATTTTTTGGTTATTAATAGTGTATTAAAATCAATTTTTTTTCTACTATATTTCTTTATCGCATTTTTCATTGGCATTTTATAAATGATTAAATATAAACTTTTATGAATAAACATTTATTTATCAAGAATTTTTATTTTTTTATTTAAATTTTTTTTTTTTGCATAATTTGTTTTAAAATTTATGCATTCTTTTAAAAATTTGAGTTTTTTACATAATAAAATGATATTAGAGATTTTATATTGTTTTTTATATCAAACAAAAGGTAAAAATGAAAATTTACCAAAATAAATAAATTTAATATTTATAAATTCTAATTGATTTTCATATAATTCATATCTTTTACTAAGAAGATTTATAGCTTCTGATTTATAAAATTTAGAAAACTTTCTTTAAAGTTTTAACATCGTCTAAATGAGTATTTCTTTTTAAATTATTACCATAAAAAGAAAATGTAATTCACTGAAAATGCTTGTTTACAATCTTAAAATTAATATAATGGAAATAATTTAAAATTCCTTCATCAATTGAAATAACTATAAAGCCTTGAATTTAGTTATTACTGGGTAATTAATTTTTTTTAGTTCTATAACTCAAATATAATAACACTTAAGAAAAACCAGTAATAATATCACACCTTTTTACATTATTATTAACAAACGAATAAAATTTGTGTCAAAATAATAAAAATTTATTGATTTCTAACGTTGAATTAAGTATTTATCTATCAAGATTTCTGTCTTCTACAACTTTTAATTAATTACTCATAACTTCATTAAAAATATCGCACAAATAAATCACTGAATAAGTACAAGAAAATAAAGACTTAAAAATATGTAATTTAAATGTTTAAACATTCAATAAAATTTTCAAAGCACTTTTATTTAAATTGCAATGCTAACTGGCAAATAGTCGCTAATATAATTTTTTTACAATAAATATATATCGTTTCCTCTGTATATTAAATTCGATTTTAGCTTTACAATCGTTTTAAAATGAAAATGAATTGATAAAATTGATATAAATTTTCCCTTTTTATTAATTAAAAATAAATAGCATTATTCTCTTGCTTAATTTCAGATATTTGATTTACAAGACATTAAAAAATACAAAAGAATTTTTTTATTAGATAAATGGGTCAGCTCTTTACTGGTTTGTTTATTTGTACTTTTGTTTTGTTCTTGGTAATTATATTAATAAATTAACGGACAAATTTTATTATTAATCAACACTTAAGATTTGATTTAACTTGTATCATTCACACATTTATGTTTGAAAAATTTTACTTCATATTATTTGTAAAATATTGACTGATCTCATCAACAAATAGTTAATCGAGGTTATATGACGAATTAATTAGCTATTATTATTATTATATAATAAACTATATTTTATATGATAAAAATAAGTTATCATAATTTAGTAAAGGAAATTATATTTTTTTATATTATCCTTTAATAATAATTTATCCTATTTATGAAATGTAAACAAAATTTTTATACAAAAAAATAACAAAACTACTAAATAAATATAAGTTAATTTATAAAAAGTATTCATATTTTATTGTTTAAGAATAATAATTACTAGAATTGTGCTTTGAAATCAAATTAGGCAATTTAAATAACATATTTGATCTATAAAGAAATAAAGGCTTTTTAAGATTCCAAACATACACATTAATTAAAATAAGAATATTAATCAATCAAATAAAAAAAATATCATAATTTCCATGAATTTTACTTTTTTATAAATTAATATTTTCAAAATTTTTTAAATATATTTTAAGCTACCTATACTTAAAAGTCTATTTACACTACAATTTTTTGAATAGAAATTTATATATTTATTTATTTTTTTGTGAAATGATCTGAAATTTTCTTTCCAAAAAAATAGATTCAATAATTTGAATATTAAAATAAATAATAATTAATTAATTGATTTTGACAAAATTTGAGGTAAAGATAAAAGAATAAATAAATAAATATTTCATTAATTTTACTTAAAATTAATTATTCAAACATCAAAAATATTTACAGAAAAATTTTTTCACTGAATAAATTTGAATATTACTTTATTTAAAGTTGCTAAAAAGATATAATTGGAGAAGAAATTAATTAATTAATTGATAGATTCAATTAAATTATTTGGTAAATAGTTTTTATGATAAATAATTGTCAATTTTTTTATTTTCTTTTTTTAATATATTATTTTGTGTTAGATTGATATTGATTATAAAAGTTTTTTTGTTTTAGTAATGATTGAGTAAATCAATTATTTTCAATTGACATCGTTAGTAAAGTATTTATTTAATGTAGAGTTTGTTGACAATAAACTAATGTTAAATAAAGAGAAATAACTTTTTATTTACTCAATATCTGAAATTAGTTTTTTTTGTACTAGAATCCATACTCCCATTATCAAAGAAGTGACTAATACTATTTGAAGTATGAACAAAAAGAAAAATATGCTTTATATTTTCTGGCAATATGAAGAGGAAGTATGAATGAAGTATCTTCTAAATGAATCAACAGATTAGTTTATAAATTTTAATAGATTGTTTAAGTCAGTTAAAGAATTTCCATTGATGAGATTTTTTTTATAATAATCTTGAGATTATTTAAGACCATCTGGAGTTATCGGGTAGTGGTTATAAAAATCCATCAAAGATTCCAACTCCTAGAAGGCCTTTTTTACAGTGATTAAAAATCCCTTTTGCAAAATTCCTTAATACAAATTATTGCAGTCGTTTAGAGTAAAATTTGTCTTAAAATACTGAGGATATTCTGAACTTGTTTAACACATATTACCAGTCAACATTTATTTATAGAAATTTTCATATTCGATTTCATTATAATTTGGTACGAAATCTTACTAAGCTAGCTATTCTACTATTTACAGATTTTGCAAATTTTCAGTAGCTTGACTATTTATCAAATCAAGAAAAACACCTTATGTTGGATCTTATTTTCTCCAAAACCATTCAAGATTGAGTACTTGGGGAGCTGCTTCTTAAATTATTGTCCTAGCTATGGCATAAATGTCTATTTATTATGAAATAAGCCACTATTGATCTTTAATGTAAGGACCAAATAAAATTATGCTCAGCAAAGGCTGAATATTGAGAAAAACCAGTATTAATATACCTAAAAATAAATCTTTCAATGTAAAAAATTTAAAATCATCAAAAGAAGCCTAAAGTCTTTTTCTTTTTTGTAAGTTGGAGCTTTCAAACAGTTTATTACTCGTTTGCTAATCGCTTCTAGGAGATGCAAATGATTTAGAAAGAGCCTAACTTTGATTAATTTGATTTTTATTAGCTTTGTTATTAGTGCTATTAAAAATACAAGTTTAGCAGTTCTGTTCTTTATATTCTTGTATTAGATTTTATAACTTTCCTACCTTTTGCTGGAGCTCCGATGGTTAAAAGCATCCAAGAAGAGAGAGCAATCTTTTCTTTTAGATTTGCTAAACTAAGACCACAGATGCTAGAATAAATATCAACGATATACTTGAAGAAAGTATAATTATGAATGAAACATTATTATCGCTTTAGCTTTAGCTTAGCACACTATTCATATTGTCTTATACTTCATTTTGGAATGTTATGATGCTTTGCTTGAAATTTAAAATACTGTACCACAAGAAGTTTTCTCTGAAAGGATCTACCTTCATTATAATAAACAGCGATGACATATAATATTAAGTCAGAGCTTAAAATAAATCAATAATAATATTATATGAATTTCCATTATCATCAGGTGTATTCTAAATATCTGTAATGTTGACAGTCAAACTTTGCAGCATTGTTATGAGATTAATATTTGGATTGTTAATTAAAAGGTCGACATATGCTTATTTGTAATCAATGAATATATTTTACTAGTCTATTCTAGTTACATTCATTTCTTTAAGTTCATTTTGTCTATTGATTGAAGGAGCATTTTCTTTCATTAAATAATAATAAGAAATTGATCTCATTGTGTCTAAAGTTTTCATGTACATAATCACAGGATTAGAAACTTTCTCATAAGAACTAGAGAAATCATCGATACCGTTCATGTTTATATGGTAAACAATATAATTTACTAAGAGAAGCAAAGTAAGAGAAATAAAACCAATCATAAAAAAGTAAGATAAATTGCAAGCCATGCTTTTAGATTTAATTTTTCTTGATAAAATAATTTTATAAGTTGAAGTTCTACTAAAAAGCGATGATCCTATATTAGAAACTAGCGCTATTTCCTCTACAGCTTTGATAGGACTATTCATATTCTAATCTTCAGCAAACTCTACCTTTTTCTTTCCAACCTAGCTAGAAGGTGTAAGATATAATGCGATTTCTTATTATGTGTCTACTCTCGCAGATTTAAAATCTCTCGTTGACATAACATTACATAAATCTTCTCCTGACAAAATATCTTATCTTCCAATTTAAGTTGGAATATTTATTTCTCTTCTACTGCTCATTAATTAGATGCTATTTAAATTAGTATTAAATTTTTATTAAAATCCAACAGTCTGTCTCCTTTCATTAATTTTGATAGTTTGTTAAGATTGAATTTTTGATGATGCATTTTCAAAGATAGAAGTTTTCATGTTTGCATTTATTTTTGATACTACTCTTTTTGAATCTATCAGCTAGCTTTATTTTTGAATTTTATCTTCTTTGTTATCTGAACTTAAGCTTTCTTCTTGCTCAAAGACAAAGCTATTAATTGCTGTTTAAATATTTTATTGAGAGTTTTTTATGATATTTATTTAGTTATCATAGATTTGGAGCCTATGTTGAATTTCTTAATGACTATCTAACTCTCTAAAGTCTGATATTTCTATATATTAATAGAGAGGCTTATTATCTAGCTAAATGGTTATCACCCTAAAAGTTATATCAAAAAAGACATGCGAGTTTATATTAAATTAGTTTATTGAAGTATTCGATAGCAATTACGTTTAATCCTTCTTACCAATTATGTAAAATATCGATTGCTGAGTGCAATTATTTAAATCTGTCTGAATTCTTGTATATTTCAAAATTGGAATAAACTCTTCAATATTTTTTCCGACTTTTATTAAAAATTGAATTAAGATTCTCGATAAAAATTAAAAAATAATAAAATTATACTTAAATCTGATGTCTCCACAAAATTTAGATGGTAATAAAGTGATCTATTCAATCCTAAAATTCTTCCATCATTCTACAGAAGGATCAAGCCAAAAGGTAAATATAATTACTTCACAAGCACACAAATCCCTATTTCGTCACTCATTTATTGAATTTTAGTCGTTAGCTTAACTGGTACTATAAAATTTTGCTCATTCATCCCAAATCCAAATCTGTCTCCTATTAAAATAAATAATATATTTAATTTTATTGTTACAATTGATTTGTTTGTGTAAAAATAATTGAGAAAGTATAAATATTTAAGATAACGCAAATACGTAATTAAGTTAAAAATAAATTGTATTTTTAAGTTATGTAAATATTAAATGTAACTAACTAAAAATATATTTTTAATGAAATCATCAGTAATAATGCAAATAAAATTAAGTATTAAAGTAAATTAGTTAAGTAATCTTAAATAAATTATTTACTTCCATTAAAATTAAAATATTAATTTTAAAATATTCTATACTTATTTTAAATGAAAAATGTTACTTTAGTTTAAAAGGTAATGTCTATTTTGTGGATCCAATTAAAATGATTTGAGTAAATATTTTTCAGTTGGAAAAACTACTTCTAAGTTATAATCATTTAAACTAGTGCGTGAGTGCTAAATAATGTTAATAATTTATTCTGAGCAACTTTTTATTTTATAACTGTTGCCAGTAAACTAGCAATAAATAACGCCATCTTTTGGATTAATTTATTCAGTATTTTTATTTTAGATCAAAGCGTATTTTCTTGTCTAGCGCTGTTGCTCTTAGAAAAATTAAGTAATGTTTTAACAATTTTAATCAAAGGCTTCAAGGTAGATTTATCCAAGTATGTTTATGCCTTCATTGTATTCAGCGAATTTAGAGAGAAATTTGAAGTTGTCTTTGATGTTATTCTTTTATTACAAGAGATTTTAAGAAATTTATTCAAGCTCTTTAAAACTTAATTAGTGGTTTTGAAGGTAATCATAAAAATTGACCATAGATTTTATGCACCTAATTATGTCATCCTCAAATTAATTTTTTTTCTACTCAAATTATATGACTTCTATCATTTCTAGGTGGTGATTAGAAGAGTATTGTCTCATAAATTGCTCATTAAATATTTGTGAGATACTCAGCTCAATTTCATAAATAATAGATTAATATTTTATACTTTATTACTTCAATTGAAAAGCACTATTTTTAATTGAAAAGTAGGCTTTAAGACACTCTAAAGGATCCTTGAGAATAAATAAAGTAAAGTAAATATATTAAAAGCCTACTCGAATGCTTTTGGTGTTATTTTTTTAATAATAATCTTAAATAATATCATGCATGTATCCAATCAAAAAGTTATGTCTGTCTTCTTCATCTTGCTCATTTTGTTACTTGATATAAGTGCCCTGTTTTGAATTATGAATTTTTTAAAATTGCTATTATCTGTAAAAACTCCTCTAATCTGAAAATAAATACTGGGTTCAAATTATCAATCATTCAAACAAATAGTTAATTAAACTCATTTATAATGATATAAATTAGGGTAAATTTTTGTATTTGCTTCTAATTTACTCTCTGATTTTATATACTTTAAAGGTAAATGTAATCAGCTAGTTTATTTACTAAATATTCACAAAATTTGTGACAGAAAGTATCATTTTTCTTTTAAAATTTGCAAAAATTTTATAGCTTCGTTAATAATTTTAATAAATAATTTATATCTTTCAGAGGAGATAAAAGCTAATATAGAATAATTATAATTTTTCAAATTTACTTGATTGAATCTCTGACAAAAGCACTCTTTCTCTGTTAATTAACATTGCATTTGATGGTTGGAATAAATTGTTTCATATATCACTCCTTTGCCTCTTTTATATTAGTTATGATACAAAGGTAATTCTTGTATCAGCATATCAAACATTTGTTTTAAATTTTAACCAATATCTTTTTGATTACTTTTTACAAAAGTTAATCTGAATTAATTTAGCTTAAGGCATTCAAAAATCTAAGCAATCTTGAAGGATATAGGTAAAAAAACTAATAAAAAGAGATTATTTTGAGTTGTTTAATTTAAAAATTGATTGGATATAAGTTAAGCAATAGACTAAAAGCAGAGCGCTACAGCACAGCAAAGAGAAACACTTTGAATTTTTAAATTGCTGTACTCAGATTGCTTAAAATTGATATATAAATATATCAGTAAGCTGATAAACAAAGCTAATTAAGTAATAGTTTGTATCTTGAATACATTTAAGAATACTATAATCTAGAATATAATATATTTAAATATTAGAAAATCTAATTGATTTTTTTGCAGATAATTTGTGTAATCAAATGATAAGCTCTAGCTGTGATATTCAATAAATAAGCCTTTTAATTAATTAATTAATTCATTATAATAAAGAAAATAGTTAATAAAATAATTTATGCATTCAGTTAATTTGTATTTTTTGTGCTTTTGCAATATCTTTTATTTAATGAAAACAATCAATAAAAAATGAAATAATATTGTATGTATGTATTACCTTTGGTGAAAGAAATCATTAAATAAATAATAGATGAACAATAAACCAAAAATACATATGATTATCCAGATTGTTTTATATTATATATGCAAATCAGCTAAAAAGGTAGATGAATAAAATAGCGATAAAAGCAATTATAGTATTGTAAAGAATTTATGGTACTCTCAATAAATGAAGGTCTCTTATTAAAAAAGTAGAAAAACAAAGAAATTATAATAACATAGCTTAAATAAAGCACTAATTAAACAACCATTATCAACGTTTAGCATTCATTAAAAATCTTGTCTAAGAAATCAAAACTCATTATTAGCGGCAGATGACATATACAATAAAATATTATAGCTACCATAGATAAAAATTCATTTATGCAACTAACTTTGAGTGATTGGCTTAATACTTTAATATAAAACAATTTAATATTTTCTTAAAAACCCAAGTGAGTTTTCTCAAAGTGAATTTGCTAAAGCATCTTCTACAAATGAAACTGAGCTTTACTTTTTTGCTAATATTTATATCAATTTTTTGTTTTCTTTTTTAATTAAATTAATGATTACACAAGAGATAATTTTAATTCCCTTAATTTCTAAGTTTTCTCAAGATTTTTAATAAAAATTTTTATAAACAAAAAATTTTAATTTTTTTAAGCTAATTATTTCACATAAATGTTAAATCTAATTTCAATACTTGAATTGAGTTATCATTCAGTAAGATTAAAGCCTGGTTTCATTTTATTTATTTACTTATTTATTTATTTTCAAGTTTTACCTAAAAATCTAAAAACCCAATAAACATTTAGAACTAGGAATTTGAATGCTATATTACTTTTCTTCAAAAGATCAAATATCAATATTTAATATTTGTTTATTAATAAATGTATTTTTATGCCTAAAATTAATTATTTTGATCATGAAAGTTTTTTTAGTAAAAAATTTATTTATTTTTTTGGATATCACTTAATTATTTTTTCCTTACTTTGATTTTGAAAAAAAAGCAAATATCATGTAGATTAATTTACAGAATATTTTATTTTATATTTTTGCTGATCATAACAAAAAATGTAAAAATTTTAAAAAATGCTAAAGGAAAAGAAATGTGGTAAAAAAATAAAGCATAATATAAATAGAAACCTTGTTCCTTTGATTACAAATTAAAAATAGACTGATTTTATTTTTAAAATTTGTGAACATTAATTAAATGTGAGAAAATAAACTAAATAAAAAGGTAATTAATTGTTTGATAAAAATGTAACCAAAACCATTTAAATTTTATTGAGTATTTTAATAAATAAATATATTTTAGAATTATAATTCTAATGATTAATTGATATTAAGTTTCATAATAAAAACTTTTGACTTAAATTGGAAAATGTTTCTCTCAAAAAAATGATATATATTTATTTTGTCATTATTATTTTTAGAATCAAAATAATACTACAAATATTAGTTTCATCATTAAAAAAATGCACACATTAATTTTTATATTTTCTAAAACTAAGAAAATACATTAAAAATAAAATTTTCTTTAAAAACTAAAATTATTTAACATATTTTAACCTAAAATTTGTGTTTGTTACACTTTAAATTATTATTCCTAGGTTAATTCATTGATAGTTAAAAAAATTTTTTAATTTCTGATCAAATCAAATCAAATAAATTTATTCACCAAAAAATTCAATAATTAAACTATTCTCTCATTATTGTTAGTTAATATTTTTATATCTGTAAATTCAGAATTGGTTTACGCTGATAATTTTTTTTGTTTGTTTATTTCTAAAGTTTTTTCAGTAAAAAACATTATTTTACTATATTTTGAATAAAGAAAATTAATCTAATAAATTAATTTTTTTATTAATTTTTATAAAATTTTAAAAAACAAATTAAAATTAAATTTATTAATTTTACTAATTTAAACATTATTAATAATAAAATTGTTTGATTACAAGTAAAAACATAAAATTATTTTATTCTAAAATAATATAATTTTATATATTATTGAATTAGTAAGTAAGTAATTTGGTAGTTAGCATTTTTGTTTGTTTGATTGATTGCTTAAAATGATTATATATTAAACAATTTATTTTATGTAGTTTTTATTTTGCATAATACAATTAATTTTATTGATTTTTGATCGAATTTTTGCATATATTTTAATCAAAAAATGCCAAATTTATTTGTTTAGAAATATTTTTTTATGATAACACTCTCTAGAAGGATGTCAACATGAAAGAGTGTTAAAGAAGATTTTGTTTGTATTAAGTCTTAGTTTATTGCTGAGAATAGCTTATTCCAACCTATAAAAATAGCTAAACACACAAAAATTAGCTAATACCAAAATAGGAAGTAGATAGTATTTGCAATAGAATCAGTATATTCAGCTGTAACATAATAATAATAAATATTTAAAGCTACAGCCCCATTTTCTATTGCAATGACTAAGTCATTTAGCTCAGTCAAAATATTTTACATTTGTTATAGCTTTTATATTTACTATTGTATATTTTGGAACTCTACAGGTGTGTATTCTGTGTATTGCATATAAATCTATGTAAAAACATCTATTTAGTCAACTGCATAATTATAGCTTTATATCATTCCCTTTGTCAAAATACCTTCAGCTAAGGTTTCACATTAAACTCCAGTTTAATTAGCCCTAAAATATGTTGGGTAGTTTATCATAACTTGACATATATCATCATTTACTATTTTATTGTAGAGATCATTGTATAAGACTTGGTTATATCTTGTAAATTAGGGTGGATATTATAAATAAGTTTAATAACTCTTCATTTTTTAATAGGTTGCCAATTCATTTTGCATATAATCAAAATACTATGTTTTAGTTGGATTTTAGTTGTTAAAAATGGCTTAGATGTTATAGAATTAAGGGGTTATTATTTGTTATATTGCCACTATTAACTCGATTACTGCTTTCTTTGAGTCCAATAGCCACTGCTACTCTCTAACATACGTGCTCACTAATACCAAGTTTAATATAGGCTGAAAAACGAATGCTGCTATGAAAATCAAGCCAATTAAAACATGGATGAATTTTATCTTAGGAAGGCTATCAAATTAAGCTATTGAGCGTTTACGCTTTTATGAAAAATTCTAAATTTAATAAAACTTCCTAATTTCTTCTTCTTACTCAAGCTATTCATTTGAGAAAATATTGCTACCTACTGATGAAATATTGCGACCTCCATTTAGCTTGTTTTATTTTTTTATAATCTTTTTTTAGATAAATTCCACAAATTCATTTATTTTTTATATTTAGAGCTCAAGTAAATCAGGTCTTATTGACCCCATTAAAGAGAGAATTTATTCTTTTTGCTTTACAGATAAATATTTAATAACAAAGAAAACTATTACAAGTAATCCAGCCATAGAAATTACTATTGAGAACTAAATCCAGTAGTTCTAAGTAGTGCCATTCAAAAAGCTGCTTATATTTGATTCAATGTATGACTAAAAAGAAGTTTATTTTTACTTTAATTCTGGAAGATTTTCCCATTCAAAATATTCGATTGAAGGTGTGTTTTAAACTAAAAACCAATTAGTATAGTAGTAATAGTCTTTCAATAAATCTATTTATTGTTTTGTCTGAATGCTGTAAATATTTGTTGAGTTATTTATTTATGTCATCACTTTTACATCTGATATCTGCTTTTCAAGGTAGGAAATCGAATCTCTATTTGAGTAAGTCAATACTAAAGCAACATAGTCTCCTTGTAAGTCACTAATACCTGAAACAGCTTTTTTGTAAGCAGCATTAGATTAAATATTCTTCAAATTGGTATCCATTAAAGGGAAGTAGTTTTAAACCAAATTTTGGAAACATACTTATCTCGCCACATCAAGAGTGTTATACAAAAGTTCTATAGGCTTGGTGATTGTTTTGAATGAAGGCGAAAATAGATCAATACCATTTTAGTTATTCAAATACCCCAGAACAGTTATTCCAATAAATATTCCAAATGAAGCAAATCCGATGAAAAAGTATGCCATTAAGTTTTTCAACCCAACTTTTGATTTTATTTTTTTTATAATTAAATTCTTTTCATTTGAGCTACGACTTTCCCCTGAGAGAGAAACACTATTATTTGAAGCATCTATTTAAAGGTTAGCCAAGAATTAGTTTTTTTACTTATTTTTTCTAGTTTATGATTTCTTGACTACTTTATCTTTTGCTTCTTAATCTATGCTCTAGCTCTAAGGAGCTGATAATTATTGCATAAAGAGCTACTGTCTTTATATCTGCCATTAATTTTTTTATCTTTACTAAAAATCTTCTTTCATTTAGCTTATTGGAGAAACTTCGTTTTACTTTTCTTTGATTGCTTCAAGATAACTTTATTCTTGGTAATAATATCCAATTTACTCCAAATCTTACTTTGTTTGCGTAAGATTCATTAATTACTCATATGACTTATCGAAACGGACAGAGTTCTAAGGCTAATTCTCATTTCTTTGAGTTTCTTCAAATTTTTAGAAAGATAATTATGAAATATTTGCAATTTTTAAATCTGATTAGCTTTAGTTTTTCAAAGTTAGTGAGTTTTGGTTTTTGTTAGCTTCGAAATTAGTAGATAGACTTGAGCAATTTTGTTAAATTTAAGTATTTTCTTTTTATTTGTTTTATTCATACATTAACTTATCGCCAAAAATGATAGATTATTATTAATATTGCTATGACATTTGAATGGCATTTTATATCTCTTTTATTTCTTTCTTTACTTGCATTCCATTGAACAGGTTTAGCTATCCTATTATGTCTTATTTCAAAAATGGAGAGGGTGATGATGTCACTTTAGTGTCTTGAATAGATTCATAGTCACTTTTATTTTCAAACTATTAAAAATAAGTTTTAGAACTATTTTTATCTTTAAAGGCATTGTTTATATTTTGAATTTCCCTTTAAATTTCAGAAATGCTATTGATTTCTTGAATATCCTTAATTTTGATATACTTAAATAAAAATTATCCATTGCTTTCTTTTTAAATATTAAGTTGAAATTTTATTTAAAATGCTGCTAGAAAATCCCATTAATTCTATGCTTTATTTAGCTGCTAAATAGTAAAATTTTCAATAGAAATTTAATTCTTTTCATGGAATAAGCCCTTGTGTCTTGGAATTATCAAAAGAGTGGAGTAATACTTATCATTATTTTCATATTCCTTGGAATCAATCATACTCACTAAAGGTATTAATTCAGTAATTGAAAACTATCTAAAAGCGTCTAAATTATTATAATAAAATTTGTAGGAATAGTAAAGTATATTTCTAGTAATTCAAATTAATTGTCATCACTCAATTTTAAATAAATAATATTTTTAAATATTACAAAAATATTTGATTATAATAAAAAAATAAATAAATAATTAAATATTTACCATATGATAGCTTTATATGTAAGTTGCTTGATATTATTGAAAACAAGTTCTAGCTTACTGCTTGAATTCCTCCTTGCATGGAAAGCAGAATGTAATTGTTCTATTTATTGATTCTATTTAGTAAGTAACAAATGCCAACTTCATCTCCATATTTTTGTAATTTGCTTGTAATCTTTAAAGGAAATATAAAACCTTTGTCATCCAAACCAAAGTTAAATCTATTTTCTAATTTAAAAAAAAAATTTGTATTTTTAAAATTTAGATTTTGTTATTTTGAACTTACAATTTTTATAATTTAGTTAATAAAATTTGTGGTTGATTTTAACTTTTAATTGTTATTAAAACTAAATTTTAAATTTTTTGATTCTGATTAAGTCTTATTGATGATTGAAGATTTAAAAAAGATCATGAAACATTGATTAATTTGAAAAAAAAAATGAAGTTTTACTTGTATTTAAGAATTTGCTTTCTATTTGGCTGGTTGAATTTAGACTGAAGGCATTAAGGATAGTGTTTATTTCAGTGGGGATGAATTCGCACAGATTCCTGCCTTTAACATTCATAATAACTTAGGTTGTGCTATCAGATGAAAAAAGTTAGTAAAACTAATCAGTAGCTAGATGAATGCAACATTTACCCTAAATAAAAGAACAAAAGAGCACACATTAGTTTTCTGAGATTCCAACTGTTTTTCTTTTAAAATATGTATTTTCTTCTTCACTTTCTCTATAGTTTTTGAATGATTCATCGGGTAATTGAAATTATGATTAAAAATGATTAATTTAATGTTGGTATTTCTCTTGACAATATATTTCATAGAAAATAGAACATAAATCTTTAACTTGGGAGCTGTTTGTTGAGTTTCTCTTTAAATTATTTAAAATTTGGATGACTTTCTTCTATTCTTTACAAAGTAACTGAGCTTTTTCTTTAATTAGACTTAAATTAACTTAGTTCTAGCAAAGATAATTATAAAATAATCCGGTCTTTTTCATTAATCCAATTATTTTAATTTAAACATTTCTATTTTCCCTCTCATGATATATTATTTGCATCATGTTCATATTTTAGTTTTTGCATTACAAGTTGAGCAGCTAATCGCTATAAACACTTCGCATTAAGCTTTAAATTTCATCGAGAGTAATAACATCTGCGACTGTAATCTCTTGATTGCTTAATTTAGTTTTGATATATTCTAAGTTGCAATAAGACTTGATTGGGTTCTTGAACATTTCTATCACAAAGTATTAGTAGCTAAAGAGAAGACTTGTGTCGATTCTACGATTATTTCGAGCAATAAAATTTGTGAATGAATTATCTATAAAATCTAAGATAAAGTTTTTTCTCTACTGTTCATCAATAAACTATTACTATCTAGAATATTAGATTTCCTTTTTATTTATTATTAATATTGAGTTAAGCTTACTGATTAAAAAATATTGCTCAATTAATATTAAAAATAATTAAAACTTGTTTACATTAAAATACTTGTTGCAAAAGCAAGGGAAGGATGAATTAACCTAACACTTCTCTATGTGATTTATATATATCTATTCGAATATCATTCCAGTTTAGTCTAAGGCGTAGTTTTCTTAAATTTAATTTATTTTTTCAACTAAAAACATATTACATGAAATAAGCTCATATGCACTAATTGCTTTTTAAGGATCACTAATTTTCAGTAAACATTGCAAAATTTTTTAGCTTCTTTATTTAAAAATTGTTATACCAATTTTAAAAGAAAGACCAATCCCTATAATTGCTCCTAAAAATGAAGCCTCTTCTTATTAGTTAACCAAATAGATTAATGAAATAACTAAAATAATTGTTTGATTTATAATATTTACAAGTTCAATTTACTATTTTTAGAATTCACTTCTAAAAACTAAAAATGCAATTTTAAAAATTTATTTAAAAGCGACAAATAAGCAAAGTATTCTGCTTGAAGAAATTCTATATATTATGATCATAATTAGCGTAAGTATGAAATTTATTTATCCTAAAAATTAAATATTCTTTTATGAATAATTGTTAGATAGAAAACTGTACCCGATGCTTTTTCTTTCTATCAAGTATCCTAAATATATTGATAAATATTTTTTGTATTAATAATTGTGTGGTAAAAAAATTTCTTGTTTTAAGAAATTAAAAGTGAATATTTAATAAAAGTATCAATCCAATAAATAATATATTAATTGTTACCTATAAAAGGAGTAAATGCTAAATTGAAATAAGATAGACCTTTCATAAAAGAAGCGCCAGTATTTCCAAAAGCGAAATTCATAGATACATACCAACAAGGTATTAATAAAATATATTGAAATAAAGAGTTAATTAACTATTGTACTTTAAAAAAAGAGTTCCACTACTTTCTCCTTGCTATAAAAAAAGCAGCCTTTATAACAGAAAGAGCACAAACAATCAATTTAATTACAATGAAGATAAAATTGGTTATTATTATTATTTACTAATAAGTTATATTTGAATTTAGTCTAGATATTCTAACTAAGTCTATGAATCTATTTTATTGAGTGTGATTTTCATTGTTGAACCTTAAATCTATCAAAAATGAAAGCTCAACTATCGATAGAGTTATTATGAAAACAATAAATAATAATTAATATGGCACACAGGAAGAAAAGCCGTATTTGAGTGATTGAACTATAACATTAATTAAATAGCCTTTACTTTTCTTGCCAAAATTAATTTTTTTCGAGAATGGGCTGACCTCACCTTAAAAAACCAGTTCTTTATGATTATCCATGCTTTACTTTTATTTTTTGATTTCTTATTTATATTTATTTTATGTTTACTCTAATTTTTTATCGCAAATATAATCAAGCAATTTAATTAGCTTCAAATAAAAGGTTATTAAAAATTGATTTATAAATTAGTTAAAGCTGGTGATTTACTAGTAAAAAACAAATTGTTTTTCTTATAAAAGATAAACGACTAATCAAGCTAAAATTGCTATTTTAATTCTGAGGACGAACAGTATTTTATCTTACATGTTTTACTTTAAAAAAGTATAAGGGAATGTTGTTGCTTTTAAATTCTATTCTTAATATAAACCATAATCTCTTTATAATGAATAATTTCTATTCTCTTATTAATAAAATTTGTAAGCGAAAACAAATAATATTGAAAGAATAAATTACATACATCATTTCATAATAAGTTGAATATTTTCTCAAAGATTTTCTTCTTTAAAGAAATTAAAAAGACTAAACAAATAAATAAATCCAAATTTCTCTAATTGAAAAATTGAAATTTAAAAAATCCTCTTTAAAAAGCTTAAAATAAAAAAAAATGTATTTCATAAATAATTTTGTTAAATAAATTCATTTTGAATATTTAAAAATTAGTTTTTTTTTTTTAAAAAAAAACAATAGTAAATACCTAAAAGTAACTTGCTTATATTAAGGTTAATAATTGATTTTTGTATATTAAATGATAAAATTTAAGGATTTAAATGAATTAATAATATTATCTGTCTTCTTTTTGCTTATTTTAAGCATTTTTTACAATAATTTAATAGTTAATTAATACTATGCAAAAAATAGGAAAAAAAATTGAGTTATTTATTATGTAATAAAATTTGAATAAATGAAACCTTCTATTTAATTACAGGAGATAAATTTATTTACTTTTATCATGAACTCCTTACTAATTAATATCCACTTATAACTATTCTGAAAATTTAACTCAAAGAAAATAACCAATTCAAGAGCTCAAAGATTCAAGAATGTATGATTTTAATTAATAATGAAATACAGTATTTTATTTTATTTTAATCAGTTTAGTGATGTATATTTTAAATGCTTGTAAACCAAATATAAAAATTTACAACATGTTTCATCAACTTTATCATTTTTTTCATAAAAATACTTTCGTATAAGGTTAACTTATATTTTAATATTTACCTCTAACAACTATATGAATCCGTAAAACGCATGTATCAATCAATATACATCATCGTTTGAATTAATTAAATAAAATTAAATAGACAAAGATGTCATCAATTTATTTATTTACTAATTATTATGGTAATCATCGTAATATTTTTATATCTATATGCATCATTGTTTGAATTAATTATATAAATTTAGATAGAAAAAGATATTGTATATTTATTTACTAATTAAGACAAAGAACTATGTTATTTGATTAAACCAATGATGACTTATTATCTCAAATTAATATGTAAGTAAAAAACTATATTTTTATAATTTCATTTAGAAATCAGTAAGCTAAAAATATGCTTTATTCTATTTTCAATTTAACTTATTAAATTATTCTTAATGTTAGTTATATTTACTTTACCAAATATTAACACATAAATCACTCATTACATGGATATTAGAATTTAACAAAATTAAAAACCTAAAAATGATATTGCAAATGAAATATTGATTGATTGAAAAAAGCTTTTTTTAAATTAAAATTTATAAAAAAAAAAATATTTTTAGTAAAAAGCCTTTTTAAATCTAATTAGTTAAATTGTTTGTTAATTTTTCATAATCTGATTCATTTTATCAATTTTATATTCAAACCCAAATATCACTATTTTATAAAAAGATTTATATAAGGTAAATACTCATGTATTAAGGTTGAATACGAACCTGACAAAAAAATTAAAATTTATTCTAATCAAAAATTTAAATAAAAAATAAGAAAAAGATTTATCCAAAAATCCTAAACTTACTAATTATATAAATACTTATTTTATTAAATTTAAAAACATTTAAATCTGATTAACATAGAACAAAAATATCTTCATAATATTGATATTTATTTTATTAAAATCTAGTAAAATAATTAACTAATATCCAATTCGTAAATTAAAAAATTTTTGTTAATTAATTGTTAATAAATAGATAGATTTGAGCTAAAAATCATTGAGTATTTAAAATACATAACAATAATTATGATTAAATTATTATCATTATTTTTTGTTTTAAAATTGAAACATGTTTAAAATTTAAATTATTTTTTATACCTTTAATTGAAGTTTTCAAAATAAAATCTGCTGATAATAATTTTTAAGATTTTAATATAGTGTTTTTTTAATGAAAGCTAAGTAAAGTTTATTTTATAATCATAATTATTATTTATTGGATTAGTCCTTAAAAATAAAGTAATAGAAAAATATTTTTAAGAGTTATTAAAAATATTTAAGCTTGCTACTTTTTTTTTTACATTTTTAGATTTCTATAATTTTAGAGTACTGTTTGTTTAATTGGTTGAAAGATAAAAAGCAGGTACTTAAAGCAATATAAAAATAAAGAAATTGAAAAAAAACGAATAAGAGAGGCATAATTTGTAAGAAGAATTTATGAGAAAGAAAAAATTACAAATATATATATAAGTCTAATTATAAACTTTACTAAAATTTTTTCTATAAAAAACAGGTTGCTCTTTTTGGAAAATATAATTTTTAAGTAAATTAAAAGTTTTAAAATAATTTGCAAAAAAATTAATTATGAATTTTTCTATTTTAAATTTCCGTCTAATGCTTATTAACAAATTTTTTAAATTAGACTTAATCGCAGCAAATAAATTTAATTTTTATTTAGTTAAGCACTTTATCTATCTCAAAAAATTTTAGGCGTCCATCTAATTTTTCTATTTTATGAATTTGATAACTAAAAAAATACTTTCATTTAATTACTTTTTATTGCCATTTTAAATAGGTGAATAAACTAACGCCTTTATATTTTTTTATTAGCTTATTTTAATTTGTCTCTCTCGAAAAATTTAATAAAAAATCATTAATTTTTTTAAGAAACATAAAAATAAATTTTTGAATTTTGTTCGATTATATGTTGTAATTGCTGGAATAATATGATAAATTTCCTCTTTCGTTTGGTATTTAGTAGAAATTTGACGTAATTATAATAATTGTTTTAGAATCAAACGAAGCAATCATATCCACCTTTTATAGTCAGCTTTCAATTTTTGTTGTAATTTGAAAGGCGGCTATATAAACATAAAAATATTTAAGTAACTTTCATAAATAATTTCATCAAAACTAAACAACAAAAAATCAAACTTAACTTAATTGTAGAATATAAATAATTATTAAGTCAAAGCATTATGCAATCTTCTCAAATATAAAGTGGAATGATATTTTAAAATGCTTGGGAGAAAATAAAGCCCTTCTTTATTGGTGGGTTTGCTGGATGTCCTGCAACTATAATTGTTCAGCCTATTGATACCATAAAAGTAAGAATTTAGATTATAAACGAGCAAATTGCATTGGGAAAAGCAAATGGATTGACAACAAATCCAATAACTATCTCAAAACATGTAATTGTTAATGATGGATTCAGAGGATTGTTCAAAGGCATGGATGCTGCATTACTCCGTTAATTAACTTATGGCTCAACTCGTCTTGGATTGTTCCGCTTGTTGTCTGATACACATACTGAAAGAAATAATAGATATCCTACAATGTTTGAAAAAATAATGTATTCTTCGTTTGCAGGATATGTAGCATGTATAGTTGGAAATCCAGCTGATATTTCTGTAGTAAGATTTTAGTAGGATTCCTTGCTGCCTGCTCACAAAAGAAGAAATTACAAAAATGTTATGGATGCTATGGTTAGAATGGTTAAGGAAGAAGGCTTTTTCACATTGTGGAGAGGTTCAATCCCAACTATTGTTAGAGCAGTCTTTATAAATGTTAGCATGCTTACTACATATGATGAAGTCAAAGAGAGAATAAATGCTTATACAGGAACAAAAGATCTCTTTACTACATCTTGCATAGCCTCTTTCAGTGCCTGCTTAGTTTCTTCAGTTGTTTCTCTACCCTTTGATAACATTAAAACTAAGCTCTAAGGAATGAAGGCAAATCGCCATGGAGTGTTTCCATACAATAATATAGGTGACTGTATGGTGAAATCAATTAAATCAGAAGGATTTTTCGGATTATGGGTTGGTATGCCAACTTTTCTGTGCAGGATGTTTCCACACTCAATAGTAACGTTGCTCTTTTAAGATTATTTATATAAGTGCTTTTCAAAAAACACAATGAAAAACTGAGTTTATACTCGTTTAATAAAAACTAATTAATTTATTATAAAAAAGTTAATATTTATTGCTCTAAATTGTATATTTTATAATTATAACATTAAAAAATAAATAATATATTTTGTTTAGTTTTTCAATTTTAAGTATTTTCCCTTTTTTATTATCCAAAATCTTTAGTCAATCATAATAATTTTTACCAATTTTTAATGAATATAAATGAGTTTTATTTAAAGCTTAAAAAAAAAAGATTATTGTGTAATAAAAGAAATAATCAAGTTAGATAGATAAAAAGATAAATAGATAGTAATAGATTAGTAGTGTAATCAAATATTTAATGTATAGTTAATATTAATCACTTATTGGTAATTATTTTTTATCTGTCTTTTATAAGATTCTTGTTTTTATAAAAATGGATATTATAAAGAAGTAAAAAATTAATCTGTTTATTATTTTGTGAGTGTATTTTTATTAAAATAAAAAGCAGATTTATAAATTATGTTAAAAATAAAGTAATTGATTTTCTTAATATAAATATTGACTTTTAACATTCATTTTTCTTTTATTTGATCAGAATTACCATTTTATAATTAAAAGGAAAAAAATTAAAAAAAATAAAGTAGTAAAATAAAACAAAAGTTTAAGTGTCTGTTAATTTAAAAAATCAAAAGATAAGATAATTTTTTTTAATTCATATTTAATTAATTCATTAAATTTCTTGAAAAAATAAAAGTAAAATCTCAAATTATAATTTAAAATTGAGTATTTATTTAAGTATTTTAGGAATGATCATTTTATTTTTATTGATAAATAGATAGTTTGTATTAGATGTTTACAGATTTTATTATTTTTGTTTAATTATTATTTGATTAGATCAATTTAAGCTTAAAATATCTTTATTAAATATACAGATGAGTAAACAAGATATTCATACAAATATTTTTCTTATTCAAAATAATTAATTAAAATAAAAAAAATAATTATTTTAAATACAAAAAATAAAATGATAAAGAATGAAAAATAATTTAATTTTAAATTTTAAAATACTAAAAGTTATAAAAATTTTTTTCTTTGTTTAACTAAACTTTGTAGAAAGACCTTTTAAATAATAGGTAAAGCTTCAATTTAAAGTCTAAATAACTAAATAATTATTCTATTTTAAAGTTCTTTCTCTGATGAAATAAAATCAATAAATTTAAATAATTATTTAAAAAATTATTTTTATTTCCTATTAAAGAAACTAATTTTTAATTTATCCATCAGGAATTAATTCAATAAAGAAATACTTTATTTAAACCAAAATTTATTTTAAAAATAAATAGAATACTTTCTTTACAAATTCAAAGAAAGTATTTTTTTTAAAATTAATTTGAAAAATTATTTAATAAATAAATTTATAAAATATGAAATAAATACATAAAATATTTGATTATTTATTTATTTTAAAAGGATTATTAGGGAGTAAAAAGTAAGGTAGGGAATTTATTCACAATCTTAAGCAGAAATCAACACAAATTTCAAGCATACTGTCAAGTATTCTTGTATCAGGAACCTAAACTGAAGCACCGTATATAGAAGAGCTAGAACTATTTTTAAATTTTTCAGGATTTTCTGCAACCTAATAATTTATTTAGATTAATGAACTAGTTTAAATATTTAATAAATATTTTTAAGTTGATTACTTCTTTAACTGCTAACTTAAGGTCTCTAATTAAATCTTTAACACGGTTTGCGATACCGTGAGTAATTGAAATATGAATGGCTGCAGGTCTTTAAACACCAGCAAAAGCCCATCCCTTTTAACTTAAAGCTCCTTCTAAGTGATAAATATTTCTATTAACTCCTTTTTTGTAAACAATAGCAACGACGACTGTTTTAGGATTACCAATAACATCAATTTCTTATAATTCAGGAGATTCTTTAATGGCTTACACTAGCTATTTAACACATCCACTTATGCTCTTAGATTTTTCAATGTATCTATTCATTTAAAATAAATTAAAATAATATATTACAAAACTAAATATCTATTTACCCTTGCTTGCCATGATATTGCATAGCATACCATGCTCCTGCAATAGGTGCTCCTGCTTTTGAACCACAAACAGAAGGAGTAGCATAAAAACCACCAGGCCAGTCACTAAGAGATGTGTAGCAAGAATGTCTTAATTCCAATGTTTTAAACATACACACTGATACACCTTTTGGGGCTAAACCGTATTTATGATGATCACAGCTTATTGAAGTTACTCCTATTTTAATAATTAAAATAAATATTTATTTATAAAACCTAAAATTAAAACTTGAAAATAATTAAAAATTTATTGTTGTTGAATATAGTTTTGAAAAACTTAAAATTTTAAATAGTATTTTACCATCAACAGTAAAGTCAAAAGGTGGAATATCTAAATTGTAATCTTTAGCAAAAGCAACGACAAAGCCACCTAAACAACAATCTACGTGAAGGCCAATTCCTTTTGATTTAGCAAGCTTGGCCAATTAAGGAATAGGATCAATAGTACCGTGAGGGAAGTTTGGAACAGATCCAACAAGCTAAATATTTAAAAATAATATATTAGAAATTTAAATAAATTTTCATAAATTGCAAGAAAAATAAGAACAAGTTTAATTTAAAATTAAAATTCAGTTTTTTAAGTTCAATTTTAAAACAATTTATAGTAAAATATAATAACCAATTTATTTTTTTACTCAAGAAATTAAGTAAAATTTTAAGCATAACGCAAAAATATTTCTTATAATAAACTATAATCAGTTGATTTAATAAATTTCTTATTTACTTACTTATTTATATTTTTTTTAATTGTTAATTTCCTTTACTTGGCATTAATGGATAGAGAAATATTTAAAAAATAAAGAGATTTTTAAAAATCAATCTAAAAATTCAAATTATTTTTAATAAAAATCAAGTTTATATGTTACCATTATTGTATTAGAGTCAATTCTTTTTTTCACTTCGCTGATCTCAACAACAGAATCTTTATTGACAGGAACTCTGATACACTTGACTTTGAAGAAGTTGCATGCTTTATTGAAGGCAGGATGAGCAGTTACAGGCATAACTCTTTAATTATTTTATTTAATTAATTTATTTTATTTTGAAATATTGTGAATTACATATTTGGTTCAGTGATTTTTCTATATTTTGCAGCATAATTTCTATGAGCAAGGACACCCATCATGATTGATTCAGTACCACCAGTTGTTGTGAACCCATAACCGTCGTTAGATCCAAATAAATTGCATGTCATTTTAATGATTTCTGCCTCCATTTATCTGGTTGCAGGGAAAATATCATAATGCATAGGATTGTGGTATAAGAAACCCTCTGTTTGTTTATAAAAGAAATTAAATAAGTTGATATAAAAAATAATTTGTTACTTGCAAACTCTGAAACTTCCTTCTCGAAATCTCTATCATCACCATATCTAGAGCCAGATATCTTACCAGATCCTGATAATTTATCATCTCTATCAATCCAGTCCTTAAATCTCTTTTAGAGGAGAGCTTAGTTCATTCCTTTATCATTTAATACAGGGCATTTTTCATTAGTGTATTTATCAATAGTGTGTTCTAACTCATGCTCTAACTTCTACTTGCTCTTTTCAAGTTCTTTTTTAGCAAATGGCACATAAGTAACTATAAGCTTGAAAATTTAAGCTTTTAAGCTGACTTCTCTTTCTATAAAAAATTTAAAATAGTGGATTAATATCTTAGTTTTTACATTTCAAAAAGATATTAGAAAGAATTTGTGTTTAATACACTTATGAATTAAAACAACTTTCTTATCAATAGTTAATTGAATTTTTTAATAATTAATTGTGGTTTTAAGCTTACTCTAAATAAATTTTTTTAATTTTTTTTTTTTAAGGTTTTGATAGAAAATTGTTTAATGCCACGATTCATTCAGTTTTTAAAATGTATTAATTGTTTTTGTAATAAATTCTAATTGAATAAAGCTGAAATGATTTTTATTTGTTTTTCTCCTTAATACTGAATTCATAGTTTAACTAAGAAAGTATTTTCTATTGTAGACAAAATGAATTTACCTTTGAAAATAAAGTTAAGTATGCTATAGATGGTCTTTAAGGTCATAATAAGGCAGAAGAACACCAGGACTAAAAGTACTGATTGATCAAAATAACCTAAATCGTTTTTTCTACAAAAGGCTATGAAGTATTATTCATATTAATGAGTGAAAGGATGGATTATGTTATATAAATGGTCTCTACTATATTTATATGCTTCTACTAAATCAGATGTAGTGAGACCGCTAATAACTTTACGGACTATTTCCATTAATTTTCTTTTTATCTCTACTTTTAGTTTTTATCCTACAATTAAAGTTTTCAATTTAAATGCTTTTTCATAATCTTGGATTCTAGCTGGACGTATTTAAGCTATAAGAATTGCCTTAATATATTAAAATTACTATTTGCTTAATTATTAAATTGTGATAAACGAACAAAATAGATAGATTGTAAAATGGATCATTCCAATTTATATTCAAAATTTAAAGTGGATTAATGTAATTAATTTGATTAAGGAGTAATTCGCCGAATAAGTAAATACATTATTTAACATGAGGATATGTTGAATGATGTAAATAGTATTATAGATGTTAATGATTGGCTGTTGTTATCATTAATTTTAGGTTATTGTACTTTTGAGGTAAAATGCATTTAAATAGCGTCATATTAAATTTTTTTAATAAAACTTTACAAGAGTAGTGTCAATTGTTAACAGAAAGTTTCAGATGGCCCTCTAATTTAAATGTGCATTAAATTAGTTATAATTAACACATTTAGAGAAAATTGATCGAATATTCTTTATACAAATTCATTTTGTAAATTGCTTTATAGATATTTTAAAAATTAATTATTCTGCGATATTCTGATGCGATAAGTAAAGTCTTGTGTGAGCTTTAGCATAATATAAATAAATGACAATAACTTTTTTGTGAATATATCTTTTTAGTTGAAAATAATAAAAAATTTGCTTATAACGCTTTAAAAAATTGATTCTGGCTTGAATTATCTCTATTTTAACTTCAAAATAGATATGCTTGAGCCAAAAATCTTTATAAAATTTTAATAAAAACTCAGATGCAAAAGAGCAATGAAAAATCTGTAAATAAAAAGTGAGCCTCGCTTAATAAAAGTTAGTGTAAATTAATTAATTTAAAATCTAAAAATTAAGTCTTTATTTAGTTTAAGTATTATCTCTTCTTACTTTGCATATTCCAGCATAATTTACTGCTTCCAAAAGATTTTATTAGTATTTTTACTATTTAAAAACCAATCAAATAAGAATATTTTTCTTAGATTTTCTCTCACAAATAACATATAGATTTTACACATTAACTTTAATCCTTTGGAATATAATTTTATTTAGAATTATCTTTTAGCAAATACAAAATTAATTTAATACATTACTCATTCAATGATATTTTAATGGTTATTTCTTTTTGACTTAAAATTTGATTGATTTTAAACTCTAATATTATATTACTGTTTGAAGTATCTTTCTTAAACATTCTTTTGATATTGTTTGTTTTTCATTTGATTTATTTATTTACACTTTTTTTGATGAAAAAACAATAAAAATAGCTTAACAATTTTTAAAAAGATTATAAAAATACTTGGACAATACAATTAACAGCATTTAAAATATGGAAACAAATATTAAATTAAGATTATAACTTATGATTGCATTTTTTGTTCATTTTTGATAAAGCAATCTGGCAAGAATAACTTATATTATATAATGGAAGTAAGGGAGATATTTAGGGTCAGATTTAGCAGACTCTAAAATTTACTTTTTGTCATTGTTTTCAAGCAAGTACATCATCTTGCTAGCCATGTCAATGTAGTATTCTATTATGTTTTTCTCTCCTAGTCTAATAAGCACGCAATTACGTTAGTTTTCGCTGAGAGAACCTGATTCGAGCAACTCTTTGTCTTTTACTACTGTTGTTTTGTATTTTAACAAAAGAGGAATAAGCAATTCCTACACTCTCTACCACATTTTGTGCTCGTTTTCGACTGATAGTGGAGGAGTTTTTTGAGGTAAAAAGGGGAGGTTAGACTAATTTGTTTATTCAATGTATTTCTTGTGGGAATCAAATAATTTTCCTAGCTAGTTAGGGTCACGAATGCAAATAAATCTCAAATATCCTAAAAATCCAGTAGAATTTTATGTTTCGAAATCTTCATTAATCCTAGTTAAGCAGCAAACTGGAATACTGCCACCAATTAGCTTGGCCTTAATAGGTAAAGTAGGATCGTCCTAAGCTTAATCGAAGCAGAATACAACTGGTAGTTCATTGAAATAGTTAATTCCGCGATAGTCGTTTTATATCAATTAGCGTCCAGGGCGTTCTTCTTCTTTCAATTTTTTAATTGTTTCTGTGTGATCTTAAACATCTACAAAGCCATAATTTAAAAATAGCTTTGAGTTACATTTGCTTCCATATGAAAAATGAATTTGTTAATTGCGCTAGATTTTTTTTAATGCTTTTACAGTAAAGCAGTTTGTAGCATCGTCAAATACCCATTCACTGTCTTCTTATCCACTATGCTTATGATTTAGCATATCTGCCAAAGGAACCATAACACTGGTTTTGACTCCTTTCACTTTAATACCAAAGACTCTTGAGTGAGAGCAAAGGAAAGCCCAACGGAACTATTCGAATGAAAACTCTGATTTGAATTCTGGAATGACTTGGCTGATTGATTCATAATCAGTTTTAATGTCTTCCTTTTATTCTTAAACTAGCTTAAGAGCAGCTGTGCCTTCCAAATATTAAAGTTCTTCTTCGCTAAAGAGAGCTGGAAAACTGCTAAGATCTGTGGGTAGAGAATCAATATATGCTTTATAATGAGAAGCATCTTTTTTCTTTTATTCTTACAATAAGAAAAGTGCAAAATAAGCATGCTTCTATTAAACAAGCTGGGTATTCTTTTCAGTTAAAATCTTGCAGAAATCTGAAGAACTTGCAACATCTAAAGTAATAACCTATTCTTAAGGAATTGAAATCACAGTCTCATCAGCTTAAATGATTCTTTTAGAAACTATGCTTCTATTATGAGTACTTAAATACTTTAATTTAATACTTGAAAATTCTCCTTTGTTGGCTTAAACCCAGCTTAAAAGATTTTCTGATTTTTTTAAAGTTTCCTTGTCTGCTAATTCCTTTTCTTAATTTTATTGATTGATTTCTTGCTAAATCAAGTCCTTCAATTTTAAGAGCTCTTCATTGTTTTGTTCAATTTAAAGACCCTCTTGTACAGACTTGAGAGCTAAGTCAAGTTAGTCTAATTGATGATAAGCTGAAGCTTCTCTAATATAAACTTAAATGTAATCTTTGTTGAGAGATTTGCAAATCTAGATATCCTAGAGAGATTAACTAAAGTTTTCCAAAAGATAATAAGCCAAAGATCTGTTATGGAAATAGGCATAATTCTTATCATCAAACTTAATAGCCTAACTGTAGTAATCAATAGCTTTGTGATAATTCTCTAACTAAAGCTATGTGTTACCTTATTCCTTTAGTCTATCTCCCTCGCTAATTACCTTTTAATCTTTATTTCCTTTTTTTTTGTGAGCCATCTTAACTAATTAACTAACTAACTAACTAATAATTAACCTATTTATTATCCGTTTATAAATTTATATAGTAAAAATCTTAAATTTAGTAAATATATATTATTATCTCCTCAATATTAATTAATATCTCAGTTTTGATGCTAATTATTCTATGACTGCAGACAGAAGTACCAATTTATTTATCTTCACTAAAATATCTTTTTTGGCTAGATTAATTCTACATGGATAACAATTTCATTTGATTATACACAAGATTTGTATATTAATTAAACAAATAAACATAATTTTATAATTAAATATCATCTTTATTGTGTTTGATTGATAAAAATTTCTATGATAAATAAGTTAAATGAAATTTCCATATTTGTTCATTAATAGGATAACTAATATAAAAATAATTAAAGTATTTTTTGCTTTTTTAAATCATGAAATTTACCTTTTATCAAATTATTAAAACAAACCCACTTTAAAGTATATTGTTTTGTTTATTTATCAAATGAATACATTTTTATATTCATCTATTAATTCCTTTTATCAAATACTATTATAAGAATATTGATTATTTATTTTAAGTAACAAATATAAAACATATAATGTTTTTATCACAAAGATTATTATTATTATATAAATTTTTGAATTTTCTAATCTGAGTTTCATATTAGTTTTTACTGTTTCTCTAACAGTTATTTTATGTCTTCGAAATGAGTTTCTTCATTCTTGTTTATTGTAGTAGCTGTATATTGGATCCATTTTGTATAGTCCTAACCATTATACTTTATTAAATGGTTTTTTTTAATTGTCTCTTTTTTCGATTAACCTCGTATCGTCTGGATTTGAATTTAGCCAAATTATTCTATCTCTGTGATTATTAAAGAATTCTAATTTATTCATTAATGATAATGTTAAAATATTGTCATTTATAAATCTATCCACATTTCTTTCGTTAATAATTTTGAATTACTGATACTATACTATTATAAGAATATTTATTTCAAATTTGATAATATTTTAACATTTTTATGTGAAATATTTGTAATATATTTTTTTATTTTAATTTATTAATTATAAAAATATCATTTAAAAAAAATAAATTGTGTTAGCAGTATAAAAAAATGAAAAATATGTTTTGTTTTTGTTTAAAAATACTTTGAATCTTTCAAAGCATTGTTAATCATTGAAAATAGATTTTTTAATTAATATAAATTTGCTTCTATAATATAATTCAGCTTTATTTAATTAATATAAATTATCAGCAAAAAATGTAAAGCAAACATAATAAGTTAGTAGGATTTAAATGGTTTTATTCATGATTCACTTTATATAATTGAAATATAGTATTATTTATTTATTATATGCTTTTTTGATTCGAGATATAGCATTATTATTATTATATTTTATTTTGTTTGGAAAAATCTAATAGAGTTAATTAATTAATTATTAATTTACTTGAAATATTAAATTGCTTTGCAAATATTTGAGTTAATAAATAGAAATTAATTAATTAGTTTTTTTGTTTGTTATATTTGATGGAAGATTAAATATAAAAAATATAGCTGTTTGAAATAGTATAGAATTAAGAAGGTATATCGTTAAGTGTGACTAGCGAGGCCACTTTACTACTTTCAAAGTATAAGCATAATAATGTGTGAATCATCTTTTTTAGTTTATAAAATAGTAATATAATTATTAATAATCTAAATAAAACATATATTTAGATATTGCCAATATGTTGCACGAAGTCGTATACTCTTCAGCTTCTTTAGCTTTTAAATAAAAATAGGGCAGATAATTTTAATTAGACTTAAGAACAGCAAAAAGGTTTACATTTTTGAAATTGATGTTTGTTTGTGACTGTTGATGGTATTTATGAATATTTTATAAAAAATAGATATTTTTTTAATTGATAAACCTATTCCTATGAAGAATGATAGCTTCATTATTTTGTTTGAAATACCTGATGAAGTAGTTTCAATAGATGCAAAAGATTGCAGGAATTCTTTATAATATATTTATCTTTCATTTGCTTTGTACTTAGCTTAGTACACATTAATTCCAAAGTAATAAGAATAAATTTATATTAATTATAGTAGATATTGATTATTCTTATAATTATAAGGAATGAAAATTAACAAATGATCGAGCTTAGCACATTAGAGATTACCAGAAGTTTTATTTAGGCACTAAAAAATACACAAAAAGAATAAAGCGAACTATATTCTACTATTATTAGCGATTTTGAATAACTTAAGTAGATTTAATTTTACAAATTATAAATAAGGTGAGAGAGAGAGAGTAATTAATTTGTTGATTTAATATATTTTAGGAACTCTATCAAGTTTTAGCCAAGGTCTATTTCTGGTAATCCAATTAAAGGAGAAATAGCTTTGTATATGATCTATGAGTTTTAATAGGCTTATTCTCAGAAAAAGACAATTGATATAACCAAGACATTTGAGAGTCACTCTCTGATTTATTTCAACAAGGTCAAGGATGACCTATTTTCTGTCTTTCTGAATAAAGTAGATTCAATTAGATAAAATATATTGCACCACAACACAAGTTAACATTTTGTTATTTAAAAAAGATTAAGATGTAATTGAGTGAAAACAACTATCCATTTGATACGATTTTCATTGATTCTAGCATAAACGAGATAAAAACAGATTTATTGCATGAATATGATTAAAAGGTAAGTGAATTCTCTTACCTAAAGTAAATTCTTACCCAAAGAAAATCTCTTGAGGAGAAAATCAAGTAAGAATATGAGGAAACAATTAAGAAAAATGATGAAATAAGTGAAGAATTCTGCACTAATCTGCTTGTTCAAATATATGAGTATTATAAATAACAAAATCTTGATCTCTTTACAGAATCATAGAATAATATTTCTGAAACAACAATTATTGAAAAGCAACAAATATTTTAGGATCTCATCAAAATGTACTTGAGCCATGCAAGAGGTCCATTTAAATGTAATTTATAACATTTTCATAATTTTAAAATATTTGTAAAACATATTTTAATTTCTCAGTGTCATTTTTTAATATAAAACTTAAAGTTGTCTTTTAGTAATTTTTTTAATAGAATAATCTGATTAGTTTCTTCAAATTGTAGATTGTTAAACTTTTAATATTTAAATAAAAAAGAATCTTATTTTATCAATTTTTTTTGAGATAAAAATTTAAGTTTAAATTTCTTATAATAAAAAATTAGATAAACTCTTAGCTGAAACTTAAACAAGATTTACTTTCGAGTTCTTTGATTAGTTCTTTAAACACCTTTAAGAACATTTCACAAATTAGCTAATTTAGCAAAAGTAATAACAAAGTGAAATAGAAGAAAGATTAGTGGAATTAGAAGAGAAATTAAAAACATCAGAATAGTAATTTATTAATTATTTTTTTAGATTAGTTATGATTTAGTTTTTTTTATTTAGAAAAAATTCAAAGCTGGAAGAAGAAAATGAAAAGCTGGAAGAAATTAAAAAAGAAAGTATTAAGGACTAACAAAAGTTGTAAGAGTATAAATTTGGAGAAGAAAGCAATTAAAAAGAAATAAAATCACTGAAAGAAAAAATAGATAAAAAGCAATAAAAAATAAATAAATTATAAGATGAGCTCAACAAACAACTCATAGAATTTAAAAGATAAAATCAAGAACTATCTGATAAGGACTTCCGTTTGAAAGTTCTAAATGAAAAGTTACAAAAAGTAGATGAAATGACAAAATCACTATTTTAATCTAACAACTCTGTTTCATCAACTTTTAAATCTTAAAATGATATGCAGACATACTTGCAAGATTTCAAAGACTACGTTCAAAAAGCAGAAAACTCTATCAACAGAATATCATCTATTAGGGAATCATTAAACTCTTCAGTAAATAATTTGGTGTAAATGTTTCAAATTTTAACATAAATTATTTTTAGCAATAATTTGAGATTGAAAATATCGTCAAAAAGAGCATTAAATCAAAAGATAAAAATCAACTCCAAGAAGAGGTTATGAAAGCCAGAATTGAGGAGAGAGAAAATTTTGTGAAGGAAAGAAAACTCCTAGAAGATTAAATACATTAGCTTAGCAAAGAAAAATTTGATTTATTTTAGTAAATAACTCAATGGAAACTCAAAGAATTCGATTTTAATGTAACCAACTAATTTTATTGGATTTAAAATAATCAATAAAATATTTAAATTAAAATAAAGAAACAAATATAGATAATACAAAAGTAGTAAGAGTGCATAGAAACAGAATAGTAAAAGTACAACGCCACAATGGATGTAATTAAAAATTATTAAATATGATTATTTACTACATTTTTCTTTTTATTAAGTACCTATAAACACAAGTTAAAAAATTTGAAGAACAAGGAGAATATATTTTCTTACTAAGATAGTAATTAGTTGATTCTCAGACAACACTTGGTGACTAAGAAATGCTTATTGATTTACTATACCATCTATTACCTGAGCTAATTCTCTATATGAAAAAATAATAAAATAAATTAGCTAACTGTTTAATGTCAATATAACCTTACACTAACTAGGTAGAGCAAATATTGAAATAAAATGGTCTTAAAATTTGATTCAAATAAATAGCATTTTAAACTTATGTATGTATTCAACATGTTTTTATAAATACTAGTTTAAAAAAATAAAAAATAATCTAAAATATTTTCTATTGTTAAAATGAATTTTCCTATTTTTTATTAGCTATTTTTAAAAGTTTTTCATTTATTACAAACATAATTTTAATCAATTTTTTAACAATTTAAAATTAAAGCCTGAAATTCGATAGATCTATATAAAAAGTCTTATTAAATATAATAAAAATTTCATTTTTTTCTGCTTAAAATAATTAATAAAAAATCTTTTTTTACTGAAATCTAAAAAAAAATTATTTAAAAATAAATAAAAAATTTCCCCCACCGGGACTTGAACCCGGGTCTGAAGGGTGAAAACCTTCTATCCTAACCTGCTAGACTATAGGGGAGACATGCTATAAATTAAAAAAATTGAAATAACTATTATCGATTTTGAAATTTGATAGAAGCTATTTATTCTTTATAATTAAATGATCTAAAATATTTATTTCCAATATGAATTTTTATAAAATTTTAATTTATTTCTAAAATATGGCGTATATTTAAATAATTTATTATTAATATGGATTCTTTGTATGTTATAGAAATTTATTATTAAATGGTTAAAAAAATAAAAAAATAAAAAAGATTAGCCCGCCGTGGGGCTCGAACCCACGACCACAAGATTAAGAGTCTTGCGCTCTACCGACTGAGCTAGGCGGGCGGTACAATAATTCATGCTCAAATCTAAACTAACTGGATTGATTTTGGCATTTTAGGATTTAACACTTTCGAGCAAGACCGTTAATAATTAAATTCTTTTTGAAAATTTTATTTTCAAGGAAAATTCATAATTCATTATAAAAATAAATGTAAGCTTTTATTAAAAGTTTGAAAAGATGCAAGATAAGTAAAGTAATATAAATTTAGCAAAGTTTGTCGTTAAATCTGATAGTAAGTAGGCACGGAAATCAAATATTCATTATTTATAGTTTCTAAAAGCTTGATTCAAGAATTCCTGTATAAACCATTTAGATTAGTAAGTAAGCTAAGATCTCAAAAATTTTCATTCTTGCTTGTAAAGTCCATGAATTCACATAAAATATTAGCTCCAGTAGATTTGTAGCAATTGAATGATTTTTATTTGGCTGAAGAACTGGTGCAATCAATTTTATGAAATCAAATTATAAAATTCTATGACTTTAGAATTTTTGAGACAAGAACTAAGAAATTCAAAAATATATAAAAGTAAATAAATACAAACAAGTAGATAGACAAATAGATAGATAGATTTTAGATTTTTTTGACATTCTATTTATTTATTTAATAATGTTTTTTATAATTGTCACATAATAAAAAGCATCTTTTTAGTATTTTATAAATAAGCAAATAAATGTGAATTACATCTACACAACTTTATAATTAAAATCTAACTTGAACTTTAGATATTTGCTATTTATTTTATAAATCTAATAAAAAGCCAGCGAAAAAAACACAATCAATAAATCAATCAAAAATTTTATATAGAAGTAGATTTCACATAAATATTAGTTAATTCAATGGGTGGTGCTGTTTCAAATTGCTCTTGCTAAGCAGAATCAAGAACTCAAGATTTTGGCTCATCGAATATGAATCCTAAAGTCACTGCTTATAATCCTAATGAAGAAGGTTAACAAATGCAAGAAGAAAAGATTTACAAGGCTGATCCTGCTATTATTATTAATTAAGCAGTTCCTCCTCCTCCACCTCCTTCAGGTCCAAAAATTTACGAATTTATCAACAGCTACACTCATAGGAGATTTTAGCAAGTTTTTAGTGAGCTCAAGGAAAACCAAGTATTTTTTGACAGCGAATTTCCTCCTTCTCTAGATTCTCTCACTAAGAATTCTACCTTATTCCCTGAAGCTATAAATCTCGAATGGCGTCGCTTAAATTAAATTTTCACTAAGGAAAAAATTTTAATTGATCCTTCGCAATAAATTAAAATAAATTGTTCTAGTTCTTTGCTTGGGTCTCATTATGCTCTTTCGTTTGTGTTAGGAGTTTTAGGTTTTCACTCAGACTTAATTAAATTACTTTTTGAAATGGAAGAGTTTAGCGAAAAAGGAGTTTATAGTGTTTGGCTTAACTTTAACGGAGAGTGGAAAGAAATCATTATAGATGACTAATTACCTTGTCTGAACTCTAAAAATATTCCTGCTTTTATCAAGCCATAGGGATTCAGCTCTGGTGGTTCGTCTACTTCACCAGCTACTAAGTTTGAGATATGGGCTCCTTTGATTGAAAAAGCTTATGCTAAATTATACTAATCATATGATAAATTAGATGTTGGAACTCCAGAACAAATAATAACAGATTTGACTGGCTCTCCTTATAAAAATGCTCAGACAGTTGATGCTAATATTGCATGGAAATTCATCACTTCAAACTTAGGAAAGAAAAATATTCTCACTGGTACTCCCAAATAACCTACTTCTTCGACTCTCACTGTAACTTCTGCAAACACTGCTACTGCTTCACCTTAAAAAGACTAGTCTGATTAAAATAAACCTACGATTGCAAAGTTCGTAGAGATCATCGACGCCAAAGAAGTTGAAGTTAACAATTTTATCAGAGAAAGAATTATTAAAGTTAGAAATCCTCTAGGACCTTGCGAATGGAAAGGTGACTGGAGTGCTACTTCTCAAAAATGGACTCCGTAACTGAGGGAGCAGGTAGAAACTCTAGAAGAGGGTATACTCAATTAAAATGCTAATCAATCTGATTAAAATGTGACTTGGATGCCTTTAGAGAGCTTTTGCACCATGTACTAGTACGTCTATTGCAATTATATTCATCCAAATTATTATTTCTTCACTAGAAATATCATTCCTTCAGCACTTTCCAGTTTACCATAAAATAATAATGAGTTAAGAAACAGCGGTATATTTAACTAGAATAAGCTCTACATAATTCCAATAGAAGTCAAGGAAGACAATACACATTTATTTATTTAATATCACATAGCAGATAAGAGAACTTTTTATAAACAGAAAGGCAGTTTGTGTGATAACTAACAGAAAAATATTGTCAAACAATATCCTCCTGTCAACTTTTTCTTATTCAAGGGAGATGAAGAAAAAATCGTAGAGTATATGAGAGAGGAATACTTCTATGACAGAAACGGTTGCATTGAAAATACTTTCAATAAAGGAAGTTATCTTGCAGTGTTAAATGTAAAGTGGGGATCAAAAGAAGAGTCTAAAAATGGATTATCAATTTCAACTTACAGCAGCAAGAGAGTAGAAATTAAGGAGTATTTGACCGATTAAACAAAAATCGATAACGCTATCGACTAATGCTTGATGAATATCCCACCCTTAATGAGTAAGGATATTCATAAATATCCAGAAGACGTTGACCACATAGAAAGATTCCATAACGTAGCTTTAGGATACTCTTATTATGTTTACACAAATAGAAGCTAAACAACAACATTAAAAGAAACTGGAGTAATGACTGATAGAAAATTCTTAACTATTTGTTACCCTTTCACTAACTCTGACAACTATACAATTGAAGTAAAGCCACTTTAAAAATAAATTGTAAAATATGCAATTGATCCTGAAGGCTTCGGCTTATATCAAGGTAACCTGACTCATCATACTATATTCAGCTTCAGCAACGAAGATCTTTTCCCAAAGATAAAAGCTGATTTAGCAAACAAATAATTCTAAATTGTGAGTGGAGAGAAAACTGAAGTTGAATTCTATCAACATCTATTCGAAGGAGGATTGGCTATATTTTTCTTGAATAACAGCAATAAAATATATTGTGAAGACTTTAAAGTGGAGTTGAAGAATCTAGGTCCTACAAGCGATGGATATACTTCAAATTAGTTAATAACAATCCAAGTTCCCTCAAAAAGAACTAAGCTATTTGTTTTCCCTCAAATAGATCCAATTACAAAACCCTCTTTCAAATTCACTTCAATATCTAAGAGTTTCAAAACAGATTGATTTAGTCATAAATAGAACTATATATATATTAAACATAATATTTAATAAATTACTTTTAATAAATAATCAACAAGTAAATTCATAAATAAATATTAAAATTTTTATATAAAATATGTACTGCAAACATAAACTTAAAATTAAATTTATTAGTTTAAATATTTTCAACTTTATGGAATTATAAAAATACATATATAATTTAACGAAATAAATAAATATACTTGGATTAATATTAATAATATTATATAAATTTCTAATTTATTAAAATTAATTATAATTTATTATGATTTATCAAATATAATTCAAATAATATAAACTGTAAAATAAAAAATTAAATTTTTAATATTTTAATTTCAATTTTATTATTTTTATATTTACATCGAAAATAAATCGAAAAAATAAAAAATATCAATCGATTTCGATATTTAAAAAATTCTTAAAATAATCGATTTGTTGATGATAAATCGATTCATCGATCACAACACTGGTTTTTACAGATCGGACTTCATTTATTGTCTTAAATTAACACAATTATGCTCAATATAAATCTCCTCATAAATTGAATAGTTTTCAAAGTAAGGGATAAAACAGCCAATTATATTGAAGGAATCTGTATGCTTAATGAGTATTGTAAATTCAATTTTGGACTGAGCAATAGGACTATTGAGGAAGTCTGAGAGGTGCTCGATGAGTTAAAATCGAAATACATTTTTCACAATTCAAATATTGAAAAATCTCCCTAGATAATTATTTTGCCTAAATTCCTACTTTAGATATTAAATGAAGAACATATAAACAAATTTAAAAATCATTCAATCATAAATATTATTATATTACATTCTTTTAATAATTTTTAATTGATTAGAATGAATTTATTAATACAAATTAACTTAATTAGTAATTTTAAAATAATTTAAATTTAATGTATGGATGGTATTATAATAATTTAATTGCAATAATTTAGTTTGTTTTTAAAGTAAAGTAAAATCTATTTTTTGATAAAAATAAAAGTGGCAAAAATAGATATTAAGAAGTGTTGTGATTATAAATTGATAAGTATTATTTTTGATTACAAATATATTATATTAAGGAGAAGTAACAATATTATACCACAAATTTTATTTTAACAACAAAAATAAAATAGTTTGGAATCTATAAAAGAAATAGATAATCAATATCATTTTCTGTCTAAAGAAAAATTTAGTGATACCTAACAAACAAACAAACTTTCTGAATTAATTTACATCAGACCTATAATTACAAAAGAAAAAACAAACAAGTTATTAAATAGAAAACTAATCAAAATTTAATAAATCAATAATAAACTAAAAAAGTAGTAAATTAGTTAGTGAAAAATATGAAGACACTCGTTTTAATTTATATAACATTTTCCCTTTTAATCTCGTTAAGCTTATGCACAGAAAATTGTTTTGAAAATTGCAACAACCTTTATAGCGATTGCATTATATAACCTTAAAATTTCTTAGATTTCTAACATAAAAAATTGTGCTTGGGAGGAAAGGCTACTTGCTATTAATAATGTAGAATTGAAGAATCAGTTTATAATGTTAAATTAGTTGAAAACAACAAGCCTTTAATCGGAAGCGGTATTGATACAAATCTTATTTTTTGCTAAGGTCAGTGCAAGAGAGATATGTTTAAATGCCAGATAGGATGTAAAAGCATGGGTGCTCAATGCAACTTTGAGTGTGATTAATCTTACAGAAATTGCTTGACTGTAACATGCCAATAATGAAGACAAATAAAAACTATTAGAGCAAATAACTAACTAATAAGTAACGCTAACAAATAAACTATATAAAAATAAATAAATAAAATAATATTGAGGGTAAAATAACTACTAACTTTTTCATCATATAATGAGATAAGATAAGTAAAACCTTGTATTTTAAAGGAAATTTATATTAAGTAACAAATTTTATATTCAAAAAGATTTATTTAAATATCACGCTATAAATATCGATTCATACTATTCTTTTATTTACTATAATTTATGATGAAAAATTTTACAAATCCAAACAAAAATTGTTTACTATAACTAATATCCTAAATAGTTTATTTGCCTGAAATTCCTTTCATATATATTATATCCAAGATTTTTAACTCAAATATTTTATCTAAATTTGTTTCCATATTTGTTTGTATTTATTTATTTGAGTTTCAAACATCTAAACATACTTAATATTAAATTAGTAAATTTTCTTATATAATCTCAAAAAATTGTTCCAAGTAACAGTTAATCATACATTTTAACCTATTCATCTGTAATGTTTACTCCTTAATTGGTATGAATTAAAATTATATCTTTTGAAAATTTGGAATTACCTCATTTAAGGAATTCTAAATAATAAGATTTGCAAATATATAACTAAATCTAATAACCTCTCGAAAAATGTGAATAAAAATATCATAAATTAAATAAATTTTTAATGATTTAATACATTTAATAATATAAAATAGTAATTAGCTGATTTGATATTTATCTAATTAATCTAGCAAAAGTCTTCAAAAATTCATAAATTATTTCATACGATCTTTTTTGATAAATATTTTTTTCTATTAATTAATTTATTTAGCTTACATTTAATTTTGTTCTTTAACACTAAAATCAATCAATCATTTTATAACTAAAATAAATTTATAACAAAAACAGTAAATTAAATTGATCTCACTTTATTAAGTCAAATAATATATATAGATTTATAAATAAATCATTTTCATCATCAAAAAATTGTAAAAAATAATTCATTTTAATTTGGTATTGACATAAAATAATAAAATTATAAGTAATAAAACTTCGAATGAAAAAATTAATTTGTTTTTATGAAATAATTCTCAAATTAATAAAAAAATAAATTTCCCCCACCGGGACTTGAACCCGGGTCTGAAGGGTGAAAACCTTCTATCCTAACCTGCTAGACTATAGGGGAGACATGCTTTATATCAAAAAATTCAAAATATATTTCTCAAAATTGCTATTTTTTACATTTAAAATAATCAAAAAAAGTATTTAATTTATTTAATTGGTATTTTGTTGATTATTTGAAGGATTTTAATTCAATTAAAAAAAATCCATCAAATTGAAGTAGATTATAAAAAGACCAAATAAATTTAATCAAAAAGTTAGCCCGCCGTGGGGCTCGAACCCACGACCACAAGATTAAGAGTCTTGCGCTCTACCGACTGAGCTAGGCGGGCGGTACAATAACTAATCATAAAATAAATTATAATTTGATTATTTTTAAGATTTTTTGGAATTATTAGGTTTTTATTTTAAAAGAAAAAACGTTGAAAATACAAACAAATCTTTCTTTGAAATATCTAAGTATTGTTAGTAAATAATATAAATCATTAAAATATCTAAATGCTGTTTGTTTTAATTTAAATAAAACAAAATCCAATAATAAATCTAATTAAAATCTTTGATCTCACTTATAAAATTGATTAGCTTTTACAAAATATAAAAGCAAAAAATTTAATTATTGATTAAAACTTGAATTAAATAAACATTTGGAATTTCTTTTTTAGGAAAAAAATTAAATTTTTAAAATTAACTTAAAATAAATTACCATTTTAGTTAGTTGTCAGTAAAAATATTAATTTAAAAAACTTTTATATTCAATTTGACTGATTGATTTAGTTTATTAATCAATTTTCTTAATCTCTTTTTAAATTAATAAGCATTTTTAATTATTTTTTGATATTTTAGTTTTGAAAAATAATTTAAATTGAACTCTAGATAATAATTTGTTTGCTTAGTTTAAATCTACTCCTTAAAAATTTAATCAATTTTATAAACAATCTGACCTCTTTAAAATATTAATGTAATGAATTTTTTAATTTTTTTTTTAGCTTATTTTTTAATATTCAAATAGATTTAATCATTTTTTTAAATTTAAATTCTTTATTTTTATTGTGATCAATTTTATATAATTTTATTTAAAACTGAAACTGATTATCAGATGAAAATTTGTGTCTGATTTATCTGTTTAAAATATATTTTAAATCGAATTTAAGAAAATAAATATTATATGAGCTTAATTGTAATAATTTTTTATTAATTTAAAATATGCTAAAACCATTTTTTATATTATAAATAATTAAATTTTACCATGGCTCATTTTTTGGAAATATAATTAAATAAAAAGAATATCTATTTGAATATTTTACATTAGTAAAACCGTTAATAAATAAATTAATTAATTAATGAAATTCAAATTTGGTAAAATAAAAATGTAAAATTAATTATTTTGGTTTTTGTAAAGCATGATTTTTGTACAGAATAGGGATTTAAAAAAATTCAGTTTACATTTAATTATTTGAAAACAGGCATAGAAAAAGGAAGACATATGAATGTTATAAAATTGTAACCATGGTCATAATTTTCTAATTGTTTAGTAACTCTTCTGTTTTTTTTCTTTTATTAAATTCAATTTTTGCACAACTACTCAATTTTGTTATTTTTTGGAGATTTTTATATCAGTTTACTATGATGATGAATTAATTACTAATTTTAGTTATATCCGAAACCAAACAATTATTCAACTTCGTCATCAACATTTTAAATGTGTATTTTTGATGCAAAATGCAAAAGAATATTTTACTTTCCACAAAAAATAAATTAAAAATAAATTACATTAGTTGTATGATAACAATAAGAAAAACAAATAAGTGAATAATAAAAAGCATTGATCAACTCAATCTAAAAGAATTTTGTATAATCACAAAATTTATTTAATATCATAAATTGATAAGTATTGAATATTTAGAAAAGAACTAGCTTTTGTATGCCACTGTAACTCAAATTATTTATTTATAAATTAATAAATAAGAAAACATTAAACAAATTAAAATAATGTAGAAACTACTAATAACCTTACTTTTTTTCGCCCTTTTTATTTCATAGTCTGTAGCTCAAAACGAGTGTCTGGACAACTGCAATATTTCTCATTACAACTGCATAGGTCAATAAGAAAATTTAATGGACTTCAAACAAAGAAAGTAATGCGAAGGTGAGAGAAGTATCTGTTTTAAATAATGCAAAGCTCAGAATCCTATTTTGAGTGTTTTAAATGAGTTCAAAGATAATTTTATTGTGACAAAAAGCAGTGATGATGACAATGTCTAATAATGCTAAGATAACTGTAAAAGAAATATGTTCAAGTGCTAAATATCATGCAAAAACCAAGGTGCTAAATGTAATTTAGATTGTGAAATGACTTATAGAAGCTGCTTATCATTAACTTGCCAATAATAATGAAAAAACTTTATATAGAAAAGATATAAAAAATAAATTAATAAATAAATAAATAAATAAACTTAAAAATAAATATATGTTTAATAAAATATTTTTATAATATATATAAATAACTAAACTACCTATTAATGAATAGCTAACTAACTGATTAACAAAGTAACAGCGACACTAATATCCCTTATTTATTTATGTATTATTCACTCATTAAAATTAAAATTTATATTAAGTAACAATTTTCTATTGAAATATTTATTTGAATTTCACGCTATTAAAAACACTTATTAACATTTATTTTTTAATCAAATTTTAAACAAATCATTTCTTATTACCCTTAATTATCTTTGTATGTAATTTGGCATACAAAAATCAAATTCAATTCAAATTAAGTCAAATCAATTTTGCAAATTTTCATTAGAAAGTATGATTACAATTTATTTATTATTTATCAAAAGAAAGAAATACTATTCCGAATTAAGAATTTTATATAAAAAATTCAAGTTTTAAAACATAGATCTCAAGCAAAAGACAAATAATTTTATGTTCTTTTGTTGATATCCGAACAATACTGATTTATAAGAAATAAGTTTTATTTATTTAGCATAAATTAATACTTAAGATTATCAAGTAAAAGCATCTTAATTCAAAATCGAAATTTTTTTATTTTAATATTTGTGTTTATTTTTTGTTTATCAATTTTTAGAAATGATAATTTATTTATATTTTTTTGATTTTTTAAATCTTAAAGTATAAGATTAGAGATTTTTATAGCAAAATTAATTATGTATTATTTTGAGTTTGTAATTTAGTTTAAAATTATAATTCTTTAAATATTAATCTACTTTATTTGTCAAAGATGTATGTTTCTTTAGTTTTTGATTGAATTATTTATTTTCAATTTTTTAGATATTAAAAATCTTTTGAAAGCTGAGCATTTCATGCAAACAAACCCTTTGTTTGAAATTTTAATAAATCAAAAATTTGATCTATTGATTGTTATTTATTTGTGTTTGTTTTTGGGGTTTAAATGTTTTTTTCAAAAGATTATCAAACAATTTAGTTAAAAAAATTAGCAATTAAAATAAAAATGAAGGAAATTTAGTGTATTAAAAAATAGAATGAAAAAGAATTAAGTTATTTAGTAGATTTATGTGATAAAATACTACATAAATAAATATAATACTTATATACTCTTATATTCCCATTTATATTTATATTAGCTTAAATTAGTTATCAAATATAATTAATTATAAGAGGACTTATATGTATGTTTTTTTGTGTTTGTTAATAAAGATGAATTTTCAATAAACTTTCTTTAATTTTATATCTCTATTATTTGTTTGATTTATGATAAAAATAAATAGGTTGAGCGAGCAATTTAATGAGATATCCCTAAATATTTAAGACCAGAAATATTAAGAAAATTGTTTTGTTAGTGTTTTTTATAAATAGAAAATCAGTCTATCATTGTTAGATGATATTAACTATTTATATAATTATTTCTTTTGGTCAATAAATACTTAGCTATCTCCAAAAATTCAGTTTTTTGTTAAGAAATTATGTTGTTATTTGTTTACATTAGATTACGCTCCTCAATTCATTAATTAATTGATTGATTGATTAATTTATTGTTCTGTTTGAGCGATTTATTTTGCTTTTTAATAATTAAAGTAAATTCAAAGATTCAAGAATTGAGAAGGGTTGTAGCAGCCGTCTATAATTTTTTTCTGGTCAAAAATAAATAGACGCTGAGAATAAATAATTGATTCATATAAATTAAAGATATTTATTTTTATCTTGAAATTTTCTTTCTTTCTTTCTTTTTTTGTTTTGTTTGTTTTTTGTTTCTTTTGTTTTTGATATTTAAGAATTAAAGATATTTTATTAAATTATTTAAAAAGATATCATTGGTAATTAATTATGCATGTATTTCTAAATGCAAATTTGCTTGTTTTTGATTTTTGATAGATTAAAAAAATAATAAATAATCAGCTTATCTCATTCTAATTTTGTTTCTGATTAAAATTTAATAATGTTTTTTGTTATTGTTTGTTTTTAATGTTTATTGATATTCTCTATTCATAAGTGAATGAATGAATAATGCTTATAATAATTTATTGTAAATAAGAAGAAGGAACCATTTTTTTTGGGTTACTGCAGCAATTATTTATTTATGTATTTTTTGTTTGTTTGTTTGTTAGCCTTAAAATTGGCTGGTTGATAGATAGTTAGTTAGTTAATTAGTTGATCTTCATTTTTTTTAAATAAGTTAACTTAAATAAGAAATTTAAAGAAGTGTTTAGCTTGTTAAATCTTTTAAAAGCATGCTTCTGATAAGGTACCACTCTTTTTTTTTGTTCTTTGAGTCTTCTATTGCTCAAAAAATAAAGTGGTGATTGAGAGCCTAACTTTTTCAATCCACAGCCTCACCTGAATTTTAAAGTGAAGAGTTTTCTTGAAGTGACAAAGCTGTTTCTTTTTCTTGGACTTTTAAATAGGGCTGAGTGTGCAAGTTTTCCTTTTCTTACCTCTCTTTCGCTTCTTAGAGTCTAATGTGATAATGCTCTTTCGATAGTATATCTTTATGACTCTAAGCGGAATTACTGTTTTAGGAGTTAAGCTTTTCTTCTTCGTTTTCAATCCTGTCATCGGTTTTACTCTAGCACTAAGAGGAGATATTTGGAGCATTTGTTTTTTAATTTATTTACTGCTTTTGCTTATTTTGGAGTTCTTCTAATATTCTCTAACTTTCTTATTTCTAAGCAACTTGAACCTTCTTGATCGCATCTGGAATCGATATCACTTCAGTTGAATTCATCCAGCTAGATTCCTCAACTTCAAAAATTGTAGGTCTTTTTGATGGGTTTTCGTCAAGCATCTGAGTGAGCAAATCTATGAGATTGAGGATATCTTCAGAAGGATGCTAATTAATCAAATAATTGATTTTACACTAGACTTAGTTCCATGCGTTTTTGAGCGAAAATTGTGACATTTAAAAGGATTAGGCTCCTGCAGTATTAAACGGGTACTAATTAAATACAAGACAGAATAAAACAACTCCCAAAGAAAAGATATCTGCTTTTTAACCGTCATATTTCTGATATTTGCCCTCTCTTTGAGCTTCTGGAGCGATATGTGGTTATGGCATTTTACAACCTCCACTATTCAAGAGGCCTCTTTGAGCATTGCTTTTATTAGCAGAAGTTGGAGCACTTTGATTTTTAGATGTGGTACCAAAATCAGCCAATTTTAAATTAAATTCGTTATCTAAAAGAATATTAGCTAATTTGATATCTCCGTGATAATATCCTCTTGAGTGAATGAATGAAATAGCTGATACGAGCTATTTAATTAAATTACGAACCACCTAAATGTGGATCTATAAATTCAATGTAGTAAACACACCTTATGGTATGCTTTGAGTCAAATTTTAGTAATGATTTTAATGACAATGAGGTTGCTAAATATCTTTTGGTTGAGGCGACTGACTGGTGTATTTGCAATACTGATTTATCAATTTTTGAACTTAATTAGTAGCGGATGAAGGGCCTAAAGCAAAAGTTTAAAAAGATTAATCACATGAGAAAGGATTAAAAATTTCCTTCATAGAATCTAAAGCGTTGTTTAGTGAACCATTAGGACAGAATTCAAGGATCAAAACGTGATAAAATATATTTTCATGATGAAAGTTAGTGCGATATCCATAAGTCTTTACAATATGAGGGTGATAATCAATGTTTTCTTCCTCTAAAATTTGTTGCTATTAAAATTATTAGTTGCCTTAATTCAAAGCAGCATTTTCAATATTAGTTTATCCATCAGATAAATTCGAATGGTTATTGTTTCCATTCTAATTGTCCTATTGCTACTGAGCACCATTGTTATTTTGCTGGTTGCCATTCACGTTAGCTGAGTGCTAACCGATATCCTAAAGAACTCTGAATTCATTAGACAAACACTTAACCCTGTCAGATCTATCAGATTGAGCTGCCTTGAAAATATAGAGCTCGCCTTGAGAAGAACGGTAAACAAAAATAGTTGAGTTGCCTCCTTGATGCTTGAAAGGAAGCTTCTGAAGAAATCTTTAATGATGCATTTGTTGATTTCTGTTTGATTTGTTGGTTTGGTTTTGTTTATTGTTAGGATTTTTATCTGCTTCTTGGTCTTCTTCTTGTTCCTTCATTACCTTTAATTTGCCTTCTTTTCAACACAATTTACGCCTGTGAAGTTCTTCTGTTGAGTTTGATTTAAAGGAAATAAAGAATACAAAAATTATATATTTTAAACAAATTGTTTGTTCTCCTGTTTTTTGTTTCTTGTTTCTTTCTTTCTTTCTATGAATGTATGTATGTATATATAAGTATATATAATAAATAATACAACACTTAATTATTAATTAATTAATTATTTATTCTTGATGCCTCAAAAATAATAACTTATATAACTTCTCATTCATTTATCAATATAAAATTAATCAACCAAGCAAATAAATAAATAAACATATAAACTTTCTATAGAGAAAATGCACGCATTTTCTTGATGTTCTATTTTTTTTTTTTTTTCTTACAAGGAATTTCTAAAATTTGCATGACCCAAGTATTGAATTCTAATAAGAATAATCTTTGAATTTTGTAATGAAAAGATATTTACTTTTATTAATGGATAAAGTTCAAAAAAAAAAAAGTGAAATGAAGTAAATTAATTAGTTAAATACAATTTTTTATAAAAAAAAAATGGCAAAATAAAAATTTATTTTGATTGTTTTGAATAAATAATTGCATTTATGATAATAAAAATACAAATAAAATTATAATATAACTATTAATTTATTTATAAATGAGTAAGTTATTGATTTTAAAATAGTCAACCATAATTTAGATCTGTTTTTATCTATTTCTAATTCATGATAAAAACATAAAAGAAGTTTTAAAATCAAATAAATCTTTGTAATATTTATCTATATATCTATCTATTTGAAAATAAATTGAAAAAGCAAAAAAAATTATAATAGCTAAATGAATGCAAATTGATAGATAAAAACAATGATAGAATTCAATATTGTTAATATCAAGAAAATTTCAATCAATTTTATTTTTCTTTTTATTTATAACAAATTATAATTTTTTACTAATAATTTCTGAATAGATTGTAGAATATAGAAAATTGCCTAAATTAAATTTCCATCTTCGAATAATCACTCAAACCAAGCAAAAAGAAAGATGACATTTATTTCTTTTTAGGAGATAAAAATTAATAAATATTTTTTTAAATTAACAATTAAAGAAATTAATTTTGAAATAAACTCAATAAAATTGTTTTGAGTTATGCTTTTAATTATGTTTATTTGCTTTTTTATGCCATATTTTACTTTTTAGAAGATATGGGTTGAAACTATATTCTATCATATTCACTAACTATTATTTAATTAATTCTAGATGCTTCTAGAAATCTTTCTAAACACTAGAGAGTTTATTATATTCTAGAAAAGCAAAGATAGATCTAACTAACTAAATATTTTAAAATCAATAAAATAAAATAAGAATATTCTAGTAAAATAAATATAATAATTTATTAAAAATACTTGAAAAATTAATTTAAATTATAACTTAAATCATAAATAAAAATACATGTTTCTTTTAAACTACAATCTTATATTCATAAATAAATCTAATAGATGAAAAATAAATAATATCTTTATTTTTAACCTTAATAAAAAAAAATTTTATTGCATTTTTCAAATTTTCTTTCTTTTATTATTTAATTAATATAAAAATATTTTTATCATACATATTATAAATATAATTATTAATTAATTAATTTCATGGTATTAATTTAAGAATTTATATTGTCCTTATTTAAATTTAAAAACTAAATTAATAAAAAAGAAATTAAATTTTTAAATATTTATAAATCTATTTCAAGAAAAAATACAAAAAGATATTTATATATATAGCTTATTATATCAAAACCAGATATTATTTTGCATATTCACAAATTAATCTTTGAAGTTTTTAATTGAAAATTCTTAAAAATTATCAAAGAAGAGACCAGTCATCTTTAATATTATTATGAATATATATATATTATAACTCAAAACATATTTTTTAAAACAAATGCTAGATCTAAGATTAAAAATCTAAATTTTTATTTTAGCTATCATTAATTGATAAATAATAAAAAAAATAAATACTTCTAAGATAAATTAGTTCTGTTCAGAACTTCATTTAAAAAATAGAACATAAATAAATAAATTAGGAATTTTATTTTAAAAAAGAGACTTAAAAGTTAATTAATTAACTAATCCAAAATAAAAATCATCCTTTTTAAATTAGAAAAATACACATTTTATTTTTATATTTGTTTAATAATTTAAACTGGTTAATTTTTAAGATTAATAAATTTTGTAGAAATAAAATACCTAACAAACATCATAGTTTAATCAAATAAAAACACTTTTCAAATAGAATTTATACTAATAGTAGTTAACAAAAATACTTAAAAATAAGGGCTAATAATAGATTCAATTTTATTAAATAAGAATGCTTATACTTCTATATTATTGCTGTTTTATTATCATCAGTTCTCTTTTTTAGAAGCATCTCAGTAAATATCTGTTTGATTAATTTAAGTAAATTAAAAAAAAAAAAAATTATAACATTAGATGCTTTTGCAGATGTCATAGAAGACTTATCACAACCTATTTAAAATAATTTATTCACTTAAACTGCACTGATAGCTGAAGATTTCAAACAATACGATTAATTTGAATTAAGTTAAGAAATAATCAATTAAATAAGTAGTGATTAACTTTTTTAGTATAATGAATACTATTTTGTAGAGATTACTACTCAAAATAATAATATTGAAAGAAAAGTGACAAATAGTTTACATAATAATCTTATTGTGTATTGCAGCAAATTACAAAGCATGAGAAATGATGTTGCTTGCTTATTTTTTATAATATTTAATTCAAATGAGTTAAAAAATAATCATTTTTTTTAAATGATTGCAATTGATTAATTTAAAGCTAATAATTCTACTTATCAACAAGTAATCAAATTTATCATTAATTTAATTATTTTTTCTTAATTTTTTTTTAATGTGAAGAGTTTAGCAAATAATGGTAGGGAAATCAAACTTAAAAATCTTGAGTTTTTGGGATAATGTTTACAATGTGATGTAAAAAGTGTTCATTGCAATTTAAAACATAGTTATTGGTTAGATTTTTAAAAGTTGTAATGCAATATGTGTCCATTAGGCTGTAAAAATTGTGTCTATTCTAATTAAATAGAAAAGCCTATATGCTAATCTTGCTATACTGATTACTAATTAGATTCAGGTCAGTGTTTCAAAATTTAATAATGCTAAAGTGGAAATTACTTTGATGAATATTAAAGCAAATGTGTGAAATGCATGGATTATTGTAAATAATGTCACACTAAGTCTCAGTGCAAATAATGTGAAGATGGTTATGTTCTTGAGAACGGCTTATGCAAATCTAGATGCAAAACAGGTTTTAAATGGAGCGAAAATAATTAATGCGAAGAAATATGTGGAGATGGGTTACTCTTTAAGAAGAGTGGATGTGATGATGGAAATAATCTAAATGGGGATGGGTGCAACTCAAATTGTGAAGTAGAAGAAAATTATGAGTGTGTAAGAGAAACTGAATATACTCCTGATAAATGCTATATCAAAAAGAGCAAATAAGTAAATCAGAGATAATTATATGTCAATTTTGACAATATGTTCCGTCTAATAAGTAATTAAGAAAACTAAATAACTGTAGAAATTATATAAAAAGTTGCGATGTATGGTAAAATGAATGAAATACTAAATGTTTATATCCCTAATTGTGATTACTCCTTTGACATTTAATATGAAGAATTTACCTACATAACTTACACTTTCTATTTCCCTTAATTAGTTCCTCCAACATAAATGGTTTTCTTCAATATCACAATCCCTAATAAAATCTTTCCTCTACCCCAAAATCTTGAAGGCCTTGCATTAGTAATCTAAACAAGAAACACTTACTCAGTTCCAGACTAGAGCTTTTAAAATTTATTTATTGATATTATTTCATATTTCCTTTACATAAGTCAAATAGTCTTTCTTATTTCTACTTTCCTTCTAAATACAAAGTCATTTTAATCCTTAGTGTTATGGTAATATAGTCTATTCTAAATTACAGGATTCTACTCTTTTCCGTAAATAATTCGTTCATCTATTTATTTATAACCTCATTTTCTATTTATCATTGCAATTAAACAAAGAATAGTAAATAAAGAAACAAAAAATTGAAGTCAAATCAACAATGAATCTTTAATTTTACTAAAAAGTCATTTTTTGAGTTAAAAAAAGATGATTTTATATTAAATTTGATTAAAATATTTTAAAATTAAACAAAATTAATTTTTAATTTAATTTTTAACTTTATTTAAGAATAAAATATAAAAATAAATTATCTGATAAAAATATTTTTTACATATACTAGGGCATCACTTAATTTAAAAGCTTTTATTGATAAGATTCATGCTAGTTGGCTTTCATTTAATATAAATTAACCAGCAAAATCTTTGGATAATATTAGGAATCTCGAAGGAAATGAGTAAAAATTAAATAAATATAAAATAATTAAAACATAAATAATATCTTTAATTATTTTAATTAGGAGATTACTGGCAGACGTTGGAGATATCTTTAATCCTACTAACTTTAGTTCGTTAAAAGGACATTTAGACTACTTCATGGGATTTTACATTATATTAGGAGCTGTCTTGCTGTTTAATATAATTTTCGGGATTATTGCTTCAATAAAAAAGAGTGAGAAGTTCTCATATGAATTTAAAAAGAGATTTGTTTTTAATTATTATTTAGCTGTAATCTTCTTATTCTATGAGACTTACTCTGAAGATGTCATTTATAGAATTTATAAGTAAATATTCTTAGACTTGAAAGAAGAAATTATTTGTTATTTATCTGCTGCTTTTATCGTTTTACATCCCTTTTATATTTTACCAATATTGATAAAATCTGATAAAGAATAAGAAGTAGAAATATTGGGCGAGTAACCCTTATCATTTTATTATCTAAATTATGATATTCATACTTAATGGCATTTATATTTATAAATACCAATTAGAATGATTTTTATCTCTGCTGGTAATTTACTTAAATTAGTTTTACCTTAAGGGTATCCATTTTACTTAGTGGCCTAATATCTCTTAATTGTTCTATATAACCTTATATTCAAAATTTAAACAGATAACAGAATTCGGATTATAGACATCTCTATTTCTATAGCAGCTTTAGTTTAAACAATAATTTTGGCTGCTGTCTCATAACAAAGTTACATTTTTTAAGAAAGTGTCAGATCTTAAGTGGCAAATGTTATTATTTATTTGCCTTTTTTGCCAATTTTTATTTTCTTAGTTTATTACATACAACTTATCATAGAAAAAAGTAGATTATACTTAAGGGAAAGAGAGTAAATGAAAAAAATAATCCCGATTGATGTTTTTATTTAACAAACTCGCACATATACAATGAGTAAAAAAATCCTAAATTAGATAGATTCAGAAGAAAAGTAGATAGATTTATTTTAAATTTTATATTAATTTATTTATTTATTTTATGGAATTTTGCATAATTTTTTACATAATTTATTTATAAAAGATTACCTAAAAGCGAATTTAATAGCATCAAAAGCAGAGCTTCTTTAGCAGTTTAATAATTTGATTATTCCGATGGTTAAACTTCATTTAATTAAAAACAAACAAAAGTAAGAAGCAGTCTTGGTTAAATTAATCCAGCTAAATCAACACCAAATGCAAGTAGGTTTAGTTTGCAAAATACTTTATTTGCTCCTACTAGAAAAACTAAAAAGGAAACTTCAATTGCTCCTATTTTTGAAAACAAGGCTTATGAAAATGAATCATCTATATAGGAAAGCTAAGAGCAAACTTAGAATATTATTTAAACAAATTTAAATTTGTAGAAACAGGCTAAGTTAAAATCACAAAACCCTAGCTAGGTAAATTCTCTTCAGTAATTTATCAATTTTAACACCTTTGAGGGGAAAAAAAATTTATTGTCAAATTCACCTATAAACGCGACAGAGTAAAGAAAAAGTAACGCTGGCTTATAGAGATAATCAATTTAGGTTAGAAAAACAATAAATAGCCTTTCAAATTAATAAAACTTAGATCCATCTCCAAGTTCTTCAAATTATAATTTAAAAACGGTATTTTTATTCTTTTAAATTTATTTATTTTACAGATTAATATTTGCTTACTTAATGGTTAAATTTAAAATACTTTTTTATTTCCTAAATAGCTTCTTAAATCATTTTATTTCTTAAATTTTTTTAAACTATAAATTTTAATTAAAAAACTATTTATTAAATAATAAACATTTTTTTTTTAATTTTACTCAGCAATTAATAATTATTTAACTTCTTTTTAACTTATTTCAAACTAAATTGATAAATTTTGTAGTAGTTTAATCAATAAATCTTTAAATTATAAATAAAATATTAATTTTTATTTTAAATTTCTAAAATTAATTATGATTTTAAATAAAAAGACACCTTACATATCAATAAAAACAAAGCCAACAGAATTTTCAGAATAGGTAGAACAATTTGTACTTTGAATATATATGTTAATTAATTTTTTGTTACATATAAAAAATAATTCAACACTTAAGATATTAAAATGATCTATCTTTTAATTCAACCAGTTTTTTTGTATTTTGTATACATTTATTGAATTTTTAAATTTTTAATGGCAAATAAATAAAAAAAGATTAAATTTTCACTCTAATAAGATGATTAATATATCTATTTGCAAATGTATGCTTTCATTCTAAACAATTATCCCTCATTATCAAATTACTTAAATACATATTTTACTAAAAAATTGATAATAGCTTCTTCATTCTTGGATATCACTTTGAAATAAATAAACAAGCTTTGAATAATGAAATTAATTATTATTGTTTTACCTTATTGAAAATAATTCATGAAAATTAAAATAAATTATTATTAATTTAAACATTTTTTTTTCTTCAATTGCTAATTAAATTCTAGCTAATATTTGACTTTTTTAGTTTATTTATAGATTGAATTTTTAATAAATTATTAACACGTAATTATAAGATAATAGCTTAATTGATTCAAGAAATTCAAATCAAACTAAAAATTTTTGATAAATCAAAAGTACTCAGTTAGCTCTTTAGTTTATGAATTGATAATATCTTATTATCAAGTAAATAAAAAAGAAAAATAGAAAGTTTGAAGATTAAAATCAATTTTAAAAATAAAAAAAACAAAAAGAAATAAATAGGTATTGAGATTACTGTTTGTTTGTTAAGATATATTTATTTAGTTCGGATAAGCATGAGTGGTCATTATCGTACAGTTATTAGCAAATTTTTATTAGCTCTTGCTTTAGTGCAGCTTTGTTATAGCCATTTTGCTATTAATTTATAACCTAAAGTTAGCATTAAAAATTTATAGTTTTTCAGTGGAGAAGAAACGAAAACAGTAAAGGTTAGTGAGGATGCTTTGTGGAAACACACAAAAAAATTAATTAAATATCCTTATAATTTAGGAGAATTAAAAACATGTCTGTAGAAATCATATGTCTATTTAAATTAAAACGAAGCTGCTCTTTTGTTAGGCAAATTCACTCTATTTGAATACCCTGCTGAAAAAGCATTTAAACAAGATAAATTTAAAGATTTAAATTTTTGCAAAAATTATCCTTCAAATAGCGATGTAAATAAACAGAGATTAGAAGCATTATAAAAGTATGATGCAGTAGATTCTTTTAATAGAAATTTTGCCAAGGCTTTATTTTACTTTCACGAATCTGAGCAGTTATTAAACGAAGACGCTCCTATTTATTTATTATTTATGCTTTGGATGAGTCGTTTTACAGAAAATTTAAATGGAATCATCGACAGTCACAACCTAAGTTTTGAAAATTTAAGCACTATGCTTGTTAATGCTGCCACTTTAAGAGGAAGTTCTTTAGCTTATTAGATGTAGCTCACAGAGATTCTTTAGTGTATGAAATTAAAGAACTTAGATCATAACTTTTATGAAATGCTTGGTATTTTGATGGAAAGTAAATTTCAAGATACTCTTAAATAAGGAAGTGATTAGCAAATAGAGGATTATTTTGCTACTAATTTTGAGCTTAAATCTTACAGACTAAAGCTTGAGAACAAAGAATACTAATTCCCAGAGGGTGTTATAACTTAAGAATAATATTAACTAATTCATTATGTTTCTACTGAAAAAAAGAAACCTTTTATAGAAGATCCTGCCTTTGATTAATTCATCTCAGAAGAAGACGAGGAGATGTTAAATGAATAATTGAAGGAAATTGAAAAATTGATGAAAGAAGAATATGGAATTGAGTATGAACCAATGACTATTACAAAAGAAGAAATGAAGAATCTTAAAAGTTAATTGAAAAATATTGCTTTAAGTGAAGATGGTATAATAGAAGTTCTTGATAACATCAATGACAGCAATGAAATACCTAACTAGCAATAGAAACAATCTAATAAAGTTAAATAGACACACTAAGTAAATAAAAATTAGCAACAGAATAATTAAAGCAAAAATTAATCTTAAGTTGATGAAAAGAATGAAAAAAATAATGAAGAAAAATAAAATGTTGATAAAGAAGATAAAAAGTTTGATAATTAAGAAGAAAATGATGATGTTTCTGACGAATAAGAAGATATTTCAGACAATTAGGATGAAATTAGAAATAAATTATATTAATTACTAAATGAAAAGCTTAAAATAAACAATTTGAAGATCTCAAAAAAAATAACTGAAAATGCAATAGATAAAATTTTTGATGTCTTAGATTCTACTATTCATTTTATGCAACAAGATACAAACAATAACTGCTTACCTTGCAAATACACACTCAACATTGCAGGAAAAGTTGTTAATATGTCTCATGAGGAGCTGAACTTATCGTCAGACAATTTGGAAGAAGAAGACGAAGACATTTCTCTAACTGATTAGCTTATCTTCTAAAATACTGACTTGAATTATCAGGAAATGATTGATCATTATGGTATGAATCCAACTAATCATGCTGAAGAAGTCTTAAGAAGAAGAGCTGATTTAGGAGATCTTTAAGCTTAATTACAATTAGGTGTCGATTACTATAGAGGCAATTTAGAAAATAATATTTAATAGAATCACTAATAGGCTTTCAACTATTTCTAAATGGCAGCTGAATAAGGTGTTGCATAAGCAATGTTTAATACTGGTTTGCTCTTAATGAACGGCTAAGGAACTTAAAAAGACGGGAAAAAAGCAAAAGAATATTTTTAGCGTGCTATTGAATTGGATGAAAAAATAGCGTAATATTATTTCTTTTAATTCATTATTCTATTTATTCGAACTTATTTATATAACACAATTTTTATTAGATATTATCTTTCAGCTTAAGTTTTTATTAAAAACTTTTAAACAGTATAGTTAATTAATAAAATAATTTTTAGTTAATTTTCGAATTGAATTTGAAAAAATAGATTATGGTATATATTTATTTATTTATTTTTATGTATTTCTTTTAAATAAATTAGATATGCAGGCTTAGCATAATTATATTTGATAGGCTTAGACGTTCCCTAGAATTAAACTAAAGCAGCTTCATATTTTGAAGTAGCAATGCGTGCAGGTCACTAAGACTCCAGAGTTAATTTAGCCATTTTATATCAATAAGGATTTGACAATGTCCCAAAGAATGTAACTAAGTCTATTGAGTTAATAAAACCTATTGTGCACAATAATAAAAGAGCTCAGATATTTATGGCTATTTAATACAACTTAGGGAAAGATATTGGAATGACATGCGAAACACTATTAGGTTTCATGCTTAAAAAAGAAGAAGATTCTTAGAATGAACAAAATGTATATTCAGTTAAGTCTTTGAAGAAATACTAAGCAGGAAAATATGAAGATGCTCTTATTTATTCAATATTTGCTTCTTTCATGGGGTATGATTAATCATACCATGATACTGGTTTTTTATGGAAAACTCTGATGAGAGACTAGAATAATAGAGAGTAGAGTATAGAGAAGAACTTAATATGCTCTTATAACGATTATGACCTTTGTTCTATGATTTTTTACTACAAAGATGCACTACTTCATAGAAATGAAAGTTTTGCTTAAGTAGGACATCAGATTTTTAAAGGATCAAACTCTTTTACTCATAGCTATTAATTGGCTTATGAAATATATAATTCAACTTCATATTTACCTGAAAGCCTTCATTCTATTAGTTACCTATATCAAAACGGATATTATGTAGAAAAGAATTTGACAAAAGCTATCGAATATAATGATAATATAATTAAAATGGTTGTTAACGATGAAGTTGAATTTAAAAATATCTATCCAGCAATTTTAAGAAAAGTTTTCCTCTTTTTTTACAATCTTCTTGATAAATTTATGAATTTCTTTTCTCATTTTTTTTGAAATTAATTATTATTGAATGAGAAATTTCATAAAAATAACTAACAAAAGACAAAAAATAAATATGTAAGAAAGTAAGTTGCATTGGAAAATCTTTAATAAACCAACTACTTTAAAAAAAAAAATACTAAATAAATAAATAAGTTTAATAGTTAAATAAATCTAATTACTTTATTATACATTTTATATCTATAATTAAATAAAATATTTACTATTTTTTATGATTAATTTTATTTTTGTGCCATTCAATTCTTAAAATTTTACTTTCTATTAAATCGAAAATAATTTGTATTTATTTACTTAATGATACTAAAATACTTCAATTCATTCCTCAAAAATTAAGGATAGATAAACTATGAGTTTTTTAATAATTTAGTTCAGATAAATTTATCAAAAATTTAGTTTGATATAAAAAATATAAAAAGAATATTAGAAAGTTAAAGTATAACTAAGGGAAATAAAGACTAAATAAATAAATAGATTTATAGTATAAGCTAATATTTTATTTAATATATTTGAAAATTAATTTTAATGGGATTATATCCATCTATTGAGTAATTTATTTGAATAATATAATTTAGTTTATTTTAATTTAATCATTTTATATTTTGTTCTATCTATTTATTTTTATCGAATTTAATCCAATTTTTTCAAAAGTGTTTTTATTAAATTAATTAAGTTAATTGAATTTTTTATGTTTTTATTATAAAGGCAGTTAAATCCTTCATTCATTAAATGCTGGAACCCTCACTTCGTTTTGTTAAATTATTATAGAGTTATTTTTGTTTAGTGGACTCCTTACATTTAAGCTATCTCTGATGTACATTAAAGAGGTAATATTAGGAGTTGACTCTGTATGATGCAGTGTTTTTAGACTTGTAATATCTTTTTTAGTTTGACTTTGCATGCTTGAAGGAATTTATGTAGAAGAATTTATAATACTTTTTTGTTCAGCGGACAGGTGATTATTTCCTTATATTTTTCTTTTGCTTCTTAAAATTTGGCTAGCTAGATTTTGCTTTGGTTTTTCAACTAATTGCTAAACCATTAATCTTTTAGAGTATTCCTTGAGCATAGCTCCTCTTTTTACAGATAATTAGTAAACTTCTTTCAGCTTTTAAATTTAATCTTGGATATCATCATTGCCTTATTCATAACCTCCACAACTTTCTGTTTTTAATTCAGTTTCTTAATTTATATATCTTTCACTTTTCTAGCTTTTAAAGTACTACTTCATACTGGCAATAGGTAAATTAGCCAAAGTTTTTTGAGGATACCTATAAAATTTTGATTTAATAATAATAATTTAAGAGAGCTCAACATTTATTAAATAATTTTAAATAAATTACAGTCCTGGTATGTATCCATTCGTTTATTGTAATGTTAGGGTTCTTTTTATTTTATTGTTCGTAAAAGGTATTTGAGCTGAACTCAATTAGTTTAGAGAAGTTTTAAAAGGAGTTACCTCTTGATTTAAAATTTATGTTAGAGAATTAAAATCATCTTAAATATTTTATAGAGAGGATCTATGCTTAGACTAAGACTATAATCTTGTAGTTGCTGACGATGTCATAGTAGAATCTTTATTTGAAGAGGCAAAAGACTTTCTTGTCACTTTACTTGAAGGAAATATTGTTTTTGGGGTTTAAGGAATTATCACACTTTCTTCTGTGCGAGAAGTTAGATTGTATGAAGTTTAATCCTTGCATAATATTACTCCTCCTTTAATCAACTGAGAAGGTTGAGGTAATTCATAATTTTCTTAATTCTATTGCTATTTTTCATAAAGAGAATTTCTTTTTTAATTAATAGCTTTTATAGAATGTTAATTTTAAAACTCGTTCACTGATTTATTGTTATTCATACTGTTATTTTATTTTAATACTTCCATTTAGTTTTCCTTTAAGTTTATAGATTAGTGAATTCTTTTCTCCTGAAATTCTATTCTAACTTTGCTTTCTTCTATGAGCATTTAGTATTCTTTAACACTTAATATTTGCTTGAGTTTCTTTTAAAAAAATATTTATTTATTATTAAAATTTTAATTTAAAATGTTTAAAAATTCATAAATAAATAATTGAATATGTCAAAAATATTTATAAAATCTTTTGTATATTAAGCAAGAAAGCAATTAATTTAAGAAAACAATTAATTATGATTGAATTTTTTTGAATCTTTCAAATAATCTAAAATCCTTTTAAATTTCCTTAAATGAGTTTTTTAGAAATATTTGCAAAAAATAAAATTTTTTTCATCTTTTCAAGAATAATTTTCAGATATATAAATGAAGAAGGTTTTGGTTTAATATTATATATTGAAATCTAATTACTTCACCTTTAAATTATTGCATAAATAAAATATTGATTTTATTATTTTAAAATTAAATAATTTATGCATATTTATAATAAATAAATACCTTTATATCAATTATATAGATCTCACTAGTTACAGAAGAGCATTTAGCTTGTGTCTCTCTTAAACTTTTTTCATTTATTATTTCATATTCTCCAAAGTAAGAATTAGAGCCTACTTTAGAAATTGTGATGTTTTTTTATATTTAATTCTATCGCTTTAATGATTATTTCAAATTAATTGCACCATCTGTTGATTTTTCAATGATATATTTATTTTCGTCTTTAGTCATTTTAAAATTACTGTTCCTATTGATCAAGTTATTTTTAAAGTATTAAGGCTCAGTTTAATCTTCTTTTATGATATATTTTTTAGAGATTTCAACTTCACCACGATGAACTAAGTAAAGTTTATCAGCACTATCTTTTTAAGAGTAGATTATTTATTTACAAGAAAAAACTTCTATTCTAAAGTGATATAAAAGTTGTAACAAAGAGAATTTGCTTAAATCTCTAAAAAATGAGAAATTATGCAAAAACTAAATTTAATCTTCTAAAATTTTAGCTTTATAAATGCTAAAAACTTTGTTGAATCCTTCTTTACTAAGACTCATAAAATGAGTATCTTCTTTTAAAAATATTGTGGCCGTTCTAAATTAAAATTAATAAAATTCAGCTTAAAAAAATTATTATTAAAATTTAAACAATAAAATAAATTATTAAAATTTATAAAAATTAATAGAATTAATAAAAAAAATAATTCTTATTTAAATAAACTAAACAAAATGAATTAATTTAATTTAATTTAAATTTTTTAAATATAATCAAAACTAAAAATCATAATATTAAATTACCTGCCTTTGTTTGTCATTAAAGCTATTTCACCAAAGCTTTCTCCTGGTCCTATTTACTTAACAGCCTTGAAATCAGGGAATTTTTTTCTCATATATTCTTCATCTGTAAGAGCTTGTTCTTCTCTAATTTCTTCCAGAAAAGTTTAAGCCATTCCAAGCTTTGCAAAAAATGCAAATGTTTTCTTTTTAGCTGTTATGTTTTGGCTTTTTATATTAGAAAGGTAAATTAAATTATATTGATTTACATTTAATAAATTTGGCATCCAAAAAATTGAGATTTATTCATTTATTTAGCTTATTATAATATATATTGACTAAATTTGAATATTAGCAGATGTAATCAAAAATTTTTTAATTAAAAAAGAATTTTTAATAGGCAAATAAAAGCTATCCATGAAAATAAATAAATAATCAAATAAATAAATAGCTAATAATTATCAAAATATCCAGCAAAATAAATGAGTAATATAATTCTTAATTTATCTTTCTATCTAAGCTTAAAAAGAAATAAATGTCGAAATAAGATTTATTAAGTTTATACTTAATCTGGATTAAAAACAAGGAATATTTTAAAAATAATGAAAAGAAGTAATCGATTTACAGTACTTTAAGAAACTTCGGATTATCTTCTTTTTCGAGTTACTCTTACTAATTTGAAGATCTATTCGATTAAGGAGAGTGAGGACGATTTTATTAAAGATTTAAACTTCTATTGCATGATCTTTGCTCTTCACTCAGCTAACTATCAGGCAATAAGCAATATACTGAACCTGTTAATAAAATAAAAATTATTTCTTGATTAGTTAAGTAATTTATCTGGAAATTTTCGTTCACTTGAATTAAAAAGTTGATTAATATAACGAAAAGTAGTATTAAATATTAATTTATTTATATATATACCCTTCAAGACTATGTAGTATTTATCTCCTTAGTCACCTGTTTAATATATAAATAATTTAACCAAATTTCAGCATACAAATAATATTTAAGGTACCATAATTAAAGAGGACTGTTCTGCGTGGATAAAATTCATGCTTTAGCTGCTTAAATAAGTTGCTTGAGATCAATGAATCAGAAGCCATGCCTGGATTCTACTTAAAGATGCTGATGTTTTGGATTACCTATTGCAAGAAACGCATTTCCAAATTGTTTTTAATCTGCTTTCTAAGAATGTAAATAGCCAGCTTTATAATAAAAAAATACGATTTGTTTAAACTCCAAGCCTTTCATGTAATATTTTGTCAAAACTTAATTTTGTTCTTAACATTTTAAGTAAGCATTGATTATAATTGATTTCATTAAAAATTTAAACAAAAAAAAACTATTTTTATATTCAGTTTAAAGATTTGAATAAGCTTTTACATTAGCTTCAGCTGAATTTCGAAGATCTATTTCCTTTTTATTGAATATTTAGTATAGTGCTTTCTCTTTTTCAGAGAGATTTTATCCTTAATCTTTGCTCTCTAAAGCGCGCAATAAACCTGCAGAATCCAAAGAACCTCTTTGCAAGAAGTTGCTTGTTTCCTTTTCAAGGTTGATTTTTTGTGCTCCTATAATACTGACAAAGGGAAGCTGCTTTCTTTAAATCTGTTCAGCATTAGTTTCTAAATCAGGGTATTCTGATTAACTAGCTTTTAATTGGGAGAGTTTAGCAACCAATTTATTCATATTGATTTTGTTTTTTAGCTGTGAATGTAAATTAATTGATTAAATTAATAGCAAGAGTATTAATCAATTGCTAATTGTTTGATATTGTTACTAAACAAATTTCTAAATTGATTAATTAATAATAATTGATATTTTAGAGCATCATCAGCAGCTTATCATTAATAAAAACACAAATAGAATTCATAAGAGTCAAAAATTTGTCTTGGCGATTTATTAATTTTATGATTATTTAATCACAGAATTTGAAAACTTTCACTTAATATCAAATAACTGATTTGAATTTTATTATAATTTACAATATTCTATTTGTATTTGAGGTAAAAAAACGAAAGAGAAAATAAAAAATAAGTGAATTCATATTTTTTTACTTATTTTTATTTAAATATTCAAACTTTTAAAAAAATCTTATGTTCATAAATAGTTAATCAAAAAAACCAAATTTATTTTTAAAATAAAAAATTAGAATTTCTGATTATTATTCTTTAAACAGTGAAACATAGTCCATTAGTTATAATTTAAATTTTGTCTTTAAAAAAATATTACTTAAGAATAGACAATTTAATTAATTAATTTTTTTAAAGTGTAAATTTGATTTTAGAGTGATTAATTTAAAACTAATATTTTGAGCAGTTTTTATATTGAATAAGTGTCAGACATTATAAGTCCAATCAATTTACTTTAATGGCTTATAATAAAATAATTTTTTATTTATACTAAAAAATAAGGTTTATGTTGTTTTATTAGAATGATTTACAAATATAATTATTTTTTTTGTAATCCTTATATTATCTATCTTCCTTAGTATTAAATACTGTAAGACCTCTAAACTTAAAAGTTGAAATGAAAAGTTTTATGAATTCATAAAAATTATATAAGGATGAAGAATAAAATTTTTGTAAATAAAAGTAATTTAATGGAAATAGTGTAGATACCTATATATAATATAACGCAAATAATATAATCAAACAAATAAATAAAATTTGTTTGCATAATTATTTAAATATATCTTTATAACAATATTCTTTAGATAATGTAATTAATTTGATAGACAAAATAAATCATTTTTTTAAAGCAGCTTTTTGCTATTTTCAGGTAATTTATTTATTCATTTTTAATAAAGATTATAATTAATGTAAAGTGCGAATAGTTTAATGTAAAAAATTTAATAAATAATGTTTTATGGTTCATATCACAAATTTGATTATTTCTTGAGCTTTACTTACTTAATATATTTGAGATTTTTATTTATTAAAATATTCAATAAATATTTTCATATTCTCTAAATTTTTTCTTAAATATTTTCTGAGGACATTTAAAATATTTTGCTGGGCTGAGTTTAGAATTTCCAGTTAGAAAACTAAAGTTACTTTCTAATTTACAAACCCAAGAACTTATTTTTGTCAGTAAAAATGTTTTCTTGCTAGCTTCTTAAATCAATGTTCAAGTTTTTTCTGTTATCGAGTATCAAGCTCGAAGTCATACCATATGGTCCTTTTTTTTCCTACAAATATTCTTTTTGACTCTTTTTGCTTAAAAGAACTCCAGAGTTCTAATAAAATGACATGCCTGTTTGAGCATTCTTTTTCCTTTAATTGATCAAACTAGATGGACTTTTAATAAACTACTCACCTTCAAACTTATTAGTTTGATCAGATAGAGGATTATTTTTTTTGCTAGAAACACTCATTATTGTTGCATCGATACTTAGAATATTCTTAGTCTGCTCATGAATCGAGCTTGTGTTTTAAATTTTGGTCAAAAATTCTTTCTGTTTTTTAATTTTGCTATCATTCAAATACTCTAAGGATTCTCCTGCATTATTATAAATAAAATTATCTATATTCTATTGATTTTTATAGGCTTTTTCTTGGTATTTGTTAGTTGCTGTCAAGGTTTTCAGCTAAGGCAAACTTTTCTAAATATCTTGATGATATGAAGCTCCTCTGATTAATTTCTAACTATTAAATTTACGGATTTTAGATTAGCTTTGTTAGGCTTCCTTATCAGATTATAAGTAATTAGTTATCTGTTTCTGATCTTCGCAAATTTTTGCTTTCGAATTTCTTTTACAAATAATGTTTGTTGTTGACTATGAGCTATTCTTTGAGAATTAATTTGTTTTTTGTCTATTCAATTGTTTTTTGTTAGCGTTTTTTGCTGAAAGCACGATACTTGTTTCATTTATTGACTGTTATGATTCTTACTTTTCGTCGCTTTGATATGTAGGATTGAGATCTGGAAGAGTAAAATCTTTCATTAATTCAGTAAAAAATGTGTTAGCTGGTTGCTAAACAAAAGATTTTCTCTTTGGTGTTGCATCCATAATTATAATTCCATTTGATAATCTAGCTTAGCGAACTTTTTGAGTAACTATATTATATTTTTCATTTGTATATTCATTTTTATCAAAAGAGGTGTTCTCTGCAATACTGATTAATTTTTATGAGTTTGATTGTTCTTACTAAGGAGATTTGTGAAGATCTAGTTATTGCTTAAACTTCATTAACTCATGAATTGGAGTTGTAGCTATGTTTATCTCATTGTAGCAGAATGATTTTGTCCTCTGTAAGTTTAATTTTCCCTAGCTAGGTGTTGACACATTCAAAGGAATCACATCATTTGACGAAATTTTTTCAAGTGCAGAAGGAGGACCTAAAATAGCAGAGTCTTTTTTTTATAAAAAGAATATTTAAGAATTCTGCTTAGAAATCTTAGGAGTGAGCTTATCATTAATTTGCTATCCGTTTGATTACTGTTCTTTTAGAGGCTTTAGCTTCTCTTTTTAGTAGTTTAAATAGCTTGGTTTCTGAAGCTATTGCTCTTTCCAATTAGATTTAACTTTCACATCATCCTTAAATTTTTAGAACTAATCATGGTATCTCAAAAATCCAAAAAGTTTCTACATTTTTAAGGTTAAATTTATAAATAAAAATAAGCTGTAAAAATATGTTAAAATTTGTTAATTTAAATAAAATAATAAATTTTTTTCTTTTAATAATTAAAATGAAAAATATTTCTTATAAAAATTGAATAATAATATTTAATCTTTTGAATGATTTACTTTTTTTTCTATAATTAATATTTAAGACTCCGTTTAGCACTATGCCTGTGAAATACGGGAAGGTAGCTTTTAGAAAATTTCTTCGTCTCCAAAGTAGCAGTTAGGACCTAAAAGTACAAGAGGGACTCTCTTAGATTAATTGATTTTTTTCTCTTTTTTTTGCTTAGAAATATTCATAGATGCAAAAACATCTTCTTCATTAAGCTGCAAGTACTCCTGTTACACTTCTTCTTCTTTTGCTATTTTGCTTATTTGTACTTCGCCTTTTCTTATGAAAAATATGAAGCAACTTGGATCGTTTTCTGTATAAATTATATTCTTCATATTAAATTTCTCTTCTTTCATGTAATGCCATAGAGAAAGGAGCTAAGATGTAGGAATATTCTTAAAGAAAGAAAATTGCCTCAAATACTCAACTCTTTCATTGAAAACGAATTCCCTATAAGCTCCCATAATTTGATCAAAGCCTTCTTTAGACAAGCACATGAAATGAGTATCTTGTTCACAAACCATAGTAGCAGTTCTTTAAATATATTAAAAGAAAATAATTAACACACAAAGACATTTTTGTTTTATTTTACAAATAAAAATTTAGTGTTATAAATTAAATTCCTTATTTAATTTTTAAAAAGCATAGAATTTATTTTAATCTTCAATAAAATTAAATTTGATTATAAATATTCATTTATTTATTTACCTCTTTTCTTTTGTTAATAAGGCAATTTCTCCAAACGCTCCTCCGTTGCTATAAGTTTTAACTAGCTTCATGTTTGGATATTGATGCTCTAAAAAATCTTAGTCTTCATCTCTCTTTTTGTGTTCTCTGAGGAGAGCTATTGTACGGGACTCGCTCATGGTGTTAGACCTAATTACAAAGAAATAAATTTTAAATTTTATTAATTTAAATCTGAGATGATAAATTAAATTAAAAAATAATCTACTTTCTAAATAAAATTTTTTTGGGCAGTTAAGAATTTGGTGCGTTTGAAGAATTTCCTTAAGAATTAATTTGATTCTGAACTTCTTTAATTTTAATGAAAAAAAATTAATGTTATTAATTTATTTATTTGTAGGATTTATTTATAAATACTTCTTTCATATGAAATTTACTGATTATCAACATTCTAATTTGCCTTCTAAAATTTCTAATTATATTCAGTTGAGTGATCTGAAGGTTTGCTATTATTTGTAAATAAATCATCATCTTAATCATCGCCTTTATCATCTTTCTTCAAATCTGGAATTAAGCAATGTACTGATCCTAAATTGTATATGAAAGCATTTAAATAAAAATGCCAAATTATTGAAACAAACTATTTTACCTTTTAGTACAATGAAATAACTCCCTCCTTTGTCGCCTATTTATTTGATTAAAATTAAATTATAAAATTAGTTTTTTTAAAAACAGCATAAAAATTTAAGCTGGTCAATCAATCAATAAACAAACAATCTATGCGAAATATTATAGAACAATAACCTCTTAATTTTAATTAACATAAATAATACTAATAAATAAACAAACTCTTTTTAAAAAAATCATATTATTTCTCTCTATTTAATTTTACCTACACGAAAGACGCATTCATTTTTCTTATAAAAGCGATATTTAATATTGTTAAGAATTATTCTTGAACAGTTTGCCTTAACATCCTAGTGCTTTTGAAATATGTCCAGACCTTCAATTATCTTAAGTAGAAATTCTATTTCGAGCTAATTTTTGACAGCCTTTCTGCAAATATAAATAGCCATCTATGTATTTTAAAATATTTTATATAGCATTTAAATATTATAAATAGTTATTTGTATAATAATCGCTATGTAATTCAATGCTTTTGCTTTGTTATAAAAAATGGCTCAATTAATCTTAATTTCTACATTTGAATCTTCTTCGTTTTAAAGATTAACAGTGTTTTTATCCAATATTTCTAATAAAAGCTAATTTTTGTGATTCAGTTCATCAGGAATAACTTTATCTTTCTTCTTCATTGCATCCACCAAGTGGTCTGTGTCGAGAGATCCTCTCTTCATAAATGTTGCCGTTGCTTAGGCGTAGTCAAACATTTTCTCCTTTAAAACTAATCTGTTATTTTTCCTTATTCTTCTTATTTTTTTCTATTTATTTTTTGAAAAAATTAATTGACTATCTAATTAATTAATTGGTAATTACCAGCTATTTTTTCAATGTAGATTCTATGAATATTTATTAAGCTAAAGCAAAAATATGTGTTATTAAGCTTGTATTCACTTATATTTCTAAAATTAAATTTATTAATTTGATTGTCGACATGAAATGCGAGAATAAGAAACACACATAAACAAACATAATTAAGTTAAAAATAAATTGATTTATGCTTTATTATGTTTATTCAGCTGATATTAAAAGTTTATAAATAAAAATAAAAAGTAGAATTTTTAATATTTTAATGTTTGAATAAGAATTTTGACATCTAGTAAAATTAAAATTTTCCATGTTTGACAAAAAGTATTATTATCATTTTATGCAAAAAATAAAACAAATTAATAATTAGCTACAAACAGCTTTTAAAAATATCAAAAGAATTAATCAGCTGTCCGCAATCAACTTAAATATGTTATTACTGAAGTTCTATTCTAATTTGATAACAAAATAAATAATTAATAATTATTATTGATGTATTTTTCAGTTATTTTAAATAATTAATAAAAAGGTTTGGTTTTTATGTTATTTTTAATTTTCCAGTAATTATAAAAAATTATTGTAATTTGCGCTGGCGAAAGCAATTTTCTGGCAATTTTTAAATAAATAAATAAACAAACAAACAAAAATCTTCATCACTCAGCTTAACTTTACTTTTTAGTTTTTTAAAAATTGATCATATTTTAAGTAATAAACAAAAAATTAAATCCACATAATTATTTATGTTTTGTGTGTTGTTTGCCTGGCAATATTTTTTTCTACTAAACAAAAAACACTCACAAATAAATATCTTTTCATTTAGTTAGATATATATATTTATATAAAGTAAACTATGTAATTTGATTTTTAATAATTATTTATAAAGTAATCTAAATCATCTCTCTATCTCATTTATATATATATAAACATTTCATTTATATGAGCAAGTTTAGAATAGAATCTAAATATATAATTCTACTCTATAGAAGCTTTATGAAAAGCTGAGTGAACTTTAATTAATATTATAAAGATAAGTTAGTTAATTCCAGTATGTTTTATAATAAATAAATAAGATAACTTAGCTTCTTATAGATCTATTTAGTGTGGAAATAACTACAATTCCTCATAATTTTTATATTTATTTGTGAACAAAATTTAGTTAGTCAAGTTTATATTTAAATTGATTATTCAATTTAACTTAAAACAATTGCTTCAAATCACTTTACCTCTATTAGAATTTTTATGTTTTTTAAAAAGCTAATTCAACCTTATTATCATAATGTATTTTTTTATTATTTCAACTCCATATTTTAATAGTAGTGTCATCACTTGCGCTGATAAATTACTTATTAGATATTCTTAATATACTACAAACTGTTTATCTGTGTGCTTTTAAAGTTTTTAGACATTGGGAGCGATACCAGTTCCATATTTTGATAGTGCAATCTAGACTTCCACTAGCTATTTCATGATATCCTAATTTTTCTATCGAGTAAATAGCAGAGGTATGTCCACTTAAATTTCTGTATTCTTCTCCGTCTTTCCATTTCCAAATTTTTAGCAACTGATCAGAACCACCAGAAGCAATAACTTCACTTGATATAACTTTAACTACCTTGATTTAGCCAAAATGTCCAGCAAGTTCCTTTACTTAATTTCCTTTCTTATAGTCCCAAATTGTTAAATTCTAATCAGAAGAACCACAAACAATCATCGATTAGCTTTTTATTTAAAAATGTAATTTAAACTTTAAAATAAATGATAAATTAATCTTAAAACCAAATCTTAAACTAAAATAAATTTATTTTTACTCTATTAAATCTAAAGAATTTATAACTTCTGTATGAGTGTTTATTTCTTTAACCAAATCTCCATTTGATATGTTCCAAATTCTAATATAAGAATCACCTCCTCCTGTTGCAATTAGTGAATTATTAATTTTTTTAATACAATCTACTGTTAGCTCATGAGCCTCTTAAATAATTCTAACACACTTTTTATTCCTCCAATTCCATAACTATATTATATTTTAATAATAAATAAATGACTTGAAATAATAATCTCATTTTTATTATTAAAAAATTTATAATTTTATAAAAATCATTAATTTATTTTTAGTATTATATGACGATATATTTATTCTTAGAATCTCTATTGTTAATTTTGTTGATAATTTAGTAATTAATTATCTGATAAATCAAAAGTTCTATTTAATTTAATTAAATTAATTAATTATAATCTAAGTATATCATAAATTATCTCATATTTATAAGCTTGGTGTATCTTACTTAATCCACACAATTTGATGCAAGCAATTTTATTAAAAATAATCAGTTCTATTATAAAAAATATATATTTATTTACATAAGCATTTCCATCAGGACCACCGCACATCAGTAGATTTTTGCCTATAACTTCTAAAGAAGTTATCTGTTATTGAGTCTAAATTCTGCTAACAGGCTGGTTACTATTATTTTGGATGTTCCAAACAACTATATCTTAGTCAGAACTTGCAGAAGCAAAGTAATTTGAAGATATTAAAACCAGCTTATTAACATGGTGTTTGTGAAACATCAATACTTTTTCTTGGAAACTAAACTCATCTAAGGGGAAGGCTAACTTGTTTTCTCTTAAGTTCGAAATCAAGCTATTCAGATTTTGTTTTGTGAAATTCTCTAATTTGCTCTATAAATCATCGATTTAGTAGAAAATTTCATACTTTTTTGTGTTGTACATTTGCTGGTCTTTATAAATTATTTTATCCAATTTCTTTGCATTAAGCTTTCTTAAATTTTCTATAAGATCTTTTGTTATTGTCTCTTCATCATTTTATTAAGGTGTAGTATTGTTATATAGCTATTGTCTAATAGAGTTTCTATGCTTTTGTAATTTTATTGACTATAACTCTTGAATTGTGTCATCAATATTTTTTAAATCAAATGCTTTAGAAATTTCATTATCTAATATTTCAAAAATTTAGCTAGCGCATGCATCTAGCTTACTGACAATATGATTTCTCATTACTTCAAATTTATCCCTCACCTGCTACTACATGTTGTTTAAGTTCTTTGCAATATTTAATTTATTAAGGATTGATTCCTTATCTTAATGCAATCTCTACAATAACTAATTTTTAAGTACATATTAATGCCCTTCATGAAATTAACCTTGACTAACACATTACTCACACACTTGCTAATACTTATATTCACAATCCTCCTCTACGCAATAAAAGGGATTTTCACTTTGTAAATGCTCACATTAGAATACATATGTTTAATTCGATATAATAACTTCTGTTGTCATAATAGCTTGCTTGCTTACTTGATTAATAATAAATAATATGCTATTATTATATTATATTAAAATTATCAATTTATCTAAACATAAAAATATTGTATTTTAATGTTAGAAATGATAGATAAATTGATAAATAAAGTTCTTTGAAAAAGTAGAATATATTTAATTAATTTTTTTAAAAGTAACCAAAGTAAATTAAATGAATAAATGCTAAAAAATTATATCATTTTAAAAGTCTAACTAATTAATAACACACCTGTTTTAAAAAATATAGATTTTATTTAGTTTATTCTTGCTCTAAAAATAGCTATATATCTTTAAATTAATATTGTAAGAAAAATAAGTTCTAGAAATCAATCAATCAATGAATTGAATTAAAATTATCTATTTTAATTATAAAATGAGTAAATTTAGTTTATTTAGAGTTATGCTTATTTCTCCTTTACTAAAAAACCCTTTAAATTTATAATTTATATGAAATACTATTTAAAATACTTTTTGTATTAAAATTAAATTTAATTTTTTCTTAAATAATATTTTAAATACTATTTTCATATTTAAGTCTTTAATACAAATAAATATTTTTGGTTGTAATTTCAATGAAAATCTAAAAAAGATATTCTGATTATATGATCAAAATTAAAATAGTCTTAGTAAATCTTAGAAAAACTTTAATGATAGAATTTTTAAATACAAATTCTGTTATGTTTTAATGGACTTATAAATATATTGTAAATCGTTTGTTTTAATTAATTTATTTTAGTTACTAACATCTTTTAAAATTACTGTTTTTAATAAAAAAATATTTAAAAAATTAATATGAGAAAATCTAAGTGAATATTTGAGAAACTACAATAAAATAATTTGAAGTCCGCTTCATTTTTATACTTAAAATATTTATCTTTATTATTTAAAATTAATTTTATCTTTTAATATAAATAATTTTTATTATAAATTACTGTGCTAATAGTTAATTTAATAAATTAAATGTAAAGTTAAATTATTTATCTATTTATGTTAAATTTCCGTTTATAAAATTAAAATGTTAGTTTGATCTTAATTTTTTTAAATTAGATAAAAAATGTTTTCAAACTAGAGAAAATGGAAAAATGAAAAGACTTAATTGACATTTTTATACTTTATATGAAATGTCCAAAAATTATGTATAAGGATGAATTTCATCAAGTTAATTATAACTTACAGAAAAAATTCTTATGATTTTTAACAACGTCAAAATTCTCGTTCTAGTCTTTAAGATAAATATTTATGGCATGCGCCAATCAAAATGTCTAATTACGAAATTAATTTATAGCCAAACAATAAAAAAATATCTTAATAATAATTGAAAAGAAAAGAAATTGATTTGAAATACTACAGCAAAGTGCATACTGCTTTAATTGATTTGAATAAAAGCAGAGTTGAGTTAATTTTTAATAATTTCGAAAATACTAAAAGAATAAATAAAGTCAATTAAGAAGGAGAAATCGTTCTTTATTGATTTATATATGATAAATTTTACAACTAAATTTTTTAACAAGATAATAAAATAAGTCTTTACTCTACTAATAATACTTTTAACAAATTCGATATTTTTTTAATTAAAAGCTATTTAGTGTGTTTATTTTGACAAATTAATTTAATATATTATCAATAGTTATTTAGAAACAAACATTAAAATTTAGTTAAATACATATATACATAGATAAATAGCTGATAGTTAGATAATCATATTAATTATAAGGCGATTTCAGCCTGTAAATATTATTTTGAAGCAGAGGAGTAAACGATAAGAAATACTTCAATATTTGCAATATAAACATACATAATCAATAAATAAATTCATAGATATACCTTTTTAAAACCAAATTTGTTCATTATGTGTTGGGATTAGATCTTAGTAGAAGGCAAAACAATACGAAAGTGGTTAATTATTGGAGTTAGTATTACGCTTGGGATTACCATTTATTCTCTATTTTTGATAAGTAGGTCATACGTAAATTACACATTTTCTCCTGATATTGATGACTTAATGAGCAACTGGTAGAAAAATGTATGATTTAAATTGATTTAATTATTTATTTGGCTGAGAAGTCTTGTATAAAGCAATAAATTTAACATTTTTATTAGACTAATTATCTTTCAATCTAATTAAAGTAGAACAACTAAAATGAACTCAAAGTTTAAACAAAATAAACAAACTAAATGAACTTTAAAAATCCTTAAATACCTATTCAAATTTTCAATAAAAAATGTCTGCAAAATTATCTATTCCAAATTATTATTCAATTAATATTTAAAATGTCTATTTTAGTTATTTAACAACCTTTTATTAAACTAAATATAGCCAATTTCCAATTTCTTGGATGGAAGTAATTGCAGTGAGTATTTGAGTAACTATAATTGGCCTGGATTAAGATCAGGATGTGACTGCTCAGCTAGTAATCCATAATATTCAAAACAGATTACATTTTTTTCGTGCACTGCAGATTAACTAGCTAATAAATGTGTAAATGTAAACAACTAAGATCCTTCTATATTTAATACTTGGCCTACCAGTTCCAATACAAATATTATGTTTAAGGAATGCATTTTTCGTTTAGCAGGATAAAATTTTATTAATTCAAATTAAGTGTCTTCTACTTCAAGTTGTAGCAGCATTACCTAGAATAATATTGAGTAATAGCGAACAAAATGTGGATTCAGCAGCTCTACTAATACCAAAGGATATTAAATGTGTTTAACTTAATGTCCTGTTATAAGCTTGCTAAGTTAAACAAACTCGAATAAACCAGAATATAATAGCAGATTATCGGGATCAATAAAATCAACTTTCTTTTATACAACTAGCAGCTATCAAGAGTAGGAGTATCCTTTAGTGGATCTTGTTACACAGATTCCGACAGTTTGCATGTACAAAAAAGATAGAATTAATGTACTAAATCTAAATTATTAAAACGCCTAATATAATTCAAATTGGTAATATAATTTGTAAAGCGTGTACTTGACTGATAACTGTATATAAGAAGACACTAGATATTTTCCAATAGCATAAATGCCAATCAGTGAATACATATACTTACAATAAAATGGTATTAATACCATTGCAAGCTATCCAGGGTATCCAACAAATTCTTACATCACCCTTTATGGAAGGAGAATTATATCCTGGAGTGAAAACTGCAGAGAGAAGAACCTCTTAAATCAGTTTGTATCATTTTACAACAACTAAAATTAATAAGTATTACTTAGATTTGTTGCATTGATGCTATAAATTTCTATGGTGATAATAACTAGTATCATTTTAATTGCTACTATATGTGAGATAGGGTGGAGACTAAAATCTTAATGCTGTTGCAGGTATTAGTCGCCAGACTGTTTAGTAATTTTTTGTAGAAAGAGTTAATTAACAAATAATGAGGTGTCAATAACTGACTATTGGAGACTTTATGATCCTTGCTATGTCATTTGGTTCTTCCTTTATATCATTGCATAAATAAGCTGCTTCATAATAACAATAATATTTGCTGCCTAAACTAATATAGATTAAAGCTAAATCAAAAATATCAGTTAGGCCAAGTGCTCTGATGACCTAACAAACTCTATCTTTATTTAACTCAGTAACGATATTAGCAACGATGTTTGGCCTAGTGACTTAATTCTGCTTATTCTTTATCCTCTTTTTCTGGTATTTTAAGCCTTAATTTTTTTATTTTTATGGAGAGTTGTCACAAACCACAAACGTGAGTGGTTTATTCAAAAAATGAATAAGAAGTAGCTCACATCTTTATCAAGCAAAGATCCAGTCCTAACATCAGAAGAATCTGAAGAAGAAAACTTTTAAAAAAATCTAATTTAGCAGAAAATAATTGAAAAGCAACGACATTAACAAAATTAAGTCCTCCAAGCAGATTTTATTCAAAGACAAAATTTATTAAATTAAAGTTTGTCTTACTTCAATACGTCTAGAAGCAATGTGACAAATAATGGATAAACATATTAGTATGAATTATCTAGAATTACTTATTTGTAGTAGAACTAATAGAACAGCTTCAATTCTTCTTCCTTCAATGCAAGTTAAACCAAAAATTATAATTCGAACATCCAAAAAACGCAAAATAATTCAAATTAAAACAACGTAAACATTTCTATTCCCAATTCTTTAAATAATACTGTCCATTCAGAACATTTTGGAGGCAGCAACTACTAAAGTAGTTAAGAATCTAAATAGAATCCTCCACCCTAGAATAAAATCAATAATACTAATTCTATTTTCTAAAATATTCAAAAAAAGTAAACGAATCATCTAAGGTCTACTAACCTAACAGCAAATAAAGCAATTAAGCAAAGCTTTCTTCAAGCTGATGCTTTATGAAAATCAAATGAGGTAGGCAGAAAGATGCAATGAATCATGCATGTAAGAATAAGCAGATAGATAAATTGATCAATAAACTCATAAAAATATTAATTCAATTAATAAATAATTTTTCCCTTCAATTTCAATTAATTTTGCAAAATAAATAAATTAAATTAAATTAATTATATAAAATAAAATCTAATTAAAAATAAGAAAATCTTTTAAAAACTTATTAAAGTAAGTTTTGTTATTCTTTATTAAATATACAATCTATATATAACCTTGATGTATTTTATAAAATTAAAACTTAGAAATAGTTATAATTCAATTTTTTGAAATATGAAAAATTATTAACCAATTCCCTATGACTTCCTTACTTCTTACTTGATTTTTAAATTTTTAAAATAATTTAAAATTAAAAAATTGTTGATTATTAATTAAATGCAAAGCATAAATAGGTAATTAATAAAAAATAATTAAATATTATTAATTGAATTTTTTATTCAAAAGTACTCCTTTTAGTATGTGATTTAAAATAAATAATTTTAAAATTAATTATTTGGATAGATTTTTGTCTTAAAATTTATACTTTCAAGCATTTTTTGACCTTAAATTAACTTATTAAAGTAATTTATAATAAATTTCTCGATTGTTAAAGTAGTTTTTGATTAATTTTACTACAGTAAAAAACTTAACTAATTATATAATGGCTTTTAAGATTATATCAATTTGAGTTATAAATGGATACTATGTAAGAAATCCTAAACGAGTAAAGTAAAATAATTGAAAGTGATAATTATATAGCCTGCTGATAAGTTATGTATTAAAGATAGTTGTTACTAATAAATCTAATACAGAGTATTTATTTATAAAAAGTCTTTTGACAATTAAAAAATTCTATTTTATCTCATATTGATCAAGAATTACTTATTTGAGTAAATAAATTTTTTTTAGAAGCTTTAACAGGCAGAAATACTGTTCAGAAATCTTATTAGTAATTTCAAAGTAAAAAAAACTTCTTAATATTTAAAACTATCTTGATAGATTAAAACAATAGAAAATGATCAAATTGGTTGATTCAAATAAAGATCAGCAATAGTAAAATGATTAAATGTTTGAGAGAAAATCCTCTCTTAGTCATATTGCTAACTTTTAATCAGAAAAAATAATAGATAATCAAATATAATCTCACATATTTGGGCACAGAGCCAAATTATCCAGTTTAGATTGCATATTAATTCCAAATAGTCCAAAAAAAAAGTTCCGCCAAAAGCTTAAATAGCAAGATTTTATCAGCTTTACTTCAACATACATGAAGAGGGGGACTTTAGACAGCGATATGCTTGATCTAAAGAATGATGATTAATTAAATGAAAAAGACTACATCATATTAGAAATTTTAAGAAAGAAAATAGTTGATGTAAAACAAGAAGAAGACAGCAATGTAGAATTTTTTAAATTTAGAATATAATTTAACTTGTGAATAAAAATGCTAGCAAATCCAAGATCAATTTTTATTTTTTATTAATTATTTATTCATTTATTTAAAGATGGCTATTTATATATTGAGGAAGGTTACAAGGAATCCTTTAGAAATTCAATTCTTAAAAAAAGTTATAGAAAGCATACCTCTATTTCAAAAGAATCCTGACTTATCGAAGAATTGTTCCAACTAAATTTTAATGAAGATTAGTCATTCATATTACAAAAAAAACCAAGTCATATTTAATTATGGTAAATTATTGTAATTATGGCTTCTGCTTCATTTAAATTCTATATTTTAGGCTATTATCCTAACTAATTTTTTTTATAATTAATAATAAGGTGATCATGGGTCAGTATTCTATTTAATTTTAAAAGGTATTCTTTTATTTCAAGAGATTATAAAGAATTTTAAAGAGTTTAGTCTTGTTTGCTTAATATTAAAAAATAGCAAAAATATTTTAATTTTGATTAAGAATTTTATTGAATAGGAAGTGTATATTGCTTAATACCAAACAAAGACTACAAGACATTTGAACCAAGTGAGGAATCATAAAACAATGGATAAAACTAAAAAGAAAAAGTGAACACGTAGTAATCAGAGAAATAATCTTAGCAAACTGATTAACAGCAAAGAAATAGAAAAAAATTGATTATTGGAGGACAACCTCATAATCTAAAAAGAATGAAAAGTTAGGAAGGAGATCTTCATGAATTTGATTTAGAAAGTGGTACATATGAACCTCCTAAATCTCCACTAAAGTAAATACATGAAAAATTAAATCGAAAATATCATTTTATATTAATTTATTTATAAAAAAGACGAAACAAATTACTTCTGAAACCAAATCGAAGCCAAAGCTTTAGTGATTTAGAAGAAGAAACTGATGAGATGATTAAAAAAAGATAAAAGGAAGAAAATAAAAAATTTATTTAATCAAATTATCCTGAGTTTGATATTATAAAAGAGTTAAAATAAGGAGACAGCTTTGGTGAAATTGCAGTGCTGACTGGAGAGAAAAGGTAATCTAAAGCAAAATATCTGTTAAAATTTAATATAATTTTATTTTATAGAACTGCTACCATGATTTGTTCAGAGGATACACACTTGCTAGCTTTGAGTAAAAAAGGATTTGATACAATTTTAGGAGCCTATAAACAATTCATTATGTAAGAGACTGTAGAATTTTTAAGAAAAATACCTTTCTTGTAATCAATACCTTCTTCTTAATTGCTTAGTTTATTCCAATCAGTTAAGGAAGAAAAATATGTTATGGGAAATCAAATTTATACTGAAAAAGATAAACCTAATTGCATTTATTTTGTCAAATCTGGAGAAATTGAAGTTACTAAAGAAATCTAAGCTGCTGATGGCTTCAATGACGATAAAGAAGTAGACTATTAAGAATATAACAAAAGAATGTCTTTTAGTGAAGTTGAAAAAGCAAAAATTTTTGGCTTTTAGAAGAAAAAAAGCAAACAGAGAGTCCGCCTTTATTTGTTAGGACCTCATTCTTATTTTGGTGAGTAAGAAATAATGAAAAAACTTCCTCTAAGGGAAACCCAAGCAAGATGTAATTCCCAAGAAGCTATTATTTATTCTATTGAAAAAAAAGTAAAAATATAAATAAAAATTATTTTTTAAAAATCCTATCAAATATATTTTAATTAAATTTTGTTTTATCACTTAAAAGTTTATTTTAATTATTAATTTTAACTTAATCAATGAAATATCTTTTGATTTTAATGATTAAAATAATTTTTCACATATATTTTTTATTAAAATTTCATTTTGATGTCAGAAATTTTTTAATTACTGCTTCAAAAATGCTATTCATAAAATTGAAGAATTCAACAGATAAATAATCAATTTATAAAATCTATTTTTATTTTTAATATATTTTTTGATTATTATCTTTTTATTACTTTTTTATTAAAGGCTTGAAAACATTACAAATTTAGTAAAAACAAATTGTATTTTATTTTAAATTTAGGATTTTTTTGTGTTCATGAAGGTACACAAACACTTCTAAATGTTCAAAAAAGAGATACAAATTAAAATGGAGTGGGAGGATGAAAGAGATAAAAATTTAGTCAGCAAATCTTAACAGAACAAACTCATGCTTCGAATAACTTAACCTTAGCATAATAAGCCTTCTAACTAAGAAGAAATCAGTAAAAAAACAGATGTTTTATAAGGCAAATATACTGCTAAGGATTCTGATTCTAATATTTCTAGTTAATAAAATACAGTAACTAGTTTTAGTATTAAATCTTAAAGAAAAGTGAATGATTTTAATTCAATCACTGGGTAACAAAAGAATGAATCTCAACCATCCAATGATTATTTTAGTCAACAATCTCATAGATATTATTAACAATAGTCTTAAACTTCAACAAATTTTACAGATTAGATAAAGAACGATTTATAGCATACTAACTAAAATGATATTTTTCAGTTAAAAAGCGCGAGGAATAAATTACCAGTCCTTTAATCTAATTTTATTGATAGTAAAAGTACCTATAAAAATTAAAGATCAAGTTCTTTAAATCAGCTTATTTAAAGACAAAATAAACCAATAATTGATGCTTTAGTGAGTCTCAAAAACAAGGGATGCGATATAACATAACTCTCTAAACTTTCTATAGAAGAGCTTAAAAATATAAGCAGGCTTGTCCATAAAAGTAATATCTAAATTGGTTAGACCAATAAGAGAAAAAGTTTGATTTTAAAAGAATGTCAAGATGATATAAATGAATCTGAACTTGCCAGCAAATTTAAATCAGTTGAAAGTTAACAATAATAACAAAGACACTAAATTTAAGTAAGCTAGAATAATAATTAATCATCTTCTTTGTATCCTAACACCTAAGTAAACTAAGATGATCTTCTTTTGTCTAAGCAATAAAATATTTAGACTTAAAATCCTAATTAGGTTAACAAATCAAAAATGTGTGCCTCATTAAGACAAATCGATATAAATGAAACAACATAAACATCGTCAAAAAAAATATCAATGCTCTTGAGAAAAAGTAAATAAATAATTTAATTATTTTTAAAAAGAAATTTTATGTATGAAAAATTGAAAAATTATTAATTAACTCTATTTAATCTATTAGGTTTTGATTATTCAAATTCTGGTTACAACTCAGTAATTTCAGCAATTCAATCATAAAGAGGTAATTATTCTCCGAACAATCACAGTGATAAGATTTAGCAAAAGGAAACTCCTCAAAAATAGAAAGAATAATTATTTAACTCTCCTTAAAATGATTATCATTAGAAATAACAAATCGGAGTTTAAACATTATAAAACGAATTTGGAAATTACTCCATTTTTAATGGAAATAAAGCAAGATCCAAAACTGACTAATTTACAGCTCTTTAAAGGCCAAAAAATGTTAATTAACCATGCAAAGGTTCTACTTTACACATTGAAAAGTAAGTTGCTCCTCATTATAAATTTGAAGAAGAGCTAATGTTTAAAAACAATAAAAAAATCAATAAAAATAAAGAATATTTTGATAAAGACAATACAACTGATAACAGTACTACAATATATCTTTTAGGCAAAAAAAGTGAGTCTAAATTGGGTATCACTGCTATCCAAAAGCTTTCATAAGTTGAAAATCATACCCATTATAAGGGCTCTGATAATTAAGATATCTAATTATAATTTAAAAGTCCTAGAAATTCTTTTAATACTGAAAAAATAAAAAGTTTAAATAAAGAATAAATGAATAATTGACTGATTGAATCAAATAAAATAAATTATATTTAGTAAGTCTGTAAAATTGAAATTAAAATTTTGAACTTTAAATTATAATAAATAAATTAAACTGAATTCCATTAATCTAATTTTATAATATTTATCTAATACTCCTTATATTACTAAAGAAAAAGTATTTACTGAAAATAAAAAGTGATTTTAATTTAAAGCTAAAATAATTTAGAAGATAATATAAATACATAATATTATTTGAAATAACTAACTTATCAAATTAAATAAAATCTACTAATTAATATTTATTTTAATTTATATTATTTCATATTTTGTTGATTATTAACATATTAATTAACTAATATAGTTATATCTCCATTCACAAACGTAATAAATATTTTAATATCTTCTTAATTAGTAACTTACCAATATTTTAGTATTCCAACTTATTATAAACAAATCATTGTTTCCAAAATATATGTGTCTTTGTGTTAACTAATGCTTTCTATATTGTAGATAAAATTAAATTTATCTATTATATTATAATTTGTAATTTATTATTTTAGTTATTCTTCTTATGATTAATTCATCTCCATTTTAAAAATTTTGTTTTTTGTTAGTTAATACTTTTAAAAGTAAATAATTTTAAATAAAAATTAATTTTATAATTTAACAAGATAATATTAATTATTTTGATTAATATTTATGAATAATTACATGTCGTCATAATTTTCAAAAATATTTGCTTTTTTAATAATTCGTTTTTAGTAGTTTTAGTAAACAAAATAAAATAAAATTATTTTGATAAAATTGAATAATTAATTAAATTAAATTATTTGTATAACAAAATATAAAACTATTGAATTTTAATTTATTTATTTATATTTTATTTATTTAAATTAATATTATGTCACTATGGATTTCCCATAACTTTTTAAGTATCTTCTTAAGATATATGGTGGAAGAATGGAACCTCTAAAAATCTTTCAATTGCATCTGCAAGACTGGGATTAACAGATTTCAGGGAAGTTAAATCACCTTCGTCTAGGAAAAGATCTTTTTAAAAAAAAATTAAATTATTTTATTATTTATTTACTTAATTTTTGAAGAAATAGAATTAAAGTGATTAATAAGATACTTTGGTTTATTGGAGTAAATATTTTTAGATATCTGACTTCATTGTCTTCATAGAAAATGTTTGGTTTGTATATCATATTAGTGCTAACTGTAATATATATCTAATAATAACTGCTATCTAAGATGTTGTTAAATGATATTACAATATTTCCATTTGTATCTGTTAGACCACTAAAGCAAAGCTCACTCAGTTAATTGAAATTTTGCTAGTCTAAACAATAATAAATCTATCTTGATAATAACATAGTTGAGTTTGAATATGGCTAAATTTGAGCATATACATATGCTTATGCTACCAACTTCATTGAGATTGATACTTGATAATAGGATAAATAAGTTACTTGGGGTTCAGTTTAAATTTTAGGTGGAACTTATATAGAAAGCTATGAAGTTAATTTTCCTTAAATATTTAATTAGGGCAACAATTACTAAAACATGTCAAGCTAATTTGCTATAAAGTTATCTACTAACTATTTTGGAGAAGGATTGTCATTATATTAATCAGGAGCCAATATTATTTCATAGTAATAATTTGGCACAACATTATTATTTTACAAGTAACTGTTTTTTTGTTATAAATTGTATTCATAGCTGGTCATGTTTATGAATCTGCTTGATGGTACTCTTATTGTCTTAGAAAGCTTGTCTATTACTTCTTAAGGTGTTAATAAATCTTACAATGGGATATGTATGATAGTTCCATAATTTAAAATTTAAGTTTTGAACAAAGTGTTTACAGTTTCAGAATATCCATCTGGATTAAAAATCATTCCATACACAACAAAATCAGTTTAAGACTCCAAGCCACTCACACTAAATTAGGCAATATAGTCTACTTTATCACTGATTATTTGCTTGACTTAAATTATCTATGGAGCTGCTACTAAATATGGATAAGTGTAAGGATTTTTCATTTAATTTGCAGTAGGAGCAGGACTTCCTTAGAGAGCAAAAATAGCAGCAAAATATCCAAGAGAACTTGTTATAGCTTTGAATTGAGCATGGTTAGCATCAGTATAAATTAACTTAAGGGTAAACACTGAAGGAATAACTAGGTAAGCATTATAATTTGTGTTCATATTCAGACATGGTTTTCCTGCTTATTAAGAAGGAGGTCTTTAATATTTATCTAAAATTACTCTCAAAGGTTTAGGATTAATGTAACTATTACTTAAAGAGAATGAAATATATTTCACAACTGGAATTAATTTATGAACTATCGTACTATATGAAGATAATGAAAAGTACAAGACACAATTAGTAGAAGGAACTTAATTAGCACTGACTGTAATTGTGAAATTTGTTTAGAAGGTGTTACTATCAATTAGTATCATAGAAGGATTTAATGTGACGAAATGTTAGCATTGTGAAGAGATTTATACAATCAAATTTAAGATATTTGCTGGAGGTTAAGACACTATAACAGGCATAACTATAGGATATCCTGTAGTTTCAACATCAATATCTTAGACTATAATAGTTGCTTACTATCCTCCTATGATCTGAACTTAATGAGGCACTAATGGTAAAAAGAATTTGCCATTTTACTCTGTTTATTTAAACCTAATAAAGAATGGCTTAGTAGACATTAAGTCTGAACTGACTATCACATTAAAAGAACTAGAAGTTCCTACATAATTTAAAAACTATATTTATTCAGGATTAAATTTAATACCATTGATATCACTGGATGGTCTATTTTTTAAATTAATTAAAGTAAATTATTTAATTTGTTAAAGTTCAGAAAAGTTATAATTAATTGAATTAAATTTTAGAATTTGCCCAATACTTTTGAAAAAATAAAAATAACTTAGAAGTAATTATTTTTTGTATTTACATAATTGTGAGTCCATCAGCTGGTACTTCAAGATTAATTGTGAAATTGTAGGACAATCCTGGGCTTAGTATTGATGGACCAACTAGAGCTGTGTTAAAAAGGTTGTCTATATAGTCTACACAGTTGGCTTAATCAGTGTTAATATTATTTGTAAATAATACATCACCTATTTACAAGTCAATTAACTTTATTTCAAAGAAGGAGATATTAGCAGTTAAATATTAGTCTTTCAAATTGCAAGAGAAAGATGTTGTCGGGTTAAGGATGTTAGTAACATTAATTAGAATTTAAGTGAGATTGAATTAATCTAAAGGTGCATTTTCAATCAAAAGTTCATACTGATAAAAATCACAATACGAAGATATTATTGGAGTTTTGCTGGTGATGTTATAAATGCTGCAGAAAGGCTATGTTTAGATTTCAACAACAGAGCTGAAAACTTAAACAGGTAATCTAATAGAAATTGCCATTTTATTGTAAAAGGGAATGTTACTATATGACTGTATTCCAAACTAATAGGATGCTTATGTATTGATATTATTATCAGAAATTTATATTCCACTTGAGAGAATTGTTTTTGGTAAATAAGATATTTAATATAAAATATTTCCTTAGAAATACCAGCTGATTGATCCTTAACTGAAATAAGTAAACTTAAATCCTTCCAATTTCTCATATTGTGAAGGGTTTACTATGTTTTTAATTATCCAATTTACCCAATTATTTTAAGACAGTTAATTAAACTTATTTTTTTAATTAAAAATTTTCAATATAAAAATGTTTATTTTTTAAACTAATATACCTATAAGTTTTGAGATATTTTAAAAGAAATCTTTTATGGAGATATAATCACACAGGGTATCTAAAAGTAATTTAAATCAATCTCTTTTTATGAAATAGTAGACAGCAATTTTTTGTAACTAAAGTTATCTTGAGTGGGTTTAAGCAATGAAAAGTAAACACCACACACTAAGCTATGGCCTAAATTAGAAGCAAAGTTACTAGGGAATTCTAATACTACAGTGTCTATTGCAGCAGCGGTCGAGTATACTCTTTAAGGAGGAATTCCTATAGCATATGTGCTTTTCTCTCCAGCATTTCTAGGAACATTTAAAATCTGGATTTAAGAGTTCATATCATTCTAATAATTAAGAAAGTATTAAGCTTTTTAATAAAAAAAAATTAAATAATTACTTATATTATAGGTCTAATTAAGGTGATGTATTGTAAAGAGTTATTTAAATCATTAGCTATAGCATAAAGTGATTAATATTTAGATATTTCTGCAGAGAAATAATAATCTTTTCCAGGGTAATCAGGATTCGTTAGATATACAGAAATTTCGAAGAATGTTTGTGATTCGATAGATCTTAAGCTTGCTTGCAAACCATATTTATAATTTGAATTTAATAGCAGTTAACATTATGAACTTGCTAAAGTAACCATATCAGCACTATAACAATTAAGAACAGTTCCTATAGCGTTACTCAATCTAAATCTTTGATCAATAGCAATAAATATGGTAGATCCTTCTTTGATATATTAATACTAACAAATAAACTTGAAGGTATACAAAGAAAGCGAATTAACATTTGAAGATCCTTAAATCACAAACATACTGCAAGTTTATGGTGCAATATAATTCATCTTAGGGATATAAGTACTAGTTGTGCAAATCTTTCTTCCCGCATAGATGTTTGAGTCAAAGTAAGAGCTTAAGATAATAGGAATATCTTAGGGGTTTTAGAAATTAGGTGTGTTGAGACCATAAATTTATAGAGTTATCTAATCATTTTAAGAGTAAGTAGCATTGTTGAGATAAATATCAACTCTATTATAAGCACTAACCACACAGTTTAGCCTGCTTAAGCCATAGTAATTTTATGGAGTTTATGAAATTACATTACAGGAAGTACTCATTTACATCAAATCAAAAGGATATACAGATGAAAATAAAGCACTTATAGCACCAAATGGAGGTATAGGATGACCTGGAGTGATATTAAGAGTGATTGTTGCATTATTTTCACCTCCTACTATCTTATCTATTGAAATTATCACTTATTTAAATTATTTACATGGATCAACTTTTATATTAGTAGTCATAGGATAAACTATATCAACTTTTTAGCTTACCTATGAAAATCCTAAAACATTCAACACTCCTGAGAAACTGTAAGCTGCATTGTTAAGTTTCTATATAGTTACAGTTTATTGACTGCTAGCTGCTATACTTGTGCCTGGTTTTATGTAAATTTAATTAGTAATACCAAAAACATGAATTTCAGAGCAAGGAGTATTTGCTCCTTGAACACATCCGACTTAAGTATAGTCGCTGTATCTATTGAACATATTTTAATCAAATTAAAAGCTGATATAATCATTAGTAGTAATTGCTTTTCCACTTGTGAATTAAATCAAGTAATCAGAGTACCCTATTTAAAAATAATGAATATATCATAAGTTTTATATTTTTTCATAAATTTATTAAAAATTAATCATATTTTTATTTTTTTAGTATAAAAACAAAAATAATTTATTTATTCAAACTTTTTTTTGGTTTAAAAAAAATCATTTGTTGTGTATATAAAATTATTTAATTATTAAGTTTTTAATATAAAAAATATTTATGAATTAAAATAACTGAGTTATTGATTTTGATCAAATTTATCAAAAATTAAAAAACCAAAAATAAAATAAGATAATTTAATTTACCTAGTACATATTAACTTGAAGGATAATTAGGCTACTATTAAATTTAACCATTGTTAGCAATAGTTCTGGCATCAATAGTTGCAGCTGTAGGTATAATAGCTGTTGATTAGTAAAAGAAAGCTGTGACATTTGTATTTTTATATGTAACAGCAACTCCCATAGAAATGGTGCTTGTTATAGTCACAGGTAAAGCCTAGATATTTGTTATTAAAAATTGGACAACTGTTCCTGCTGGCATTTCTTAGTATCCAGTAATATTTATTCTTGGAAGATTTACACTATCCCATCCTTATTAGAGTACACATTTCAATCTGCTTTAGTTTTATGCCAGTTAGAAACCTGCAGGTTATGCAGGTGTTTGCTGTTTTATAACACAACCTAGTTCATCTCCTGTTTTTAAACCAGTTCCCAAATCATTTAAGTAACCCTTTCCTATATTAGAATCAAATGTTAAGACTATAGTAGAATATTGTTGAGCTAAAGGTGCATCATAACCTTAAGGAATGGAATATTACCCTAGCTAGAATTTAAATTCAAAGAGTCCAGGTTTTTAAGCATCTAAGTATGGAATTACATTCATTTAACTTGGAGCTAGAGGTACACCTAAAACTGGGCTAGTTATAATTGTTTACTTTTCTACTAATATTCCTTATGAATATAATTCGACTGTCATGTTATATTAAGCACCAGGAATGCAAGGAGCTGTAAATAAGTTACCTTAGCTATCGTTAATCCTAATTTTTTTAAGTTTTGGTTGAAATATTTTATATCAAAATATATTCACAAATAAATAAATCAAAACAATATTATAAAAAATATGGCATAATGACATCATTTAATCTTCTTTGATTAAAATTTGATCAATAAAAGTAAATTAATTTTAATTGATTTAAAACCAGAAATAAATCATATTTTCTTATTATTTAATTTAAGAATAAATTACTCAATAATTTTAGGATCTTAGTTGTAAGTGCTATCTGGTAACATAAAAACCTTTGTTTGGGCAAACTTTCTTTGCAAGATACATTAGAGAACGTTATCATTAAATTTTCCCTTTATTGAACAATTGTCAAATCCTTTTACAGCAGGATATCCAAACTCGTTTGGAAGTCTAAAAACCATTTAATCTATTTTGTAATTATTAATTTAAGTATTTGGGAAGAGAATCATATAAAACTCAATTTGGGTCTAGCAAATTCTTGCTTCTCTATCAAAAAAGCTTTTTGTGTTAAAAGTGAGATAACTTAAATCTGGTAAAACATAAGGAAGTATATTTATAGTTTGCTGAGCTAAAGACACTGCTCTATACTAGTTGTAATTTTAAGGATATCTGTCAATTCCTCCTATAAATTAGAAGTTTCCTGTAGTACCTGGTTGAGCTAATTTGTCAATATAAAATTATAGATAAATTTATATTGTATAGGTATTGTAGCTTTGCTAGAATGGAATCATTTCATTAGTCATATCAAGTTCAATCATGCTATTTGAAATTAAATTACAGTCAAATCTTAATGGATATGGTTATCTGCTAGTGCTTGGTATAGTGAGAGTTGCGTTACAGTAATTTTTCTAAATATATGATATTTAAGTTGGAATAGTAAAGTAAAAGTTTGTTATATCTTTTGTGATCCATACTCCTTATATCTAAATTACTACAGTATTAATATAGTCTCTTAAAAAATAATTTTATGTTGTTGGTGGAGGCATATTTACATTATAGGCTTAAGTAGGTGTTATAGTCATTGTCATACCTAATTAATTTATGGTAAGTATTAAATTAAAAAATTTGAAAATAAATTTATTGATTGTTCATTTAAAATAAGAAATTAGATTAATATTTATGAATTTTTAAAATAAACAAATTAAATTTATTAAGCTCATTTAATTATTTACTTTAAGTTGCATAAGAATAGAGGATAGCAGGTACTTAATAAATAACATTTAGTATGTATTAGACTCCATCCCAAATTTCTATATAGAAATTTTAAGTATTATCTAATAAAAAGTAACCATTTGTCATTCCTGATAAAGTTAAGCTGGACTAAGTATTAGCAGCTATTTATGTTGAAAGTTGAACAATTACTATTTAATCAATTGGGAAGACTAAGCAAAAACTATAAGCTGTACAAGTGGGAGACATTCTTGATGTTTGATAATTTTATCCTTAGTAGTGGATAACAATAAAGTCTGATGTTTTGACATCTTATAAAAACATAAGATTGAAAGTATGTTAGGTATTTGTTTAGTAAACAGTTTGCTAATTTGCTGTGCTGGTAGCTGTTGATACTTAATTGGATTACAAATAGTTTGAGTTATCTGCAATCGTTTAGAAGTAATTATATGATACATAGATATTACACATCCAGTTGTCATTTCTACATTTGCGTTTTACTGCAGCCTAAACAGATGATACGATACCTACGGTTGCAGGATTTTGTATATTACTTAACCAGATGATTATTGTAGTACCAGCACTTATAGCTTGTGAAACAGGAATTTACACTGAAGCCATTACAGGAGGAATTGCAGTTGCTGAGCCTTTATGAACATAACACTTGATTTAAGTAGCTGATAGTAAATTTTAACCTGGATTTTCTGCACAGTCAATTTATCCAAAGCCATCATTGTTTAAAGTGAATCCTTTGAAAATAAGAAAATTATTGAATAAATGATATTTTCAAATAAATTACCTAGGGTTTCTGGGAATATTTTTTTGATAAAATTAGATGTAGTGAAGGAGAACCAAATCTGATCTCCAACTTGGATATTAACATTTGTCTTAAATGACATTTTGTAAGCAGTTTTACGATTAACACTTTACACCAAAGGTTTAAATACAAAAGTAGTATCAGGTTGTGGCTCGAGAAGGAAATAAGTGAAATCTTTTTCTACAATATTTGAAATGGAATTTCCTCCTATAAATGCAGATAAGCTGAATTAATAAAATCCACACTGAGGTCTTTAGATACCGTTTTATCCTGGAACTGCCGCTTGTGTTGTGTCAATATTAAAAGTGTAGCTTTTTTGCTTATTGAATTATGAATTTAGAGCAGGTGGTAAGTTTACAACTAAAGGAGAAGTACTGACATCACTGAAAATAGAGTTATACTAGTTTAAATAGACAATCATTTTAATAATTAATTCAAAAAAAAGAAATTTACCCATGTTAGCTATGATGTTTACTTGTAAAAAGCGGATTAAACTGCAGGATTAGGAGCAATCTACCATGAATTTTCCATAGTTAATTAGATGTATTAACCCTAGGCTTAAATAATATCGTTTTGCCTTAGTATGAAACTAAATTAAAACGGACCATATTAGTTACAGTAAATGTTCTATAAATATTTCATTATAACAACTGCTTAATTGACACATTAAGGTGAACTATCTATAGGAATAGAGGCTATATTATAACTTTAAGCAACAAGGCCATTTGGTCCATAAGCTTTAACAGTTGGAAGTAAAACTGAAGCACTTGGTTATTTTCCTACTAAAAACATGTTGATTTATATTGCAGTATTTTATGTAAAAGCAACTGTTCCTTATACTATATATGTATAATCATCTGTTTTGTAGCAAACAAGAGGTGAGGAGGGGTCATTTGCTACATTTTTGCCTGGGAAACATAAATCTCCTACTGGTGAAGGGGCTGCTTACAGATATGATGTTGGTAAATCAATTTCTAAATAGCCACCTTTTGGTATTTCTTTTTATATTTTTCAAAAAATTATTAAATAAATAAAAAATTTATTATTTATGAAAATTGGAAATAATCAAGATATACATATCTTTTCTTGTTTAAATTTAAATTAAAGCATTTACTTGGTGCATTAAGGTTTAGAACAATTTCATATTAGCTGTTAACATTTGTGAATCCTCTATTTCTATATATAGAGCCAAGTAAATTAGTAATTATTGAAAGAGTACCTTAAGTTCCAGGGCTTGTATATTGAGTGATTAATCCATTAAATATTTTACCATATTACCAACCAAAACTTGCTGAATCATCAGAAGTAGATAGAGGGCTAAAAGAAATTGTGATTGTACCAGTTTAAGTATTTTAAGGATTAATTAGATATAAGTTAATGTTCGAAAAGAAATAAATGTTAAAACCAGAAACTGAGAATTGTTAAAATGAAGACTTGATTATGCCTTAGTAATTGTTATTGTAAGCTAACAGTAAAAATTAGTTTTATGTTAGAGAAGATCCATATTGTGTAATTTAGGTAGACCATGACATATTTATTGATTAGACTTGACTATTAGAAGAATATTATGTCATTTAAAAATTATTACTTGGTTATTATTATGTTCTTTAATTGTTAAAAAGGGTTTATCTAGTTATTATTTTTACAGAGTCTCCAGTATTATCTTGCATCATAATAGAGATTCTTAATGTTAATTGGCAATCTAAATTGGGATTAGTCAAGGCTGGTATCTAATTTTTAATTTTAGTAAATTTTTGAAAAATTATTTTGACTTTATTTCTAAAAAAAAGTAAAAAAAGATTTAAATATTACTATTATAGAGTAAGCTGTGGAAGAAGAAAGTTGTTAAAAGGGCAGTATTGAATATTTGATAGGTTCTTTTTTATTTGCTGGGTTTCCAAACGATGCTAATAGCTTCATGCTAGAAAGCTATGGATTCGACGAAACTGAATGAATGTTACCAGTGTTAAATTAAGGTAGATAGTGGGATTAATAATATGCCTAAAGTCCAGCATCCTATGGGAAAAATTGAGAATCTAATTCTAATCTCACAAAAACATCGTGGGTGCCATCTGTTGCTTAAAGAGCATTTTAAAGATTAAAATTTAAAAATAGCAAATTATCAGTTTCTCCTTGTTGCATACTTCCATAGTTAATACTTAGTTAATTGAAATTCTTAATAGTTGTAAATAAAATTATTGTATCACTAACTGTTGTTAAGCCAGTCATTTAAAACAATAATTCATCTCTGGAGAAAGAAACTGGAATTTAGAACTATGAATTCTAGCTACCATCTATGTAAATTATAACTTAATAAGTATTTCCCTATTGCAGACCAACATTTGGAGATCCTATTTTGTAAACTGGCTGAGCTTGCGTCTTATCTAAAATACATGAAGATGCTAAGTACATATTTGAATAAATTGGTAGCTATAAAACGCTCTATTATTTCAACAAAAAATAGCAAACTAAATTATTTGCATCACTAGCTACTACAGGTTAAAATTTTCCAGTGTTATCAGGTAAAGTTATTTAAATTAACTCATTTTAAGAAGGGTTCGAATTGTAAGTTAATGATTTTATAGCTAAAAACTCAAAGAATAGCTACTTAACATTAGTTCCTGCATAAATAGAAGGTTGTGTAATAGTTAGGGTGTTTAATGTTGAGAAATATTTCAATTTATTCAAATTAAAAGCTTTCATACTTGTTAAGCTGGCAGTGTATCCAGCTGGACTTGTTAATGGGATATTAAGATAAAGATTGTAAGTTGTGATTCCATCATTAGTGACTAACAAATTTACTATGATTGGATTTGTTGAATCTATTTCTGCTATGAAGTACATTTAATGTGTAGCAGGAGTGATAGATGTATAGCTGATTCCTATAAGACCTAGTATACTTGAAGATATTACATTACATTAGCTAAGCTGATTTCCATTTGAACGAACTAATAAACAGCTTTTGAATTTTAAAACTGAAGGATCCTTTAGTTAAATAAGAACTTCTTAAAATGGGAGAACTTTTGGAATTTAGAACGTCAAGCTGAATAACTCATCTCTACTTAAAGGATAATAACCAGGAATATTTGTGAAGGAAACAAATTGAATCGGTTAAGTTGGATTTATGAATGTTGAAAATTGAGGATAGTTTGAGTTTATTTAATTTGTTAAGAGATAAATAGAGTAAAACTCAGAGATAAAAGTTGGATTAGCTCCATAGTAAATTAAATTGGCAACCACAGGATTAACTATGTTGCTAATTTATAAACTAAAAGGTGTTCCTTATGATCTATTTGGAGATTTTAATATTACTCTATAAGTTAATTTGTTCATCCAAATTAAGTTATCATTAAAAATTAAAGCATTTACAGTATTTCCAACTCCTATAATACCTTATGTACCAAAAGAAATTCTGTATTTATCACCGAATTATCTTATTTAATTAGAAAATTAATTTAATCATATTTATTTTTAAATCAATAAAGTGTTAAAAATTAATTTAGATAAAGAGAATAGTAAATATTTGGTTCTTGAAAAAAATTTAATAATAAAAGTAATCTTTACGATTATTATGTATTTATTGGCCAAGTGATAGAACCTGAATAAGATGTTGTTGTGCCTAGTGAAAGAGAAGCTGCATTAAATTGATAAGTGATTGGATCTAAATTTGGAGGATTATATGGAGGTTATACTTATAGTGGTATCAAGTTTATTGCAGTGTTCGTATAGAAAGAACTTCCATTTTATATATTTAATGTCATATCAAATGTTTACAAATCAGTCAGAGTAACCAATTTGATATCATCTATAGCTAAAGTGAGCAAAGCTCCTGCACTGTAGGAGTTAATTTTTTCAAGACGAACAAATACTGGCCCTGTACTTGACTTTAAGTTCATAGTACAAATAGGAGATTAATAATTTGGTATACTTGCCATATTAGAAGTTATATCACATGGTATTTGCTATCCTGTTTATTAAAAATAAAAAATAAAAAATGTAAATAAAATAACAATTCCAACCTATCTTAAATTGAGTTATAGGAGAAGTATAATCTATTTGTGGTAACAAGACTTCAATGTAGGAAGCTGGGAATAAATTAGTTGCTATTTGAGCATTAGTCAGTGTAGCCTCAAAGTAAATAGAAGAAACTTAGGACTCTTAAGCGCTAAGAATAAAGAATTTTTAAAATAAAGCATTACTCGTTCCAAGATATTAGGTTACTTACCTTTGAGTTATCAATACATTTTAATTATTAATTTTAGTTGTTACACTTGCTAAATAGCTAATATTGCTGAAATCATTTACTGGGAGATTTAAATATCCTAAAGTCATTATTATTTCGTACGTTATTCCTGGTCCTATAATAGTATTAGGAGTCGGATTTGTTATTTAAACAATCCCTGATAATGAGATGAAGTTACAATTTAGAGGATTTCTAGTATAACTACCATTAGGATTATTTATTTTAGCCAGGCAAGTAACTGGAACTTTGGTAGAAGTAGGAGTAGTTTATGTAGTTACTTATATTTGTAGGGTGTTATAATTTGTAGCTGGAAGGTTATTTTAATAGAAAAATCTTATCGGGCAAGTGGTGATGGTAGTTCCATCACAGGGAACTATTGGCGAAAATCTATAAAATTTTAAGTAAGTTCTTGAATACTGTGTAAACCCAGCTGCTTACTAAGAGTTGTCGAAAGTAAGGGTATTAGAGTTTGATGAAATCATTTAGTAGTTAGATTAGGATATAAATTTTCTGTAATAGCGTATTTCGTAATTCGCAGTTGCTGTAGGCAGAGTTGCTGAAGCTGGAGAAGGGTTTTTCAATTCTAAAGTAATAGATATTTTCATAGATTTGTTTACTATATTGACATTTGTACGTAGAATTGTTACTGTATAGTAATAATTTACAGCATCCTGAGTAAAGCGGCAAAGAAGTAAAGCTTTATTAGACAATGATTTAGCACTACAAGCTTAGGTCACTTATGGAATTTAAGACTAACTTAAAACTAATTAGAAAGCCTAATTATTTTAAAAGTTTTGATATTAATAAATATTATATGTGCTTTGAAATAAAATAAATTCATGCAATATCCTCTTAATTTTATTTTAGTTAAATTAAATATTTTAAAATATTTTTAAAAATTGATAAAATGAATAAGATTGAATTATTGATATTTTAAATTTTATAAAAAATTAGCATAATTTATTAATTTTAAATGAAAAGAAATGAAATTAAAAAATATTACATAATTTAAGTTCATGTCATCTATCTCTACAACAGTTGTGAAAACATAAGTAGCTAAGTATCCACATGTATTAAGAGAATATGGCATTAATGAAGCTGTAATAGCTTAAGCTGCTGGTGCTCTTAGACCATTTTTGGATTAAGGAATAGAATATGTATTTGGATCAAATGACCAATGACCGTCACTGCTGTAAATATATATTTAAATTTGATAATCTGTAAATAATTTTTAAGCATAGTCTATAAGATTTATTGCTGCTGTTTAAGTGCTAAAATCTGTTACTCCATTTGCTTAAATTCTATAATATAGTATTGAAGTGCCTATAGCTTGACAATCCTAAAAATTCAGACACATTTATTTATTAAATATTGGTCCTGCAGCTGGATCAACAGCTATTATGACTTGAGGTACATCAATTGCAGTAGCACCAGTTATTTTTATTTAATAGTTATTCACAGTACTACTTATAAAAACTGATCCATCGTAAATATTCAAAGGAAAAGTCACTGTATAAGTTTAGGATATAGTGAAAGATGTTTTAGACACCAAACTTGCAGCAGCGTTTTAATAGTACCTAGCTTAGCTTTGAGTTACCTTTCTTGAAGAGAAAAACGGTCTTATACTCTCTATTGTGGAGATAAAAGCTAAATTGAGATTTGTCGAGCTTATTGGAGGAAGTAAAACCATAGGAATCAAACACTTTACATCTATTCCTGATTAAACTGTGATGGGAATTTCTATTAAGTGGAAAGGAAGGAAGTCTGTTGATGTTGGTAGACTTTTTCTATGGAAATAACATTAAGTTGTCAAAATAGGCTGCGCTGAAATATCTTAATAACACAAGCAGCTGATAGAAGAATGACTCACACTTACATCTACACCTTAAATGAGCTGATTTGGCCAATCGTTACTTTAAAATTCTAAAAAAAGCTTTTAATTATTAACAGGATTAAGTGCTATATTTATAGATTTAATTGTAAAAATTAGCAAAGTCGGAGATCCTGCTGCCTAACTTATAGAGGTAACACTAATAGGCTATGTTGATATTGGATCGTTTCTTGAGTATTCAAGTGATACAGTAGATTTTATATTTTATGAAGAATCACAAATATTTATCCTGAACCAATAAAAATCTCTTTAAACAAGTGGTGTTCCTCCTGTAAAAATGATGCTAATTGGTACCCAGTTATTATCAAGAGTCATTGCCGATGTTACTGTGAATTGGCATGATAGGACTCTTGCCTATTCATTCCCTTGAGTTGTTATCATACAGTTTGAATTTGGAGCAACTCCCCCATAAGTAATGCTGAATGTCGAAACGACATTAGTATTTGCACCAATAAGTTACTCATCGTCTGTGTTAATTTAAAATTGAATATAAATGACTGATCCTATACTATAAAATTGACAGCAAGCAACATTTTATACTTGAACTTGAATGGAGCTCAAATCTTAAGCAAGAACAAAGTTTTAAAATTAGAGCTAACTTGAAGTTATAAGAGTAGGTTGAATACGCAAGTCTTATTAATTATATGAAGGAAGATTTTAATTTTAAGATGCAGAATTTATATACAAGTTTATGAATTAACTAGCTGCGGAAGAAGTGTAGGTTCCTATGTTCTAATCATACTGATATACTATTTAGAGAGGAACATCAATTGTATCAAAATTAATTATGTTAATAGCGTTTGAAGTACCTACTGCTTGACAAGTAGGCATTAATTAAGGATTTCCTAAATTTCTGAGACCTTTCATAATGAAGCATTTAGTAATGTATTAAGATGTTTGAATGATTAAACCATCAAAGCTAATTGAGAAAATTCCATTGCCATCTGATAGTAATTCAGAATAAATACTTGAATTCATGATATTAATAGCATTAAAGGAGTAAATTCCTTAATTTTTTTGAGCATTTTTAAAAGTGTCAAAGATGTTAGATTTTATAGATGAAATCAATGTTGAAATTATCAGCCCTAAGTACTGGGTTTTATCAAAAGTAAAGTTTGTAATTTGTTTTTATGTCTTTGAAGAAGTATATTAGGAATGAACTATCTGTTAAGGATTCATTAATAAAACATCATAGGAAAACTTAGGATAAATCAAAAAGATCCTTGGCTTCAAAGAATAAAGTGTTACTTAATCAGCTGAATTGTCATAATAAGCACCTTATATTTATTTAATATTATAATTGGTTAAAAGGTAAAAAATTAAAATTTGAAAAACAATTTATTTGATAACAAATAAAATTTTTGGAAATAATAAAGTGCTGATTATTAAGGATTTGCATTAGGCATTAAAAATTTGTAAAATAATTTATTTAATAATAAATATTATTAAAATAAGAAAAAATAATTGTTTTTTACTTATATCTGTAGGGTCACGGACAAGAGGAATTATACAATAATTTCCATTTACATAATATGGAATTTATATTTGCATAGGTTCATTTATGAAAGTAATTGTAGCTGTACTACGGATTGTGCTTGCGTTTGATCCATAAGGAAATGGATATGGACTGTCAAAGGAAATAAGCTGGCTAGTTGTTGTTGGACTAACACCAGCAACGGTAACTAGAACCTTATAAATATCACTCCACGCTATCAGCTAATCTCCTACCTAGTTAACAGAATTGTCTCCTCCTATCGCTTTAACTTTAAAGTTTACAATGCGTCCAACAGCTGCTGGTGTGACTATTTTAAAAAGTAGATTATTGCTGAGTCCTGCAGTATAAGAGAATCCTCTAACATAGATACGCATAGGTCTACCAAAATTACCAACTTCTCCTCTTTCGATAACACAATCCAAAATTTAAGTTTAACTTTCTTTTAGATTGTTTGTACCTACGTTGCTTGGGTTGATAACGCAAGGAACATTTTATCCTGACATCATTCCTGGGAAAATTTCAGAATCATAAATAGGAGTTTAATCCTCATTTGTTGTAGGTATTTCAATGACCAAAGTAGTAATTCCAGAAACACTCCAAGTAAATATAAGCTCAATTAAACAATCTGAGTTAACAACTGAAGTTTAAACATAATTAACAGTCATTGAAGTGAACCCATTTTAAGGAAGAATCCCTGTGCCTATTGCTTTCATATTTTAAACATCGCTATTTAAAAATATATTATTTGTTCCATCACTGATATTTATTAAAAATTAGCCATAAGTATAGTCAGTATTCCAACCAAACCCTATTTAGTTTAATATTTATAAAAATTTCAGATTCATAACAAAGTAAATTTTGTAAAAAATTACCATATTTTTAAGGATAGTTAAATGGATCAATGACACCAACGGAGACAAAAATAACTTAATTTACTGAAAGACTATAAGTAAATTAGATAGATATAGTGCGAGTTAATTGGTTAATAGTGCATTTTCTGTAGTTGTTATTGATCATACATCTAAGAGTATTTCTAAGAGTGTCTGAAGTTTAAGTAATCAATGGGTCGATAGTAATATATTATGGATATACAATATTAAGCATATTATTTGGTGTTGCAGACAGAGCAGATGGTATTTTAAATTCAAATTGAATCAAAGCTCTTGTTAAAGTTCCATCAGTCAGATAAAAGTCATCTATATATCTAAAATCATAAATTAAAATATTAAATTTATAATAGAAAATAAAACATACCTAAAATGCTTGAAATCTAAGACAGGATGATCTGGAACTGTATTAGTAATAAATGAAAAAGAAGTTCCAGAAGAATCTGTTCCTGATTATATGACATAATTATTTAATGTTAAAGAAGTATCTAACCCTGTTGGTTCAGTGCTTCCAGTCCAAGAAAAGAATTTAAGAAAGAAGGTATTCATATTTACATCAATATTAGCATTTTAAGGATTAACCATAGCCAGATTTGTTGTTTATATTACAAGTTTTTATGGAGTATTTAGGTGTTGTGAATTATTTGTTATATCTACCCAAATAGCTATATCAGTACCAATTTAATTCATGTAACAGCGACTGATTTCAATTTACGAACCAGGAGACATCCTACAGTCAAAAGAGTTTATCCCAAAGATTCCTGTTGGGTATTTTATCATTAACTTCTTGGTTGATTTGAATTATGGAGCTGTAACACTTATTATGTAATCTTCTTTTTAACCTGCTAAATTAACTCCATTTACTAGACTCATAGTTAAACTTATTCCTGAAGATGGTGTTGGTGTACCGCTTCCATCTCCATAATATGAGGTATATATTACTTTTTCAGTTCTCCTTTATTATCTATAATATGCATATCCAGTAACCTTTATAATTTATTTAATATTTTTAATTAAGGAAAATTATTTATTAAAATTTTTAGAAGAGGTTTTCATTTTAACAAAAAAAATGTTAATAAATAAAGTAATTCTTAAAATTTAATTGAAATATTTATTATGTTTTTTAATTTTGTATGACTCTAAAATATTTTTTGTTTTTTAGAAAAAAAAATGTTCAAAAAATTGAAATTTAAAAAAATATAATTTTAAAACTTAAATTTTATTTTCAATACCTCTTTATATAAATAAATTTATAAAAGTAAAAATATTACTTATGTTGCTAGAAGATATTAAGGAGTGTTCCAACATCCCATAATAGAAGCTACACTTGTACTACTTAAAGTAAATCCGTTAGAGGGGTTAAGCAATAAGGTTTGTAAATTTTAAAGAAGTATAACTTAACCTACATTTGATCCATTTTACTAGAGTGTATTAAGATTTATGCTTGTTGTTCCAACAAAGGCAAATTAAAAGCGAAGAATATAAGTATCTCTAGGACCTATTGGTAAGGAATTTCCACTCTAAAATGCAAGATTTGAATTAGTAACAGCAAGACTTGAGGAACTGGGAGTGAATGGAGCTGAAGATGATAATATATCAGAAGATGGATTGAACGATGTAACAAATAAACTACTGTTTTCAATCAGAATGTGGTTCAATTTTCTATTAGATTGAACATCAAAAGTGTAAATATTTAAAGGTACAACAATTTATTAAGGAGTGGCTATGAAAGTTGGATTTTGTAATTAAAATACAAATCTTAAGACTTCTCCAGCTGCAACACTTCTAGTAAATTTACTGCATAAAATTTTAATGCTTACTCCTCCACTGAGAGTTGTATCTGTATTTCCTTTTGAGAATCTACATTCAAAATTCAAAGGATTATTAGTTGTAGGAATTATATCAATTACTACTTATGAATAGTCTGATAAGTTACCTGGATTAGCTGAGAATAATTAAGTAGTGCCATCACTACTTACGGATCCTATTTCTAAAACTAATAAGTTACTAGATATTATTTAGATGCTAGGAGTTAAAGAAACATCTATAATATTAGGCTCACCTTGCAAAGTAACATATCCCTGTATGTCAGCATTCGTAAATTTATCTTGAATTACATCTGCATAAATACTTTACTTTAAATTGATATTTGCATTTTCAATTACTATTTAGTAAACTCCACTTTTTGTTGGCCACTCAATACCTTCTACAGAGCCATCTCCTTTTTGTGAAGTTAATTCAAATGTGTAAGTTGTGCCACTAGCTAGCTAACTAGGATTTAAAGGCTCGATTTGAACTACTACAAAACTTGATGTGAGACTTATTGATTTAACATTGCAATTCATGTAATTACTTAGAGTTTCTGGTTTTGGCTGTTCTGTATAAAATGCACATTTGTATTTGTTAACAGATGCAGTTATTCCAAATCCAACAGAATCATTATTATTAACATAATCTTATAAGGCAAAATATAAATTAAAAATTCCTGAAGGAGCATTAAAATTCAACTAGATTACAAAAGGACCTACATATCCTTACTTTATAGGACTATCAATTTTATAAATAGAAGTATTTTCTGATAAATTTAGTGGGTTTTAATTGATAACAGTAAATAATCCAGCAGTCGTTGTTCTCATAATTTTGAACCCATTATTAAATTAGTTGATGTTATCATAGTTTTAGTAAACAAATATCTATACATTTTAAGTTTACCCACCTGAAGTTGGCATATCTATATATCCATAAATAGCAATATTAGAACCAGCAGGAGTCAATTAGAATCCATTAATTACCCAATTTCTTAATAATTAAATAATTTTTTAATAAAATAAGATTGATTAAAAAATGTTTAAATGTAAGAAATTGAAATGGATCAAAAATAATTTTTCATAATTTTTTTGATTTAATAATGATTAAAAAATATATTGAATATTAATAATGATATTTATGTTTTTACCTTGTGTTTTAAACCTCACATCCTATTTCTCCAGCATTATTGCCAGCAACTGAGTAAAGCTATGAACCATTAGCAGTAGAACTCCTACATTGGGCATATATATTTGGAATTTCAGGAGGAAACATAATTAGAATGGCCCCATTAAGTGGGATTGGTTTCGGATTAGTGAATGAAATGAGTACTTCTACTCTTAATTTATTTTTTAAGCATTTATTTGGATTTCCTGCACATTTAACAGCGGATGTTATTATGGGTGTGACTACTCCATCAAATGTAGAGGGACTAATGACATTTGTCAAGAATGTATTATATTAATTATTACTCCAAATTTAAGTAGGGAAAGTAATTTATGAATTTGGAACAAACTGTGGAAGCTAAAGTATGTCTTCTAGAGTATTTTTAATTGTATTTGAAGCTATTTATACTTTTAATTTTAGAACAATCCAATTTATTTGTGAAAAAGCTATACAATATTAGTAAGTAGCTTAATCACATGAAGGTAAAACTCCTTTGTTTGTTGAGATTTATAAAAATGGCTAAGGTAGGACAGTAACGAAGTAATCTCCTACATTCAAATTAGCATTACTCTACAAAGGATGAGAAAATTAAGGATTTTAGCTTGGAAAAGCAACATTAATTTGCATAAGCTCTGAGGGAGTTGTACCTCCAGCTGCTGGAATATTTAGAGCTAAGTTATCTTGCATTTAATTTATATAATAATATGTTCCTAAAGCTATGTTTCTCTATAAAATAGTGACTGTTAATGTTACCAACGATACTTAATTTGTTGGATTTTTTATACCTGCTACTCTGATAATCATATCTGTGTTTGCTGGAATTTAATCAAAATTATGTATTTCGATAAAAGCAGGTCTACCAGTTGTTTATGATTTAATTAAAGAACAAGATAAATTATTTCCAGGAATAGAGGCACTAAACCAGCAGCCAACAGGAGTTCCCGTAACACCGTTAACTATGCCTAAAGAGCTATCAAAAATGCTAGTACTGCCATCAGCTGAAACAGTTGGAAATTATAATTGAATTAAACCACCATTTGAATATTAAGGGATTGGATCTGTATTTGAAAAATAGAAACTTATTATATTTTAAGCTCCTTATTAAGATATAGCTGATTCAGTTTTTAAGTAATTCATAAGCTTCGGAGTGATGAATATAAATTAGGAGTATTTTTCTATGGGATTCTTAGAAGAGTTTAAGACTTCTATATCGTATTCATACCAACCACCTTATGATGGAAACTATTTATTTTTAATCAAGCTAAATAGTATTAATAAATTTTTATAAATTGAATACCTTTAATCCATTTTAAGGTGCAACATACTAAGTGCTTACTGAAATTTGAGAGGTAGAAGCATTTGAGATAGATATTGAAGAAGTATCAAGTATAATGCAAAGAGGACTTGAAGACTAATAATAACAAGGTACTACATTCCCAGCTACCTTTAATATTTAAAAAATCGTTGTAATTTTAGAAAAAAAATTTTATTATTTTTATTTGTGATTTTCTTTAATTTACATTAGATATTTATGAAATAAAATTGTAAATTAATATTTGTAAAAAAAAACATAAATATATCTCTTTTTTTAACTTCTAAATATGTAATGAATAGCTTATTTAGCTATTATTTATTTGTATTACTTTTTCTTGTTAAATAAGATTTAGAGTATATTAGAGAAAGAAGATATATACATGTATTAGCAAACTCAATTGTAAAAATATTATTAATATCAGATATTAAAATAATAAATTTTAAGGAAAATAACTTTAATAGTATTTAATAGATGCTTATGTTTAATATAAAATTATTAGCATTAAAAAATAAGAAATTGTTAATTTAAATGTTTTTAAATTTAAATACCTAACAGATCAGGGGGTCTTAGCCTGGAACACCAGGTGTTGTAAAGTCTACTTACCATGTACATCTTATGTATAGAGGGTTAGGATTTTAAGGTATAAAATTTGTGAAGAATGGCCCTACATAGTTGACACCAGGAGTTTAGTTGATTTCAACAGGCTAAACTACTTGGAAATCTTGCATTGCTATATCTCTTAATGTCAATGGTGAAGAAATTTGTAAACCTATGATTTCATCTACTTTATTTTAAAAGTTTCTGTTCCAATATGTCGTTACATCAACCGAAATATTCGCAGTACTTGTACTTGGCATTAATAAATATAAAATAATCTTGACTTAAGTATTCGCAATAAATTAGTCTAAGTTATAAATTTATAATTAATTTTAGCCAATTTTGCTATATAGTACACCATCTATGTTAAGTTAATTAATGCCATTTATTTCGAGATAAAAATATTAAGATTAAGATAATTAGCAATTATGAACAGTTAAAATCAAACCTCCGTCTTACTAAACAAGGTTTTATGTTGTTATTTAAATCACAAATTTGTGTTCAAGAAGCTTAGTTTTTAATTAAAATAAATTATAAATATTTTAAACTTTGTTTAATTTTTACTTTGAAAATTTAGTTAGGATCTTCAGATGCATCTAATTAGATAACTGCTGGATTAAAAACTCCTGGGATAACTTAAAATAAAAGTGTATTTGTTTGAGTAACAATATTTGAAGATATTATTCGAGCATGATAAGTAAAACTTCCTGAATAAGGTGGATTATGAAAAATATCCCCAGAATTTATTATCGTTTATGCTGTAGCAGTTTGAGCTGTGCTTGGAGTAAAAACAATCCAATTTACTGGTGAGGGATATGTTATACACTAGCTTGCACCAGGTCCACAAGTAAATACTTTAAAGGCTAGATTAGGAAATATTTATGGTACTTATAGTAGTTCATATATTATGAATTGAGCAGATGAAGATATCTAAAAATTATATTCATGCTAAGAAGCTTAATTTACAAATTAGTTACTCAAAATAATTTGAGGAATAGTAGGATAGGTGTCTATTTTTGAAATAATAAATAGTAAATTTAATAAAAATGCGAAAACAGTTTTTTATTTATCAATAAAAATTTAAGAAATTTCAATCAATAATAGAAGTATTTTAAATTACTTTATGTGGGGTATGAAGTTGTAGTGAATAGTAAACCTTAGTATTTATAAATTTAAACATATTGTCCCAACATACCAGGAGTTTCTTCATTTAAACTAAATTAATAATAAACTTATACACCTGCTTAATCTACAATACCTATACGAGGTATTTCTATATTAATAGTAGATCCAACAGTCACTTTGGATGTTTTAAAACCCTATATAGTTAAATAAGAATATGTTTAATCACAATGTAGGTCACAGGTAATTTTATCAGTAGGATCAATTTGTGTACCATAAACATAACAAGGGTAATTTTATATAATCTATTTTTGTGAATACCCTGCATAACTCTACCAAGCCTACTAATTATAGTTTACAAAATCAATTTTATATATATAATTCCTCTGTGTTTCATATAAATCAAATCCAGAAGGAGCTGTACACACTCCATTATAGTTTGGGTGAGTATACTTGAATGTTAAATAAGTAAATTCATTTTAATTTGTCACTAAGTTTGTTGCTTAAATACTATTTGATGGAATATTAAATGCATATGGGACAAATTCTGTAAAGTATACTTCTTTAGGGACATTTAAAGGTAATTAGCATTCACAATCCCAAAACGTGATAAAAAACAAATACCTTTATTAATATTAATTATATTTTACAAACATATTTAAATGGAAGAAAATTTATAATTTTAAAATTTATTCTTTTTTAAACTTTTGATTTTCATTTTCTGAGTTTTAAACTCTTCCTTTTTTAGAATTTTTATTTAAAAAAAAAAACACTATTAATTTTACCTCTAAACTAGCTTGGGTAATTATATTCCAGCATCATAGCCAGGAGAAGGGCCAACAGTTGTAATTGTTATTGGGATTTCGCTTTCATGGAACCCTTAATCAAGAGGAGTATATACAGTTATAATAGTCCTATCTGCCTTTGATGCAGTATCGTAAGTACACTTAGACGAAGGAATAGTGGCAAAGAAATAGCAGGTAAATATACCATTTTATGGTGGAGGAGCTGGTAACTAAGGGAAAACCTCTATAATAATTTTACCAACTGTACCTACATTAGTTTAAGGAAGAGGGTTCTTTAAAAACAAAGTAATTTCTAAAGGCCCAGATTAGCATGAGCTTAATCTAATAGGAATTTGCATGGGATGAGCTGCAAACACTCTTGTAGAACCATAAGTAGCATTTATATTTATATTAACTATTCCTAAATCTATAAAAGCATTTTTCACAGTGTTATAAGTACCTATAGTTACTGGGTATTAGTTTTACCAAGGCGGAGATTATAAAAATATTGTAATAACCAATCTACTGTCATTATCAATGCTCTAAAAATTTTCAATCAAATAAGAATTTTGTTAAGGTAATAGCATGCATCTGATTTATGGATCTGGAGAATTTTAGAAAGTTTTCAATTTAAATCTTTGTTTTTAGAATATAATTTGAAATATATTAAATATAATAAATAATATTTGAACTTTTAAAATAAGAATAGTTATTATTTTAGATTGATTTGTTAGATATTTTAAATAAAAAAATTAGCAATTTTGTAGAAAAAATGTAAATTAAATCCTAAAATTCTAAAATATATTTTTTTTAAGCTCAGTATCAATTTTTATCCTAAGAATAACTAAATAATTAAAATTTTATAATTAAATTGATTTGTTAATTCTTTGAATGATATGAAGCTTTTATTTAAAAGGTATTATATCATTAAAAAGTAGCAAGCTAATTATATTTATAAATTTACATAAATTAAGTTTTATTACTCATTTATAGTAAATTATCATTTAACTTCTTAAACCTTGATTTAATTTTACTTTTAAATTGCCAATAGAATCTACCTTAATAATAAATTTTATTGAAGTAAAAATTATTTTTACCCTGATATAATTGTGCAGTTAGGAGAAAAGAGAAACCAATCTTTAGTGAAGTTAATATAAAGTTTGCCTGAGGAATCAACAGGGTTAACAAGATTTATAAAAAAGGCATAGGTTGTATTAGAAAGCTTAAAATTATCATTTCCTTGATAGGTGATATTTAATATACCAGGGTGGATTTCTATATTTCCTGGAAAATATGCCTATATTTATTAAGTAGAATATTATATGTATTTACACTTCTAAAATAAATTTGAGTATTAATTATTAAAAGAATTTATTTTACTAATACATCTTTATTTGTTTAAAATAATTTATTACTTTTTCTAAAACAATTGTAGAATTTCCTTATAAGACTTCTACAGTGAATCCTTGCATGAACCCACTGTAATAAGGATTAACCATGTTAATTAATTTCACAGAATTTAATGCTCCTGAAACTATATTTTTTTAAAGATTTTTACAGGAGATGATTCTTTTGTTGTGATATATTTCTACTATCGGATCTTAGCCGTACAAGTTATCAACATTGCAGAGTACTTTTTAAGATTAAAAACCATCAGGAAAAGTAAAACGAAAAGTGTTTCCAATATTATAACTCTAGATTGTTTAAAAATCAAACTACCAGGTACTTCCTTCATTTATCCTTGAATTGCTTACTCTGTACACTTCGGGATTTTAAATTTGTACTTTTTTATAAATATTTATATAAAGTTGAGATAAAAATAAATGGGTTTTTTTATCTAGTTTATATGCTTAATTATCATTTTACTTCGTTCCTAGTTTCTTTTTTGTTACTCTTAAATGAATTCAAAAAAGATATTACAGAAATTCAAAAATTAATAAATATCTCAATATTATAATATATATTAATTACAAGGAGGTGGAGCTAAACTAAGAGTACTAAAAGCATCGTTTTGTTCTACCATAACATCGTTGTAGTATGTTCTGATACCGAATTCACTTGTCTAAGGTAAAGATGGATTGCGAATTTGACCAACAACTACTTGATTAATCCCGCTTATAATTTATCCTGCCTAGATAAGAATGACTCCATCTGAGTTAAACTCACATGGCAACTATCTGAAAGAACCATTTTGCAATTATGTTGGCAAAATGCTTTTTACGTTTTGAAGCATAGAACACTCCAAATTGCTTTCAAAAAAATAGGCTTTGTATTCATGTGGAAATATTATCTGAACAAATGCATTGCTATTAATTGAAATTTCATTGAAAAAAGAGAATAGAAAGTAAGTTATCTCTTTTTAATTTGAAGAATATGCTTTTAATGGAATAGATCCAAATGGTTTAATTGAACATTCAATTAGCTTTAAAATTAATCCTAACCATAATATAGCTTAAAGTAATTTCATATTAGAAATAGATCTAAATCCTATATGTTAAATATTTTATTTGAAGTGGATTATCCTAGCTGTGATACTTGTAAAAAAGACAATTTAGTTGAAAAATGATTATTTGGATTGGTCGTAACTATTTATAAATATTGAATGAACTATTTTACTTGTTTATTTAGCTAATTAATAATTTATAAAATAATTAAATATATACTAAGTGATCTATTATTGAAGACTTCTTTGTTAATTAATTGTTAATTATTCGCTATTAATTAATATAATTACATTTAATTTAAATACCAAATTTTCTTATGAAAATATCTTAAATGCATAAAATATTTAATCCATTTTTATTAAAAGTTATACTCACACTTTTTATTTCTTACCTCTCATTCTTCAATATTTGATTCACTCCACAAATTTATTATTTCATAATTCTTATAACTTTATCAAAATTATTTGTATCATTTCCTTTATTTATTTATTAATTTGTTAATCACCATTAATTTATTTATATAAATCATATTACTTATTTTCTGGGATTTTTTACACTTGTATTTAATCTTAATATTTTAATAATCATTCATTTTTCTTATAAATTATATATTATTATCAAGAATAACTAGCTTTTATACTAATCTAAGTACACACAGGTTTTATTTTATATAAAAAATCAATTTTAATAGATAAAAAGCTATATTGAAAATTGATTTAAAAATATATCAAAATGAAGAGTAAAAATTGAATAAAAGTTAAAAGAATATTATAAATTTTTTAATTTTTTTATAAACTTTTAATCATTTATGAGCTCAAAATTGATAAAACTAAGTTTATTTTGAAGTATTAAATATATTAATTGTAAGTATTTAATTTTAAATTTAAAGATTTTAAATATAATAATTCAAATAAAAGAAAAAACTTATTTTTATTTAAATTCACAAATTAAACTCCTTATTACTTTACGGTCTAATTTATTACTTTTTTTTGAGTAATTGACAAAAAAAAAAAGATTTAAACTTATTTATAATAATAATATTCTTAGAATAAATTGACTGCATCTTATCAATTTAAAATGAAGATTTATTGATTGGTTATTTTATTAATTTATTTTTAAACAAAAATTATATCTTATTTTAAAAATATTCTTATTTTAATTTTTAAATTTAATAAATGCTATTTTATTTTGTAAGATAAATAAATATTACTAATTAATTATATAATAATAAATGAGCAAAAATTATATTTTTTGAAGAAGAACTAAAGTGAATAGTGAAAATTAATAATAGTAAACATTCATTCAAAAATAAATAAAATATATAAAATAAATAATGAACTAAGTTTGTAATTTATCTCATGCATAATTGATGATCAATATTTACATTTAATTATTAATTTTGTGAGTAATTAAATTCATACAAATAAAAAATAAAAATATTCTAGTTTACTAACAATTATTTTTTGATTTTAATCAAAATTTTAAAATTAAATGATTTTATATTATTTTAAATAATGCTATTTTTATAAGCACAAGATTTTATATATTATTAATAAAAATAAGTAATGTGGTTTCTCCCTAATTAATACCTCCTGATCAGATTTTTCAAAAATTTTGGGTTTTTTAAGGGTATTTTTGAGCTTTTCGGGTATGGTCTAATTTACTATGATTGTCAAAAAACCTTTATATAAAAATTTTTAAAATTAAATTCTCAAAGCACGATAGGAAAATTATGAATGATGAATTTTTTAATGAGTAAGAAAGTATTTTGAAAGTAGATTTGAGATCATAATTATGAAGATTTAAAATACAAAAGATTTTTCTTTACATACATCTAAATGAGTTATTATTTGTAAGTAAAACTATTGGATATATTTTGAAGATATATTTCATATCATAATTATCAAGATTAAAAATATAAAAGATTTTTCTTTGATGCATCTAAAAGAGTTATTATATGTAAGTAAATTTATAAAATTGGAGAACTAAAAATGAATTAATCTCAAGGTTAATGGCTTTAAATAATAACAGTACTTTTAAATTTATTTACTATTATATATATGTAAAAAACTTGAATGCGTTAGTTATTTGTAAGCAATGCATGTTAAAAAATACTTTATTTAAAGAGAATAAAGTCTTAATTTAATTTAGAATAGATAAAAATTAATTTTACATTACTATTTTTTCTATATAACCAACTTATATTACTTGACGAATAAATGAACAAATATGTCGTTTATTATCTGTAAAAGTGTTTAATACTTGAATTGAAACTGATGAAAAAGAAGAAAAATAAATAATAAAAAATAGAAGAAAAATTAATTTAAGATTCAATTTATAAGTAGACTCTTTAATTTTTGAATATTGCAAATAATAAATTCTTATCTTTAAAATAACAAATTTTTGTCTTTGTATCTACTTTAATGATAAATTCTTATCTTTCTTAATAAAAAATTCTTATCTTTGTATCTACTTTAATAATAAATTCTTCTATTTAAAACTCATTTTAAAAATATTGATTAACAAACAATAAAGAATATAATAAATATAATTTAATTAAAACTAATAAAAAAATCAATAAAATAAAACTAATCTCTAACTAATAGTATATTATAGTTAACAAAATGGATCAAAAATAAAGCAACACAAAATCTTACTCTAATAAAAGATCTGAAAAAAACGGCACATCTCGTAAGCTACAAGATAAATCAACCCCAAAAGATAAAGATGTGAGCAACTATAACAGCTCTAGCTTCAATAAAAGAAAAGAAGACACTAGACAAAATAAAAAAGTTGCTGAAAAGGTTATGAAGGGGAACATTTATGCTTGATACAAAATAAATGAAACAGCGATTGAATTATTTATTGCTTGAATAAAAATCTCAATTTTCAAAAATAAATTCACTACTATAATAAAATAAATAAATAAATTAAAATTTACTATGAATGTATATCTAAACTAAATATATAATTTATATAGTATATTTCTAAATTTAATTTTATAAAATATTTACAAAAATAATTATTTTCTATGTTCAAATATTTATTACAAATAATATAATCTAAAATTAAAAAAAATTTTATTATCATAAAATATTAAATGCTAACAGTTTTACCAATAGATTGCTAAAAGAGCTATATATGAATGCATAAATTTATATAGAAATAAAAAACTAAAATAACAATCAAATAAATAAATTAAAAAATTTTTTTAATTTTTATCATTTCAATCATAAATTTTAAAATAATTCTTATTTATTAAACAAATAAAAAAATTTGTTTTTCCTTTAAATAAAATAGGAAAATCAATTTTTTTAATTTAAAAATAAAGTTATAATAAAAATTTTTTATTTTAAAATACATTTTTACTCATTCAAACTTTTTAGAATATTTATAATGTTTTAAATAAACTTCAATTAGTGTTAGAAACTAAATAGATGCAAATATTATAAGAATTTATCTTAAGTTTTTAAAATAGATATCAATTAAAAGAAAATTTATAAAAATATGAAATAGAGAGGTAAGTCACTTTAGTATTGATAAAGAAGAATAATTATTAAATTATTCTTTTACTTTGATAGATACTTTAATTAATTTAATATTGACAAAATTAATCATCTATTTTACTTATTTAACAAATTCTTCCAGTGATTAATCAATTAATTAATAATTTTTAGATTATTTAAAATCAGTCAATTAGTTATATTGAATTAATATTATTTAATTAAAATAAAAACAAATAAAAACCAACATAAAAAAAACAAACAAACAACGAAATACATAAATAATAATAATAATAATTTCAAATGGATTGTAAGACTACTAACACCAAGGCTTTTTCTAAAAAGAGAACTGAAAAGAACGGTATTTCTCGCAAGATTGCTGATAAAACATCTAACAATAACAATGACTCCTTTGATGGTGGCAAATGTAAATTTGAAAAGAGAAAGGAAGACACTAAGCAAAATAAAAGATTGGTTCAAAAGCTATTAAAGGGATCTGCATATGCATGAATAAATTGATCTTTTATAAATATTTTCAATAGGATAATAAATTAATAAATTGATAAATGTAAATAACTTTTAACCAACTAATTCACTTATAAAAAATTATTTTAAAATAAGAGTTATGTATAAATATAATTATTAAGTATAACTAACATATTATATATTTATTTATAATAATTCATTTATTCTTAACAAAAAAAAAATTAATATTTTCATATAAAATAAATTTATTTAATTACCAGAAAATAACTTTTTAATTTAATAAATTTTTTTTCATAAAAACCACATTCATTTTTAGTTTTTAAGAATGATACAAATTTAATATGTTAAGCTTTGAATATCACAAAACACCATTTCTATCTTACTTTTTGGTTGATGTATTAATGATACATTCATTTTTTAGCTTGCTTAAAATGTATTTTACAAATTCTATTTATTTTGTTGAAGCTTTTGTTATAATATCTTTATTATGGTTTTTAAATTTATTTTTTTATATTATGCAGTAATATTTTTGTGATGTTACTTTAAACGATATAGATAATATGATAATCTAATATAATTATTTAGTTAAATATTAATTTTTTACCTGAAATATTAAATTTGAGGTAAATTTTTAAATTGAATTTGTAAATCTTTAAAAAATCATATATTAAAAAAAATAATAATATGTTATATGAATTGAGTTCTAATACTATTTGAATATAGTGCTTGAATGGAAAAAAGAAACAAATTAATAATAAATAATATCTAGAGTTTTTTTCTTTATTGTAATTCTAAGCTTATTTATGATCAATTAAATAATATTAACTCTCTTCTTTAATTAATAGACTTTAAAAACTGAATAAATTAATTAGTTCAAACATTTAAAATCTTAGCATACATTTTTAAAAGATTTTCAAAATTTGTAAAATACTAGCAAAGCATTATAATAATTAGGAGGAATCTACATATTCTATTATAAAATAATTAAAAGCTTTTTAGTCTACATTTTTAATTGAATTAGCTTAAAGAATACATTGTAAAAGATGGTCTTTAATTACCAATAATCAAATGTAGTTTTTTCTGTGATTATTGGGTTAATTTATTTTGCTTCAATCGATGTAGTTTCCGCAGTTATTGATTGTACAATTCCAGTCAATGGTGGCTGTAATTCAGATGTTAGCTGTGTAAATTTTGCCTATAATCCTACCTTAAGCTAGTGTGTTGACTGCACAGCTGTTAACGGTAGCTCTTGCTTAAATGTTTCTGCTACTGTTTGTTAAGATTATTAAATTCTCCCAGATAATTCAGCTTGCGTTAATTGCGCCTAAGGAAACTCTTAAAGCTCAACTTGTACTAATATAAATACTCAGTAAGGTACTTGCATTACATACTCATATAATTTTCAAACTCAGAGTTGCGTTAATTGCAGTAAACCATTAGGAAGCTCTTGTTTATATTAAAGTTCTGTTTCAGGATGTAATAATTACCATTATGATAGCAGTGTGACAAAATGTATTGACTGTAGCTTGGCTAAAAATGGAAGTTGCGTTAATTCTGCAGCAGCAAGCTGTTACACATTTGTATATGATGGAATTTCAAAATGCGTTGATTGCTCTATACCTCAAGGTCAGAGCTGCTAGAATATTAATGTTATAAATTGTTCAACTTATTAATATAGTGCAACCTAAAATATTTGTGTAGATTGTAGTAAATCAGTTGGAACTACTTGCGTAAATTCACAAGTAAATGGCTGTGTTAATTACAAATACTCAGCAGTAAGTGGTTTTTGTATCAATTGTTCGATTCCAAGTGGAATTAGTTGCTTTTATGCAGGTTTCTCTGCTTGCTAGTATTTTGTTTACTCTAGTGCAGCTAATTAATGTGTTGATTGTACTTAAGTTTCGAATGCCTCTTGCACAAACTCTTCAGTACCTGGTTGCTCAAATTATATGTATGATTCTAGCAGCTAAACTTGCGTTAATTGCTTTTAGCTTTCTGGTACAACTTGTGTTAACAGTGGAATTCTGCTATGTTCTAATATTTAATATAGTAATAATTATTCTACTTGTGTGAATTGTTCTGCAGCTCAAGGGACTTCTTGTATATACGTTATTGGCGGAGCTGGACCCCCTCCTTTTTAGGACTGTCCAGGATATGTATTCAACTCAGATTTAAACTAATGCGTAAATTGCTCGTAAGCACAAGGGACAACATGCCCAAATAACATTAGCCCTATTTGCAAAGATTTTAAATACGATACAGTATCTTCCACCTGTAAAAATTGCTCACTAACTGTAGGAGCTAATTGCAAATATCCTACATCAACAGGATGTTTATCCTATAAGTACTCTCCATCCTCTAATTCGTGTGTAGACTGCTCATTAACATCAATAACACAAAGTGGAACTGTATGTTCCAACAGTTCTGTTCCAAACTGCTCGAACTTTTTTTATGATGGAGTCTTTTCTTGCAAGGATTGTTCCATAGCAAGTGCAGGAATTTGTGTTAATTCTGCAACAGTGCCTACTTGTGCAAAGTCCTATAGGTATAACTCGTCAACAGCATCTTGTAAAAATTGCTCACTTGCAACAGGTACTACATGCACTAATTCAGCATTAAGTGCTTGCTCAAATTTTAAATACGATTCTACTTCTAACACTTGTATTGATTGCTCTATGGTGAGTTCATCAGGAAATTCTTGTATGAATTCCAGCTATCCTGCTTGCTCAAGCTTTCTTTTTGATAAAACCACTAGTAGCTGCATAGATTGCACATTATACACTGCTGGTAGTTGCGTGAATAATGTTTATGCTGTTTGTTCATTTTATCGTTATAATAGTTCAACTGGTAAGTGTGTTGATTGTTCTTTGGCTGCAAATTCTGCTTGCGTTAATGCCTCTGCCTCCGGTTGCTCATCTTATTTTTATTCATCCATATAGTCAGTCTGCGTTAGCTGTATTGATGCAAATACCAGCACTTAAAAATGCCTAAATGCTGCTGAATCTTCCTGTGCATCATTTGTGTATAATCCTTCAACAAGTAAATGTGTTGATTGTTCTGCTTCGACTGGTACAAGTTGTACAAACTCAGCAGTTGCAGGCTGTCAAAGTTTTAAATACAGTGCAGCTAACTCTAAATGCGTTAATTGTTCCCTAGTTAGCACCTTAAATGGTGTTAGCTCTTGCACCTACGCAAGCGTTTCAGGCTGCTCAACTTTTATTTATGATGGAATAAGCATCTGCGTTGACTGCACTTAAGCTAATGTTGCTTAACAGAAATGTGTTTATTCTAGCTAAAAAAGTTGTACCATGTTTGCTTACAAAGCAGCTGCTTCAGCTTGTGTTGATTGCACTGCTGTAAATGCTGGTTCCTGTTAAAATTCAGGTGTTACAGGATGTGCAAGCTTTACTTATGATTCCCAATCAGGAAAATGTGTAAATTGTGCATTATAATATTAAGGGACATGCATATTTTCACAAACTATTTAGAGTTGTAGTAATTATTAATATGATGGAATTTCTTAATGTGTAAATTGTTCTCTTTAAACAAATGGATAGTGTGTAAATAATTCTATTGCTGCTTGTTCAACCTTTTAATTTAATGGAAGTATATGTGTCGATTGTTCACTTTCCACATAAAATCCGGATGGTTCATATAGTTGTTCAAATTCACAGTATCCTAATTGCTCTTCTTATGTTTATAATCCAGCTTCTAAAAGCTGTGTAAGCTGCTAAGTAGCTTAAATATCATCAAGAACATGCTAGTATACTAATTTAGCTGCTTGTGCTAATTACAGATATAATGGATACAGTGCTTGCATAGATTGCTCAGTATCCAGCAACAATATGTGTTCTAATTCTAAAGTTGGAGGTTGCTAAAATTTTGTGTACAATTAATCTACAAATAGCTGTGTTGACTGTACTGTAGCTGCAAACTCTGTTTGTACATATGGCTCACTTGCTGCTTGTGGTACTTATAGCTACGATTCTACTAGCTAAACCTGCGTAAATTGTTCATAGCTCTAGAATTTTAATTGCGTTAATAACAACTTGAGTGAATGCAGCTCATTCTAATATGATTCGAAGAGTAATTCTTGTGTTAATTGTTCAACAGCTAACATTCAAACAGCTTCTTGTAAGTATTCTTAGGTATCTGGTTGTCAAACATTTTAATTTGACAATACTAAAAATACTTGTGTTGATTGCTCAGTACAAACAGCAGGCATTTGCTCAAATAAAAACGATGTGAGTAAAACATGTAATGGTTATATATATAATGGATCAAATAGCTGCATAAATTGTTCTTATGCTGTTAATAATCAGTGTGTATATTCAAATGTAGATGGATGCTAAAATTTTAGATATGATCAAACTAGTGGATTATGCGTTGATTGCTCAATTGTTTATACTCCTCCTTCAACAAACTCAGTAACAACGCTGCAGACTCCTTATTGTTTGAATAAAAATGTGCCTTCCTGCAGTGCATTTGTATATGATAATATAAGTACTTGTGTAGACTGTTCAATAGCAAGCAATGGTTTTTGTGTGAATTCTGCTGTTTCTAATTGCTCTAATTTCTTTTTTGATGGAGTTTCTACATGTGTAGACTGTACTTAAGCTGTTGGAGGTTCATGCTCATACCCATACGTTCCAGGCTGCTTAAATTACGTTTATGATTCAAGTACAACAGCATGTTTTGATTGTACATCTTTGGTCCATACTTGGACACTCTCATCATGTTAAGCCTGTGATTAGGCTCACATAAAAACTACATCAAGTAATGTAAAAAATACTTGCTAAAATGTCTATCTTGCAGCCAATAACTCAACTACAAGTGCAATTATTTTAATAATATAAACTATTACTCTAGTATTAATATTTTTATTTTGAATTAAATTAACATCAATTAAACTTAAATATTATTAAAAAATATTCAAATTGATTACTAAAGTTTAAATAAATTTATTTAATTTAGCTAATTATTTTATTACACATAATTTTTTTCTAAATTTAAGTTTAAATTTCATTATTTTTGGCATTTAATAATTTAATAGGAAATATTCATCTTTTATTAAAGTAAAATTTTTTTTTTAATTTTTAAATTCAAGATGAAATAAAAAAATTTAAATATTAATTAAATAAATATCTTCAAATTTATACTTCAAGTTTATAAGATTAAATTAATTTATTATTTAATAGTTTTATGATAATAAAATTAAAATTTCATAAAATTATATTTTAAATTAATTATTAAAATGTTTATATAATGAGACAGTTTACTAAAAAATATAAAATTAATTAATTTATTTATCTTATTAAATTAAAAGTTTATAAAATATTTTACTTCAACTAATTTTAATCAAACACATTTATATATTATCCAAGTATCTTCAAATATTATATTATTATAAATTAAGTTTAATTTTAATATTCAATAATTATATACAACATATCTATAAATATTTATTTGTTTTATCGAATAAATTGCTTATCAAATATTTTCATTTTCAATGATATTTTTTAATTCTGTATTATATTTAAGAATTATTATTGGATTTTTAAAATTGACAATAAGCTCTATTCAAAAGTATAAAGTGAATTGAGAAATTATATTTTGACAATTCCATATCATCAAAACCTTTAAATTCCAAAAAAGGTAAAAAAGGTCCATCTAAATTTAATAATCAGATAATTTTGATGAATCTATCAAAACCTAGTTTAAATTTTTTACTTAAATTATTAATTAAGATAAAATATTAAGAAAACTAAATATAATTCCATATTCCTCATTTAAATTTATGAAAAAAATCAATAATTTTAATAAGATAAAGTATATTAAAAAGCCTTTAATAAATAACCTCAAATGATTTTAATTATTTTCTTTTTTCAATTTAATTATTTTTTTTAACAAATAATATTTAAATCCACTTATTCATGCCTATTTAATTTATATTGAACGAAAAAGAACATTTGTATATCTAATTTTTGTATTTCTTTGATAATTTATATATTATTTTAGAAGTCTTTAGTATTTAATGTAATTTTTTAAATAATTGATCAATAAATTAAGATAAAAATTAAGCTTAAAATAAATTCTCTTGTTAATTTTTATACATTTTTTCTAACTAACTTATTACTAACCTATTCATAAATGTTTTAATTAAAAATTAATTTAAATATGAGGATTCGCTTATTTATTATATATAAATTTATTACTTTTTTTCCTTTTTTTTAAAAATCTTCAGATTAAAAATATAATCTTAGAAATTATATTGTTTAATACAACTATGGTTTTTAGATTTAAATAATTTATTTTTAATAAATAAAAGTAAATATTAGATCTTTACATAAAATATGACTAAGTACAAACAAAATTTAATAATTTAGAGTAGATTTGAAAATCTTTTATAAAAATAAGTAAGAATATATTTTGAAAAAATTTAATTTGTTAATTTATTTATAAAAGAATACTTTCTTATTTTTTGTTTGAAGAATAAATTATTGAAATACATTAATTTTAAACTTATATTTTAAATACATAAAAATAGTATATTAACATCTCTGTTTAAAATATTTTTAATATATTTTTTACATTTTAAAAATATTTTGATGTATTTTAAATAGGCAAAAATTTATTTGATACAAATATTTGTAGTATTGAAACTCTATTTTTAATGGTTTATTTCAATATTATTTCAGATGACGTATGCTTTCTAAAAGTCTTCAATGAATTTAAAAAGTACATTTTTAGTAAGAATATTATTTATCTAAAGATTAATTAATCAAAAACTATATTTTGGATAAAACACTTTTATTTTTTAAATCCAAATAATTTTTGATTTTCATCTATTCAGAATTAAACCAAATATTCAAACCATCCATCTGAATTCTTTAATAAATAATAATAATATTTCCTATATTAATTATAAGTGTTTTTTTTAAAAAAGGGATATTATTTCTAAAAATTATAATCAATTTATTAATAATTGAATAAATCAATATCAAATTAAGCACAACTTTACAAAATGTAAAAAACTGATTCTCAAAATCAAAAACTAATAGGTATTCTTTAGAATTTTTTGCAAAATAATTATCTGGATAAAGATGTAAGCATAAATATAATGGAAGAATTAAATTAAAATTAAATTATTTACATTGATGGCCATATCGAATTCAAAAAACTTATTTCTAAGCATATTGAAAATGTTTAAAATATTGCAAACTATGATTAATAAATAATAGATCTTTAAAAAAATTGCTAGAATTTTTATTTGAATAACTCAATTATTGACAAAGATAATAAATTACCTTCTTATGAAGAAGCAGAAGAAGAAAAAAAAGAAGATTTCGATTCAATAGAAAAGGAAAAATTAAATGAATAAATAAAAATAAAAGATGAGTTCGTAAGGTTTTGCAAGGAATGCGATTTTGAATCTATAGTATAAAAAGAAACAGATTTAGAAAGTGATGCCACAAAAATTTTTGAAATATCAAGAGACTAAATTTTAAATGATAATTTTAAAGAGATTTAACATGTCACCGATATTGGAATTAAAATAAGAAGGAATATAATACAAAAGTATGAGGAATCTAATTTAAAATAAATGGTTATTAAATATAAACAGTAGTAGTAAACCCTTTTAGATTCAAATAATTTAAATAAGTAGGAATAAAATGAAATTTAGAAAGAGGATATGAATTTTGATAGTAAAAACGAGTCAGTCAAAACTAAATAACCAAATGAAAATGAAGAAAGCTTATTACTTAACTTATTAAAAGAGAACATCGAAGAGTTTAAGGAGCAAGATGATAACTAACTAAAATTAATGGTGAAAGAAATGAAAGAGAAAGGTTATTAATCTACACTTTACTGCTAATTCATATAAGATAGAGATAGAGTTGATAAAATAATTTATGAAACCCATCTAAAAAGTCCATTCCTAAATTTAAAGACTAACAAGGTTTGCTAATTTTACTTTTTAAGTTTGGGTATTTCTGAAACAGAAAGTTAAGATTTAATTGACTCATACTTTTTTAAATTACCAAATTACTAGATGAATGAAGAATAAATAGAAAGACTCAAATTAATAGAATAGCATATATAAGAAAATCAATTAGTTAGAGATTACATTGAAAAAATATTAAATTTAAGCATAAGAAATGAAATTCAGCTCTAATTTAGTAATATTCAGATCAATGATCAATTTTTAAAAGAAAAACTTATCAATTCTGAATGTTCTGAAGATTAGTTCTAATAGTTAATTAATCAATATTAATTGGATAAATATCATCCAAATTTTTAGATTTTTGAAGATATTTATAAACAAAATACACTAAAGAGCCTTTACTTAAAGTCTCTTCTTTTACTGGAATTAAACAAATAAGACAGCGATAAAAAACTTTACTTCAGCTAGGTTTACAAATTCCTTTGTGATGTAAAACTCAAAGGTATCGATGCATTTTAAGAAGATAACTATAAAAGCTTAATTGAAATGCTTAAAATTGATGAGAAAATCATCAATTCAGAGAAGCTATAAAATCTAGAAAATTACTACATTTAACTGTTACTCTTTGCATGTTCACATAATGATGAAACCAAATTAAAATTAATATCATTCATTCTAAAAAAAGTATTGTTAAAACATCAATTAGAAAGCGAGTAAATTTAATATTTGTCAAAATAAATCTTAAAGACAGGCTTAAAATTTATTTACTAACTGAATGATCAAGAATACAATAGGACAAATAATAAATCTAAAATTGATATTGAAGAAAAGCTAAAAAAAAGTGAATTGTTAAAGAAAGTTTATGGAGGAGACCTTTATGAAATATAAGATAAAAGTGTATGCTTTTATTTAGATTTCGACAAATAATTTGAACTTTAAAATAAACGAGATAAATTATTCTAAGTGAGTTAAAAAATAGATATCAACCAATTATTAAATTACCACAATTCATAAGAAAAACCAACATCAATAAAAAATTGGGTTGAAGAAATAGCTGATTTATACTTTTCAGGAGATCTGAGCTTTTCTTAGAGACTCTTTGACCTCGTAATATATTTATCTAAAAGAAACCAAAATCTTGATAGCATATACAAAGACATATTAGAGAGTATTTTGCTTAAAAAGGACGAAATAGATGTTAAAATCTTAATTAACAAAAAAACTGTACCAGAATATATGATGCAATCATCTGACTCTGAGTCTATGTTTAAACTTACAATAATGCTAGGGTTTGCGAATCCTGTGCCTTTACTAATTACTAGAATAGTACCTCCTTCTTAAAATAATTCCTATAAATTGTAACAAGAACTTTTTTACTAATCCTTTTGGTTAATCAACTAATTTGATAAAGTAGTTGCTTCAATTGGTGTAGGATTTCAGAAAGGTAAATCTACACTTATAAATAATACTTTTATAACTAATTTTGCTATTAGTGATGGTACTTATAGCTTTATGTAGAGTGCTGAAATTTAATCTAATAGCATTTTCTAACAGAATAAAAGATAATATTTTTTGGCTGATTTTCATGGAGATGCAAGTCTCTTAAATGAGTAATATATTTTAGGTTTCTTTGTTTATTACATAATATAAGTCAACGCAAGTATCTTTAAAAATAAATAAACCGAAAATCTGCATAAAATTATAAATTTATTAGAAGAAAACGACAAAAAATTTTGTATTCTAATACGCGATTGTGATGAAAAAATCACAGTTAGTTCCTATAAAGATACAAAATTAGCTTCTGAGAAATTAGTATAACCTGATCTAAAAAAATATGATACTATTTTACTTAATAATTTTTGTAAAGTAGATTAATAAGACTTAGATTCACACTATAATTAATTAAGAATAGTAATAAATGACCTAATAATAAAAAATTTAGGATAATAAAATTCAAGAGATTTATTTATAAACAGATTCTTCTCTTAATTTTAAAAATAACCTGATTAAATTTATAGTAATTTCAATAAAGAATTGGAACAAAAAGGAGAAGAAATAGCAGCAGCAGCTTAAATCTATTACTCTTATTAATTGGTATAAAATGTTTGCAATTAACTTAAAAACTAAAAATAGTTAGAATCTTAAAATATCTTCAAGTTATATAATATTTTTTCAGAGTATCAAAAAATGAAAATGGAATTTAGTCATAGTAAATTTTAACTTATGTCATCAAAATAAGTGAGTGAAAGAAACACTTATTTTATATAATGTGAATTTAAATATTTTGAATATATAAAATCTTAAAATGAAGATAAGAGTGAGCTTGTAAAATAATTTGAATAATTAGTAATTGATAATAATAAAAATCATTACATGTCAATGCTCTTTTTCATATAATAGTTAAGAGATGTGAATAATTATTACATAAATTAATTAAAAAATAAGAAAATAGAACTTTAATAAAGCTAAACAATTCAATAAAATGATATTTCAAAATAAATTTATGAAATAGAAAAACAAATATTAGACAAATCTATTTCAGTTGAGCTTTTCTGGAGAGAAGTCATATAACATTGGTATAAATCAAACAACAGTTCTCTCAATGAGAAATTAATAGAAGCTTATTCATTAAATATTTATAATGGATTCCCTTTTGAAATAATTGACGGAGAAACATTTTATTATCCATACGAATTCTTAAAAAAATGTTTTTCTCATTAATTATTTACAAATAAAAAATTTTGTATCATAAGCATAATAGGACCACAAAATTCAGGTAAATCAACCTTATTGAATTATTTCTTAGGATGTGACTTTTACGTGAGTGAAGGGAGATGTACGAGAGGAATATATGGCACTCTCGTAAAGTCAAAGGTACCATAGTTTGACTACATATTAGTAATTGATTCTGAAGGTCTTTTATCATAAGAGAAAAAAGATCCAGATTATGACAGAAAACTAACTCTATTCTGCTTATCAGTGAGCTAATTCCTAATAATTAACGTTAAAGAGCTAACAACTGAAATAAGTAATATATTGGAGCTTTGCATTGATGTCTCAACTGATTTAAAAACTAATAAAATACCTAAAAAAGTAGTTGAGATCGTTTTTAATTAAAAAGGGGATCCAAACAACCAAAATAATTGTGTGGCAGTAGAAAATGCTCTGAAATATTTTTAAGATAAGAAAAAAATAATTGATCACATAGATATAAAAAGTGAAAATGTTACTAATTTGCCAACGGCATTTTCATACAAATAAAAAGTTGTTCAGAATGAATAAGTATGGAATTTTTTAGAGACTTAAATCAATTTTGTTGAAGGCGTATAAAAATTAGGAGATAAAGTTATTCATAAATTAATAAATCTTTGCTAAGAGGATTAAATATAAACATTTAGGTTGGTTAAGACCATTCCAGAATTTCTTGAATTAGTGAATAACATTTATGAAACCATTAATTAAAACCAAGACTTAACAGCCTTCAGAGATATTTTGCAGAAATAAAATGATAAAAGAATCAAAGAATTTATGAAGAAGCAAATTAATGATGAAATAAATGAGCAATTTTTAAAAGATATTGATGACATTACCAATGATAACCGAATTAAAAATGTTGAAAGTTAAATCAAGAATTAATTCGATTGCTTAGAAATAAAAATAAAAAAAACATTACAAGAAGAATTTAATAAAATTGATCAAGATTATTTAAACAAAAATTTTGATTACTTGCATTTAAAGCTGTAAACTCTATAGGAAAACACAATAAATGACATTGCATTTGGCAAACAAATAAAAAATTTAGAGGAATTAATCAACATAAAAACCCTTGAATTGCTAAGCTAAGCAGAGTAGTAAAAAAAAAACAGTTAAGAATAATAGATCGAATACTTTGAAGAAAAGTTTCATGAAATAGAATAAATTGTTTAGAAAGATTCACAGTTAAATAATATAGATGTGCTATTTTCTTTTATCAAAGACAATTATGAGTTATAATTAGGTAAACCATTTTGTACAAAAAAAATTGATAATTATCAATTCGATTGCTATAAATAAAAAATTTTAGATGAGAAGACCAGCTTAATACATTTTTTAGAAAATAGACAACTTTTACTGCCTAAAAATGATATTGATGATAATGAAATAATTGATAATTAGCTATTATAAAAAATTTATGAAATATTTTACATCCGATTAGACTATTTTAAAAAATAATTAGATTTTACAAACATAATTGACATACATAAATTGTATGATGCATGCAAGATTAGAATAAAAGAAAATTAAATTTAATTATTTGCAAAAAAGAGCTTAGTTTAATTGAATCATTTGTATAAATATATCGAGATGGATTTTAATTAAGGAGATAATACTTCAAAAGAAGATGAGGAAAAAAGAATTCAAAAATATTCTTTGTATACTTAAAGTTAAAAATATACATTTTGTTAACCTTAATTAGAGTAAAAAAGAAAAATCGTTGATGATTAAAATGCAAATTTAATTGAAATAAGATTTAAAGATATTACAATGAGTATTCTTAGGTAATGGTTGAAAACTTAACTTTAAGTTAATTTTAATTGCAATATACTTAAAATCGATTCATATTTCAGCAGTATTAATTAATAAATTAATTAATTTATCAATACTAGAACAAAAGTTGACAGGTAGTTAATTTCAGAAGTATTAAATATTGTTTAAAATAAAATTAAATAATTTTAAGATCAATTAAGCTTTTATCAAATTGAACTATCAGAAAAATCTACATATTTTTTGAATAATATGGCTATTTAAGAATTATACAAATTTCACTTACAAAATTAGTAAAATAAGCTTAATAATATTAAAGATTAAAATTTGAGTGCTGATAAGAAGTAATCTCTGAAAAAAAAATTCTTAGAAAATGCAACAGACAAAGATAAATAGTTGTTTAATGAATTTATTCAAAAATTATAAGTGTTCTGTAAAAAATATCTTGATTAAAATTCTAAAAACTTAATAAATAAGAACCTTGAGGAATACAAAGACTCTCTTTCTAAGGAAAATATTGTTAAAGAAATATAATAAAAATTTTATCAAAAATAAGATTTTTCTTTAGAGTAAATTGATGCCTATCTCGAAGATCCAAATAAAGTTATAATTAAAACTGCTTTATACATATAAAACAATTATATGAAATAGCTGTAATATGCAATATTAGGTATTTAAAAAAATTTATTTAATATGTTATAAATCATCATAAATGCAATAAACTAAATAATTGAATCTTTGATGTGTTAAGGACAAATATAATAAAATAAAATATATATATATAATAAAAAACCTGGATTATTTCTATAGCTTATATATTAAGCCTTACTAAAATAAATGGAAAATATAGATCAGAAAATTTTCAAAGAATTTAGCAACAATATATAACTACCATCCTTTAACTCTATTAAATAAATTTAGTTAATTTTCAAATAATTATAAACTGCTATACTTGAAGAAAACTTTTAAAAATAAACTATAAATACCTCTACTAAAGATTTTATAAATAAAGAATTTTTAAATATTACTCTATATTTATCATGTGATTCCAAGTGCCCTTGTTGTGGTTAACCATGTGATCAAGATCACTGGAAATACTTGCATGATAGAATAGGCACTGGTGACAATAAACATACAGCTAAGAATGGTCATAGGTTTGCTGCCTTTAATGGAGTGAAAATTGAGTAAGAAAATTTACCAGCTCTTATTATGTGTTCTGATTACGATGATGAAACATAATTCAAGTATAAGTAAAATCAATTAAAATGGAGTAATTTTAAGGAAATTAATGATGATTGGGATTGGAAGATTGAAGTTTAAAAGTAAAAGCTATAATTTTAAAGATTGACATACTAAACAATTTGGTCAATAGTAGGAGAACAAATTTGCAAAAAAAATAATATTTAGTACTAAGAAATATGTGATGCTTCAATTATAAAAAAATGCAAGTCATAAATTAATCCAGTTCATTTTATAATTGTTTTTGATGAAAGTGGAAGCATGGAAGGAGATAAGTGGATGTCTCTAAGAAAAGAACTATTAGATTTTATAGACAACAGAAGCAGATATACAGCATAGGATTTTATTACCCTTATTGGTTTTAATGATTCTATAAAGCTTTATACAAAACTAGAGAAATTGAATGAATAAATCAAATAAAAAGTTCCAGAGAAAAATATGAATGGAAATACAAATTTTTCTGCTCCCCTTTAGTAAGTATTAAAGATTTTAAGCTAAGATAATTGTAAAACCTTTAATAAAAACAACGTTATATTTTTCTTATCAGATGGAGAAGCAAATAAACCTGATACTGATATATTATAGCTTTAAAAATAAGGTCATTTAATTAAACAGATATAGTTTGTTGGCTATGGAGATGAAGATTTTTAAATTCTAAAATCAATGGCAAATGATCTTAAAGACTTATAGGCTTTTTATTCAAATGTTATTAATATATATTAATTACAAGATGAATTTAAATATCTTTCCTTAATTATACCAAGCTGATATTTAATTTAGAATCTTAGTAAAATAATTTAAAAATATTCATTTATTAAATTGCAATATATTTTTATGCTGTTGTTGGTGTTTATTTCATTTGTTTTTATTTTTCAAATAATTTGTAAAATTACTAAAAATTTATTTTTCAAAAATAAAATTGCTCAGGGGCATGCATTACTCAGATAAACTTTATATAATTATTCACAGCTAATATCTGAGATGTCAGATAATATCTTGAAGTTTTTATATTTTTTATAATTCATACAGATAATATATTTATAGGTACCGTAAGTACTGTTCAATAAGCAGCATAAAAAATTAAGAAAAAATAAGTTAATTTTACATATATGGTATGAAGAATGAATTATTAAAATATTTTTTTTAAGCTTATATCTTAAATTTGTTAAAATATATGTTAAAATCTCTGTTTAAAATAATTTTTATATCTTTTTAATATTCTTTAAATGTTTTGGTAAATTTTAAGTAAGCAAAAATTTACTGTTTCAAGATTCATAATACAAATATCTTTAATTTAGACATCTATTTTTAATAGTTTATTTCAATATTATTTCAGATGACGTATGCTTTCTAAAAGTATTCAATTTATTTAAAAAGCACATTTTTATTTTTAGTAAGAATTTTATTTATCAAAAGATTAATTAATCAAAAACTATATTTTGGATAAAACACTTTTGTTTTTTAAATCTAATCAATTTTTGATTTTCATCTATTCAAAATTAAACCAAATATTCAAACCATCTGTATTCTTTAATAAATAACATTAATATTTTCAATATTAACCATAAATTTTTTTTTAAAAAGGGTAACCATTTCTAAAAATTATAATAAATTTATTTATTAATAATTGAATAAATCAATATCAAATTAAGCTAAATATTAAATCATAAATTTAATGGATGAATTAAATTAAAATTAAAGCTTATATATGAATGATATGATTGAATTCATAAATTAAAATCAAGATTTAATGACTTACAGAGATATTTTGCAGAAATAAAATGATTAAAAAATAAAAGAGTTTATGAGAAAATTAATAAAGAAATAAATGATATATTTTTAAAAGATATTGATGACATTACCTAAAATAATCAAATTAAATATGTTGATAGTTAAATCAAGGATTAATTCAATTGATTAGAAGAAAAAATTGTAAGAATAATTTCAATCTGAAATAGATCAAGAATTATTAAATAAATTTTTTGATTATTTGCATTTAAAGCTGTAAATTAATTCTATTGTTAATTTTTAAAAATTTATTCTAACTAACCTATTACTAACCTTTTCATAAATATTTTAATTAAAATAAATATAACGATTCATTTATTTATTATTAAAAAATTAATTTCCTTTTTACTTTTAAGATCTACTATTTAAAAATATAATATTAAAAACTATATTGTCCAATATAACAATAATAGATTTAAATAATTTGTTTTAATAAATAAAAGTAAATGTTGGATCTAAATCAAAAATAGTGATTAATTAAATACAACATTAAATAATATAGAAAAGATTTGAAAATCTTTTATAAAAATTATTAAGAATATTTCTAGAAAAAAATTAAATTTTTTCAATTTATTAATAAAAGAATACTTTCTTATTTTTTGTATGAAGAATGAAATATTTAAATACATTTTTTTAAGTCTATATCTTAAATTTGTTAAAATAGTATGTTAAAATTTTTGTTTCAAAAAATTTTTGTATCTTTTTAATATTCTTTAAATGTTTTGGTAAATTTTAAATAGGCAAAAATTTACTGCTTTAAGATTCATAATACAAATATTTGTAATATCGAAATTTATTTTTAATGGTTTATTTCAATATTATTTCAGATGACGTATGTTTTCTAAAAGTATTCAATTTATTCGTTTTTAGTAAGAATTTTATTTATCTAAAGATTAATTAATCAAAAACTATATTTTGGATAAAACACTTTTATTTTTTAAATCCAAATAATTTTTGATTTTCATCTATTCAGAATTAAACCAAATATTCAAACCATCTGTATTCTTTAATAAATTATAATAATATTCCCCCATAAGTATTTTTTTTAAATTAAGGCAAATATTTCTAAAAATTATAATCAATTTATTTATAAATAATTGAATAAATCAATATCAAACAAATTAAGCGAAATTGGACAAAATGTAAAAAACTGATAATCAAAATCAAAATCTTTTAGGTATTCTTTAGAATTTTTTGCAAGAACATTCACCTGAAAGAGATTTAAGTATAAATATAATGGAAGATTTAGATTAAAATTAAAGTTTTTACATGAATGACTTGATTGAATTCAAAAATTTTATTTCTAAGCATATTGAAAAATTTTAAAATGATATTAACTGTGACTAATAAATAAGAGATCTTTATAAGAATTGCTAGAATTTTTATTTGATAAACTCAAGTATTGGCAAATGTAATAAATTACCTTCTTAAGAAGAAGAAGAAAAAAAAGAAGATTTCGATTCTATAGAAAAGGAAAAATTAAAAGAATAAATAAAAATAAAAGATGAGTTCGTAAGGTTTTGCAAGGAATGCGATTTTGAATCTATAGTATAAAAATAAACAGATTTAGAAAGTGATGCCACAAAAATTTTTGAAGAATCAAGAGACTAAATTTTAAATGATAATTTTAAAGAAATTTAACATCTCACCGATATTGGAAGTAAAATAAGAAAGAATATAATACAAAAGTATGAGGAATCTAATTTAAAATAAATGGTTATTAAATATAAACAGTGGCAGTAAACCCTTTTAGATTCAAACAATTAAACAAATGATTATGATGAAAGCTTATTAATTAACTTATTAAAAGAGAACATCGAAGAGTTTAAGGAGCAAGATGATAACTAACTAAAATTAATGGTGAAAGAAATGAAAGAGAAAGGTTATTAATCTACACTTTACTGCTAATTCATATAAGATAGAGATAGAGTTGATAAAATAATTTATGAAACCCATCTAAAAAGTCCATTCCTAAATTTAAAGACTAACAAGGTTTGCTAATTTTACTTTTTAAGTTTGGGTATTTCTGAAACAGAAAGTTAAGATTTAATTGACTCATACTTTTTTAAATTACCAAACTGCTAGATGAATGAAGAATAAATAGAAAGACTCAAATTAATAGAATAGCATATATAAGAAAATCAATTAGTTAGAGATTACATTGAAAAAATATTAAATTTAAGCATAAGAAATGAAATTCAGCTCTAATTTAGTAATATTCAGATCAATGATCAATTTTTAAAAGAAAAACTTATCAATTCTGAATGTTCTGAAGATTAGTTCTAAAAGTTAATTAATCAATATTAATTGGATAAAACTCATCC